CCGTCGCCCGGGCCCTTTGTGTATCATCCCCCCCCAATTTTCCCCCCCAACTGGCCCTAAACCCCACCTCCCATAATATTTTTTTTTTTTTTTTTTTTTTTTTTTTTTCGTTCGTAGGCTGCAAATTTCCAGCAAATGGCGTTGCTTACATATCTCGGAGGGTCGCTTAAACGGGATGTATTTGCCATGTGACCACCATCGTTGAGGGACCCGCTTAAAAATTCGTCGTTACGTGAGATTCGCACCAAAGTCAGTTCCCTTCCAGTGCCAGTGCCAGTGCGGCGGGACATAAGGAACCCTCAGTTCAACTAGGTCATGTTAGTTGTGGAAGCCCAGGCAATACGTCAACTCCAAGACAATTGATTAGTAAAGTCCGGCAAATAAGCAACTCGCCCGCCACTGCTACACAGCGCAAAACCCCACACTAGCCAATTGAAAACAGCTGCGAGCTTCAATTGCACCCTTCTGCTGCCCCATACCTATTCTCCTTCATTCCTCATACCGAGTCATACCGGAAACAGAGCGCAATTTGCACTGCATTCATGTGGAAAATCCGATTGTGTCAAGCGTAGCAGGAATAAAAATAAAATAAATCACCAGACTTGGAAAAAAAAAAAAAAAAAAAAAAAAAGAAAAAGAAACACACTAGCGTACACTAGCACTCCTCCTAGCACTCTTTATAGTGGTCATACTTGAAATTTAGCTAGATATCTATAGTACAGTCTGGATTTTATATACTTGTATCGACACTAGCGTAAACTCGGCTACATTTAGGTACTCACAACAAAAAATAAACTACTCCTCAGTGACACAGCAAGGGTAAAGGGAAAGAGGTAGAAGAAAGCAGTGTAAATTTATGATTGGCAAGCTGTTGATATAGCACATCGACACACCCACGCAACCACGAAGAGAGTGAAGTAAGAACAAGCGAAAAACAAAGCGCTTGCTAGAGTGATCAAGCAAGCAATCGGAACACTAATCAACTACAGGAAAGCAGTAGGTCACACACTGGCCCCAGACTCTCTCTCTCTCTCTCTCTCTCTCTCTCTCAGACAGATAGACAGAAAGAGACACCCACTCCATCATGCCTGATAAACATAAAATGAAATTGTTTCTGCACTTTAAGCATCCCTCTGGCGAGGATCATCTTGAGCCGTCGACGTCAAACGCCTCCAACAGTCGAAAGTTCCTTGGGTTCCATATCGGGAAGCATGATCTGTCCGATTCATTGACATCGCCAACGTTGACCAATTCGTCATCCGATGCCCACCAACATCAGCACCAACAGTACCAGCAACATCCTCATGAGGTTAATTCACCTGCTACGCAGACCCAGTCACATAACCAGGCAGGCTCGCAGCTGTTCGGCGCAGAAAAGGGAACTGGAGCACTCCATAACTCGCTTCCAAGCTCGCTGTCCATTGCCAGCGGTAACCCTAAACCTAGCATCCATTCTCCAGTCCCAGTGAGCCAAGTCTACCCGGACGAGAACCACACCTTTATGAAATCGAACTCGATGGTTGAGTTGAAGAGGTTTTTCAAACCCACGAAGAAGAATTCGATATCTAGAAAGCAGAATGAGGGCCAATATACCAAGAATATACACTCACCTCCTCCTTTGGCCAACGGAACCGCTGCCGCTGCCGGAGCTGCTGGAATAGCTCCTGGAGTTACAGGATCTCCGGGGTCCAACCTCGGAGCACTATCTTCAGCTGGAAACAGCAGCACGCACCTTGCACTTCACAATCGAGAACAGTCTTCCACTTCCTTGGCAAACCTTATCAACCAGACTTCATCACAGTTACTTCATAATGCATCTCACAGCAACGGCAGCTCATCGACTAAGGACCCCTTCACAGATGACGATTCTCCTTTGGTTAAGAAATACGGGAAATTGGAGAAAGAGTTGGGTAGCGGTGCTGGTGGATCTGTTAGGTTAATCATTAGACCATCCGATCAGAAAACTTTCGCCGTGAAAGAATTCAGACCAAGAAGAAACACTGAATCGTTAAAGGACTACACCAGAAAATGTACTGCGGAATACTGTATTGGGTCCACTTTAAAGCATGCCAATATCATCAAGACTATTGATATAATCCATGAGAATAATCGTTATTTCGAAATCATGGAGTACGCACCAATAGACTTCTTTGCTGTGGTTATGAGTGGAGAGATGTCCAGACAAGAAATAAACTGTTGTCTAAAGCAGATTTTGGAAGGAGTGAGCTATTTGCATAGCCTTGGGTTGGCCCACAGAGACTTGAAATTGGATAACTGTGTTTTAACCACCGATGGGATCTTAAAAATTATTGATTTTGGTAGTGCGGTGATATTCAAGTATCCATTCGATCAGTATGGTGGGAAGGAGAATATTCATTTAAGTCATGGTATTGTCGGATCAGATCCATATTTGGCGCCTGAGGTGTTGAAAAACCCCAATAGCTATAATCCACTGCCTGTGGATCTATGGTCCATTGCTATAATATATTGTTGTATGACATTGAAGAGATTCCCATGGAAAATCCCTAATGCCGAGAAGGATAATAGTTTTAAATTATTTTCCATGGAAGATGATAACTGGCATGATTATAATTTGAGTAATGAATGTCATAAGTTGTTGCTACAACAGAGGAAATTGAAAAATTTGATCGTTAGACTGAACAAAAAGAGGAAAATGTTAGAAGAAGAAGGTGCCAATGGTACAGGGGAAGCTTCTGAGGGTACTGAAGAGGAAGAATCTAAGGGTGGAAACCATCCAGTGGAAGCATCGGAAGGTGGGGACCAGGAGGCCACAGAACCGGATGGAAATGAAGGTAAAGCTGTCAACATGAAGGAAAAGCAAAGCTTGGCAAGTCTTGAACAGCTTAGCGATGAGCAGATTCATGATATCACATTGCAACTTGCAGCAATTGACGCCAAGCTTGATGACTATGAAAACATTAAGACTGAGATGAAAGCAAAATTCAGCGAACAGAAGAAGCAGCAATTGCATTCAGTTCCGCAAAGTCCATCAGGCGGTGAAGACAATGCTAATCCTGGAGATAAGAAAAAGAGCTCTCATCATAAGCAAATCCATGGACCATATAGGTTGATGAGATTATTACCACATGCCTCCAGACCAGTCATATTCAAGATGCTTCAGATTGATCCCAGGAAGAGAGCTACCATGGAAGAAATCATGCTGGATGAATGGATCAAGGATATTAAGAGTTGTACAATAAGGAAGGGTGGCAATGGGATTGGTTTAAATGGAGAACTAGATGGAGAAACTGAAGAAGAAGAGATTGTTGAGCATGGAAGTCCACCACACAAGCATACGATTGTCAACGACAATGCTGCAGAAGAAGCAGAATAGTCTGAAAGAAAAAAAAAACATATCAAGAAAATAGACGTGTATAATTATATACTGTATCTTTTAGTTAATCATAGTTAATATCAACTAGGAATGATACTAGCGTGTAGATTAAATACTTCAACAAATTATTCATAGAGAATGTATCTACTGTGATTTTTTTTTTTTTTTTTTTTTTTTTTTCACTTTTTCATTGATAAGAAAAATGTGAGCTCAATTGATTTTGTTAGTTAAACAACTCCTTCTCTATAGCGCTCATTTGACATGGCACCACCCCCTGTGAACCCCACGGTTCGTCTTAAGGTAAGCTTGAAAACTGCCATTAGCAAATTAAAGTTTGTGCAAGACAAGAAAACGGCCTTGGCCAAACAACAGAGAAGGCAATTAGCAGATTTATTGAAGCTGGGAAAGGAATCCAGTGCCACTATTAGAGTAGAGAATATCATCAGGGATGATATATATGTAGAATTATTAGAGTACATAGAGTTATACTGCGAGCTACTCTTAGCTAGAATCACACTCATCATGGACCATGCGAGAACCACTTGCGAGCCAAGTTTAGTAGAGGCTGTACTGTCGTTGATCTACGCAGCTCCTCACACTGAGTTAAAGGAGATCACAGTGATAAGAGAGATATTGATCCACAAGTACGGTGTAGAGTTTGGCAAGGCTGCTGCAGACAACGAATCCGGCTCGGTTCCCAGCAAGATAGTCTCGAGGTGTCAATTTGAGCCACCTTCAGAGACATTGGTTAGGCTCTATTTGTCTGAGATTGCGAGAGCTTACAAGGCACCATATTCGCATTTGGTAGAGGAAGAAGAAGCTGAGGAAATAGATGCCAAGCAAGATCCGCCAGCGGGAAGTGATGAAGACGACGACGAACCAAGTGGAGGTGTAGCAGAGAAGGTGTTGGAAGCACCGATAGGCGCCGAGGAGCCTGTCAAGAGTGCACCTAAGAAGGCACAGGACGAATTTGATGCTCTCAAGGCAAGGTTTGCTGCCCTCAAGAAGTGAGCACTCGAGTATATACATATACATAACATAAATGTACCCATCACCAGCAATAAAACAGACAATACATGCACACGACAAGCAAACAACACACGCACTGAAGTATAGTCCCTTTACATGAACCCTGTAAACTCCCTCCTTCTCACTACTCTCGCGCATCGCTGTTATCCCTCTCACTACTCTCCCTCATTACCGATGCCGCCCCACACTCGCTCCACACTCGCTCCATCTCTTCACTATGGAGATTTTCTCACTATCCAAAGTTTTTTATGATGCTCATTTTTCCGAAGCGATTCAGTTTCGTGTTGTGGTGATTGTTTATTTACATCTGGTTGTATATCAGTCTATGGAACTTTACTAGCGTACCTATGTCGAAGATACTAACGCCGAAACAACAAGAAGAGCTAAATAAGGCAGTACTACAATACCTCGAGCCATTGCTCAAGGAGGACTCTTCCACAGACGCTTCATCCGTAGAAGATGCGTTGAACAAGATCTTGAATGTCGAAGCAGAAAGCAATATAATACCCAACTATTTGGAAAAGAAATGGTCTACCGTGCTACGCTTGCAACGTCGTATAATAGACTTGGAAACTGAAGTGAAATCGTTGAAATTGGCGTTGGAAAGTAGACCTGAGGTGCCAGCGCATGCCATCAATGGAACTGTGAATGGAGACCTTGGCCCATTCGCCTCGTCCTCCAAGTTGAATTGGATCCCAAACGTGTCGATCAAGAACTTTCCAACCCAGGCTACCCAGATTGTATCTGCTGTACAGATCCACCCAAAATTGCCCATTATATTTAGTGGTTGCTCAGATGGTGCTCTTGTGGTGTGGAGTATGGTGAATGACCAAAGCACGTCAGGAATACCTGAAAAGGTGATCAAGGCACACACAAGAGGAATAAACCGTATAAGGACGTCATTGAGCCCTCTCGATTTGGTCAATAAGGGCAGCAGTAGTGGGGACTACTTGTTGGCTACCTGCTCGTCCGACTTAAGTATCAAGATTTGGAATGCAGAGACTTACCAGCATGTAAGGACCCTCTCTGGCCACGATCACACGGTTTCGTCTATAGCGTTCTCCATTGCAAAGCCTACTACGTTGTACTCTGTGTCCAGAGACAAATCCATAAAAGTGTGGGACTTAACAAATGGGATCTGTAACAAGAGCTATGTGGGACACAGCGATTGGGTAAGAGATGTTGATGTCTCTCATACCCCAACCGACAAAACGTCGTCCGTTGGTGAATTCTTATTAACCTGTTCCAACGACCAGTCAATCAGGTTGACTCATGCAGAATCTGGGACTGGTTTAGCATTGCTTATAGGGCACTCTCATGTAATCGAAAGAGTGAAATTCTTACCAGTAAGCTCAAATTACTATGTTGATAAATACTTGAAAGACAAGCATTCTTCGAAGTTCTCCAACATACCGAAGGAGCTTATTGAAAATCCGATTTATACAAAGGTCCTAGGCTATAAGTACTGTATATCTGCTGGGAGGGATAATCTACTCAAGCTCTGGTTGCTCCCACCACCAGAACTCAAACCACACCGAGATCCAATGCCATCACAATACAACAACTCTCAAGGTTGGTTTCTCTGTGATATGGTAGGGCACCTGTCATGGATTAAGAGTATTGAGGTGCACCCTAATGGAAAATATATATTCAGTGCTGGGGACGACAAAAGTATAAAGATGTGGGACTTGAGTCTACTTGCAAGTGGTAATGCAAATTGTGTCAAGACTCTTAATGGGCACAATGGTTTCATTACAGATATAAACTTTGCACCCGTACAGGAAGAGGAAGTAGGAGAATCCGAAACCAGAACTAAAAAAGGAGATGAAACAGAGGAAGACGTAGAAGTCGCTCACGAGAAGCTAATGAAGCTGATAGAATCGAGAATAAGGTGCATCTTTGTGTCTGGTGGCATTGACAACTCAGTTAGAGTATGGAGTTGAAAGCAAAGGTGTACCAGGATGTTTTAATGTGTACAATATGTAAATTAGTCGATAATATATATTCTTTTTTTTTTTAAAAAAAATAAGTGGCACCTAAGTCTTTACTCTATGATTTTATGATGTTTTTGATCTAACCTTTTACAATGTACTCTGGTGGTGATCTTTGTGCCCATTCTGTCCAGCTTCCGTCATAAACTCTGATTGGAATATCTGATCCAAGAACAGACTCAAGCGCAACTCTGACTATGACCGCAGTGACACCAGTTCCACATAAGACTATGATCCCCTTTTCCTTGGGGAAGTCAGCCTTTGATTTCAAGTCAAGTCCAAAGTCCTCTTTCAAAAGTTGGCTTATTTCCTCTGCGCTTTTGAAAGTCTTATCCTCATTAAGAAGCTTTGTGAATGGCAAGGACAAGGAAGATGGAATGTGACCAGATGGTAAGCCTGGTCTTGGCTCTGGAGCAGCTCCTGTGAACCTGTCATTGGATCTAGCATCAAACGTAATGTAGTCCAGTTCCAATTGACCGGATTTCACCAAGTCTAAGAGCTCTTCGAACTCTATCACCTGAGACTTGTACGCTTCCGCAAAGTCCGATTCTGAAATAGACAGGTAAGCGTCAGGGGTGGCTTCGGTATTGGTGGTGGTTTCAGATACTACTGCTCTGGTATCCAAAGGATACTCGCTCTTGAGGTATTTCGCAAAGTTATCCAAGAGATAAACTTGCTTATGGCCAAACAATGACAAGTTCCAAGCGGCCCTTGGACTGGAAAATATTCCATCTCTATCATAGACTACAAGCTTATCGGTAGTCGAGATTCCCAATTTGGTGAGTGACCTGTTGAAAAGGTCCAATGGTGGTAGCATATGAGGATATTTGGAACCTTGCAATGCAATTGCATCAAGATCGAAGTATGCTGCCTCTGGCAAGCGGTTTTCCTGGAGAAATCTACCCTTACCATTCAAGGGAGAGTTAGGCATATACCAAGTCGCATCAACAGGGATCACTCTTGAAGTAGGTCTGGAGCTTGAGAGAAGAGCCCTATAGCCGGCGGGGGAGATAACTGATAATTTAGGCATGAGATCGGCTACTATTGGAGAACTACACCGGTCCAGAAGAAGGAAGTAGCTAGCTGCTTTCTCACTAATACTTTGAAAACCAGTCGAGCACGGTGAGCCACAGTGTTTTGGTGGTGCAAATTCCCCCACATGGTGCAAAAAAACGTACTCCGAGTCGCAATTCTAGGGGCAGCACGGCCGCAGAGTCGCTAAAATGGGCCCGCGATTCTGGCGATCATGGGGAAAATAGCGCCATGAGGCGCTAAATGCAACATTACTAGCGTCTGGTTGGCGAGCGTCTTAGCAGGTTGCAATTTCACAGTATACCTATGCTCCAACAGTCTAAAACATGTCTTCATTTTTGCAAAGGATGGCAAAAGTCGAACAGTTTAACTACAATCTTCACTTTGCAAGCATGGCAATATTCAAACAGTTTGACTACATTCTTCACATTTACAGAAATAGCTCTAGTTCGAACAGTCTATGTACATTTCTTCACCTTTTCACTCTAAGTACGCTCAAACAGTTTCAAAACATTTCTTCACTTTTGCAAAACGGCTATATTCAAACGGTCTATGTACATTTCCTGGTATATCCATATAAACGATGATCTTTTATTTATAATCCCAGCGTTATTCATAAGTTGACATTCAAATTGTCACTTAATCTCGAAGTATCTGCTTTCATAAATTCTCTTAGGGCCATGGTAGCATAGGCACTGACTCCTAATTGAATTCTCAATACTACCGCAGTCTTGACTTCGGCACCTTCTTCCAATTGCCCTTCAATGGTTCTCTTTGGAACGAAGTCTACCTCTCCCTTTTCCTCAGCTTCTTTTTTCAACCTTAAAAGCTCTAAATCGGTACGTATCAATGGTTGACTTGGATCGGTGTATTTCACGATATCGTAAGACAACTTTTCTGGTTTGGTTATAATATTTCTATATGACCCAGCCAAAGAAAACTCTCTCACCTTCCTTCCCATGCTATGCGGGTCTAAGTTGTCCTTTGCCATAACTTCTACGTAAACTTTCTCTAAGTCTGGGTTTGTTGGGTACTTGATGTCAAATCCTGGAGTAGGCAATACCACATCGTAGATGGAGAATTTACCACTTTCAATATCTTCCTTTGTTAAGGCCCTGGCTCTAATGAAGGTGTTAGTGGCTACATCTTCTTCAAAGTCTTCATCATCTTCTTCGTCCTTTATTCCTTCAGCTTCTCTCTTTTCCTTCTCAGTTCTATTATCAATTACCAAGTCACCTACTTGTACCTCAAGTCCAAACAATTCCACTCTTTTAGATACTACTTGATTCCAAACGTAAGACTGATAAGCATGTGCATACATGATACGCAAATTTCTTGGAATTGACATGATAGCCTTGAAATATGAATTGGAACTATACTGCTCTTCTGAATTTAGTGGCTCCCTTTCCAATACAGATAAGATAGAGTGTTCCGCAGTACATCTTCTCGGCATTTTCTTCAAAGTCAATGATGGGTTAGAAGTCTCTGCCCAGATCTTTCTAGCTTCCACAGAGTCAGGAGAAACGATTTCTTGCTCACTAAGAATTAACTCAGCAGCTCCCTTCCAATCTTCTTGCAAGATATGAATCCCCAAGCTATGAGTAGAAATTGAGAAGGTTCCAAATCTTTGCATACCGTAATAGTTGATAAAACCTTTGGTTTTCAAAGAATCAAAGCATTTAGCGACAACATCCTCCACATTTTCTTCAGAATTATCATTCTTGAATGTCTTTGCATCCCTAATGGTAATAACAAACTCATTTCCCAATAAATCTCCCAAACTCAACGATTGGTCCTCATAGGTGAAACCTCCCAAAACAGCACCTCTAAGTCCCTTGTTTAAAGAACTAACTCTTGCAACTTTTCCCTTATGAATGGAAAATCTCTGTGCTGTTACACCTCTACGATCTTTTGTACCTGCGTATCGAATAGATTTGGAAGGAATTCTCAAAAATTTACTGATGGTGGAAGCAATTTCCATGGTTTCCTTGTTTTCCTTGTATACTGTAAAGTGTAAATAATGCTTGAAGTGACCTAATCCGTAATTGATAACTCCATTTTCATCAACATGGTTGATACTTTCTTGAGTTCTTGGTCTTCTTGGGTTACTCGAATTCTTGGCCAAAGCAATTTTGAATGTATTTTCAGGTGAAGTTATAGTTTCCAATTTATTCTGGAATGATTCACGGAATAACTGATGTAACTTTCCTCTAGATTGCTTTTCAGGGAACTGGGATTTAGTTTCCATGTTATTACCAGTAGAGAATAACTCTTCAATTTGAGCTAATTCTTCCAACGTAATAAACTCTAAGAGCTTAGTCTTATTTTCTTCAGACAACTCGTATTTAGGTTTCTGCTCCTCTTCTAATCTTTTTGCTTCTTTGATTTCTTCAACTTCTTCTTGGGTTTTATCTTGAAGATCAGAACGTTCCTTTTGCCTTTGCTCGAGCCTGCGTTCTCTTTTAGACTTTCCCAAATCTACACCTTCATCAGCCAAGTGAACTACATTTCCCTTCGTGTCAATTTCATTGACCAAGAAGTCAGAATACCGCTGCTTAATGGTACCGTAAAACCCACCTCCATTGGAATTAAGGTCATTCAAATACTGCGTGATTCCAACATCCTTCTCTTGAATAACTTTAGAAGCTCTCTCGGCTGGGGTAAGTTGGTACTGCTCAAATTTCGGTTTCTTTGCATCTGATTCAACACCAGAGGGCCCGTCAATTACTCTCTTATTTTGCTCCATTTTTTCAAATAATTTAGACCTACGAAATACTGCAAACTTGAACAAATTAGATAGTTATTTCTTATATCCTATCATCGGTTTCGTGGTGTAGATGAGATTATCATACGGTGCATTCAATTTTTCAAGTCCTAGTGAAGCTCCAAAGAAAGCGAAGAGCTCATCGCGGAAGCTTCTATGCAGATTCTGCATAAACAAGCAGGAGGTTAGGCCCGCTTATTGCAGGAGCAGATCTATTTAGTTGCAGTCGAGATGGGGACCAGGTACGTAATATGTATTAAATTTTGCTACGATTTGATTTGAAACTGGAAGTAGAAGTTGTCGATGTGGGAGCTCAAATGTCACTATAGGAGAATGCTTAATTTTTCAGGCTTTGGTATTTTTTCGCTGTTTGCATTTGTACATTAAATAGTCCATCAACTTTGCAAGATTAGCCACAAATTAATATTTTGAAACATAGGAGATGTAATTCGGATTATATTCCTTTATATATACAACGGTAGCTAAAACATTCTTGCTATACTAACATCTGCTGCTAACGACTACCTAATTGCTAATCCATTTTTCACGCCCTGCAGATGTTCCATGCTGGAGTTCCAACTGCTAACAATGTCAGCCCTTATACATGCGTTTCCACGAACTCATACAACACTTTGCCTCATTTAGCCACTGATCTGTCAAGATATTCAAAAGCTGGGCTTAGAAGGTTTGCTAGATCTATTTATCAGTGGAGCTCGTCTAAGGTTGACGATGACGGAGAAGAGATAGACAAGCTGGATCGGCAACAATTGCAGCCTAAATTCCAGACTCTTCAAACTGAGTTCTCAAAGTTAAATTTCAGAGAAGATATGAATATAAAAACTGCACTAGCGAAATGTAATAGACAACCCGATTCCTTCACAACATTGAAGAATTTTGAAAAGGTATCTTCTCATCCTTCAAGCCAAAAGAGAGTCATAGTGATTGTGAACATTCCTGAGGGAACCGGCATTTCGAGCATTCTCGCACAAGTGTGCGGTGGTCCAATGGAAAGAATTAACTTCTACAGGGGAAGAGGCAACAGAAATGCAAATGTGGCTGAACTTTACTTCATCTTCCCAGAGCATGCCCGCAAGTTTCATGAATATGCTACGACTACTCGATTTTTCATCGTAAACGGCTACGCTTTGCAAGTTGAATGGGCGGATCGAAGCAATTCAGAGGATTTGGATGAATTTCACCCGCAAGTACCTTCCTATTTGGCTAAAGAGATACTTCATTGGGGAGCTAGGAGATGTCTTGTCTTTTCCAAAGCTGTGCCATCGAAGACTATCAAAAACACCAATCAGCTACACTATCCTTCAGCCAAATCCCATTTCACGAAGGGACTAGACATTTCGCAGATAAGAAAAGATCTAGTAGTCTTTGGCGAAATTCTAGACATTGGTCCTGTGATCTCTAGGAAAGTATGCTTCTCTGTCCAATTTGCAGATGTGAGATCTGCAGTGGTTGCGAAAAAGGTCTGTGAGACCGTTGGATCTCCACTATACGACCAATTTAAGGACTGGTCACTATGGTATGGTAAGGACCCAACTGACTTACCTTGTATAGGAAAGTAAAAGTCTATTTTTTATACCCTGAAACATACTTATTGTCTACTATTGTTCTCCCTGTACCTTGACAAGTTGTAGAGTGGAATTTCATTAATCCGTAGTCAAGTCCATTTTTTTCTCTCTTTCTCGCTTAAATTCAGGGCTGCAACTTCGTCCAAATCGGGCAATATTCACCATCAACAATACTCCTGCAGATAATAATTACCAATGTTTATACTTCTAGTTTTTTTTTTAGGTTCAACTTTATTTTAGCTTTTGACGGGGAGGGTCTCTGATATAATCACATTGTCCGACGGATTTACTAGAATCTTTTTTGTTATTGAGCGACCGTTATTATTTTGCGTAGCAATACATCATTAAAACTTAATAGTAGCAAATAATTCTGTTTTTGCCTATCATAAAAAAGTGTCTGTGTTCGGCTGACAAGAACCAATCGCTTAGATCAAGTAGATTCTCAAGCAAACGATTCAACACTCTCACTTGTGTACCAACGTAGTCGGGAATCATAATTACCGGGAGATCATCCGTTACTAATGTCGTACCAAACACCTTCTAGATCAAGGTCGTCACTAGGATATCATGCCTCCAACTCGTCCACAGGCTCACTAAGTCGCACAGGATCGAACTCATCCGTAAAACCTCATGTTAAGATTGCGCCCGACTTGAGAAGACCTCCTTCATCCAGAGGGAGCATGTTCGGAGGAATGTCCTCTCCACAACCGAGGTCAAGACCAGGTTCTGCCATGGGATATTTCAGCAATTCAACAAGCAGTAGCAGTAGTAGCAGGCCTCCTACACCATCCTTCCTGAAAACGGAACCTTACACCGGGTCTATAACGGTGTCCATAAGGCCGAACCCTTACAGCGTCAATGCACTGCAGCCTCCAGTATGGGAGCTCAACACTGGAGTGAATTCTATTTCTAACAAGCAAGATATGTCCTCCTTTGTCTTTGATAATGTGTTCCCCGTAGATACATCTACCACCAATTACGCTGTTTATCAAAAATCTTGTTCCCCGATAGTTGATAAGTTCTTAAACGAGGGTTATAATGGGACTGTTTTCGCATATGGAATGACCGGATCTGGTAAAACATTCTCCATGAGAGGTGACCAACAGGATCCTGGGTTTGTAAAGTTGGCAATAGACGATATATTCAAGATGATTGATTCGAACTCAATGAATTCTCAAAAAGAGTTCAAAGTTAGCATCACCTATTTGGAAATATACAATGAGAAGATAATAGACTTGTTATCGTCTTCTCCCGCTTCTGGCGCCTCGATGGACTTGAAAATTAGGGATGACTCGACTTACGGAAATACTATTGTTGGGATTACTTCTCCAGTAATATCGTCTAAGGACCAACTATTGCAATTAATCAAAAAGGGTGACAATAACAGAAAGACTAGTGCTACTGATTTCAACGCCAGGTCATCAAGATCTCATTCCATATTACAAATAAAGCTAAACACTGTGGATTTGGTTGAAAATAGTGAACAGCACTCCATTTTGTCGTTGTGTGATCTTGCTGGATCTGAAAGAGCAACTTCATCATTGGAAAGAAGAAAGGAGGGTGCATATATCAATAAGTCACTTTTGGCTTTGTCTACTGTAATCAACAAATTGTCCGTGTCGTCTGCCAATTCTCCTACGGCATCTTCAATGCAGCTGCAGTTACAAAATCCCCAACTGCAACAAGAGCACATCCCATACAGGGATTCTAAATTGACCAGAATATTGCAACCGGCATTATCTGGATCTTCATTAATTTCAATTCTTTGTACCATCCATTTGGGATCAGGAAACGAGCAAGTTAATTCACTTAATAACCAATTTATATCTGAAACTTACAATACCTTAAGATTTGCTGCCAGAGCGAGGAATATAGTTATGAACGTGAACAAAAATAGATTCTCCACTTTCACTGATAATGCAGACACAATTAAGTTGGTGGAGGAGTTGAAGAGGACTATTGAATCACAAAAGAATGAACTACAATTGCTTAAGTTGCTGAATCGTATGGGAGGGTCACCATTACTGTCGTCTGGTGCAGTCTCTTCAAACATTGAGACGGACTCGAAAATATCTCAGTTGGAAGGTGAAAATAAAATATTGAATGAGAAGCTTGAACACTTAACAAGATTAACCGATCTCCAGAAAACAGAGACCATTATTTTGAAGAACGATATCTTGAACGATATGTTGGGATCCGGTATAGATAACAATGCACTGCAAGTCATGATGGCAAACTTGGAAGAGTTTTACAAAAGAATAAACTATGAAATGGATGAATACAAATCTTATATTAACCACTTGGAGAATCAACTTAAGTATTCTCATTCTCAAAATTCTCTTAATGAATCAGGCATTCAAAACTCCGTCAAAACTAACACCACTAACGACCTTGATTTCGAGGCTGTATTAAAAGACCAAGAGGAGGAGATATGGCATTTGAAGGAGTTGATCAAAGACAAAGATCACATAATAAAAAGTCTTACAAAGACATCTAAGTTGCGTAGATTGATGGAGTCAAATTCCGCAAACTTACTGGAAGCTAATAATAACAGTAGTAGCAATGAGATTAAAAATCCTACTGCCAGAGTACCTGAAGGGAGAGATAAAGAGAACAATGCATACGGTGAATTGAAGTCATTTAAAATTGGAGGTAGACCTTCATCACCGGAGAAGGAGAGGAACCTGGCATTTGAAATGTAACACTATTTTATAATACAATCACAGTTCGTCTAAGAAATATAAGCTTATAGTATGACTTTATTACTCTATTCTAATTTACACCATTTCTCATTTTATATCCAAGAATTAGTAGGTCTTTCTTGGCCAACTTTTAAATCAGCTCTTTTTGTTTGACTTCCCAGGACTATACTAAGCTTGCTTTGTTCATTCAGCTTTCTCTGTGGTCGTGCTTGATTAACAGCATTTGCAATAAAAGGTCCTGTAGCAGATAATTTATTGGATTTACCATTGAGCTCGGATGACTCAGCCAGTGATTCATGTATCCTTGGACGAAGTTTGGCGTCATTGAAATCTTGCTTTATAACGTTAACAAATTTATGGTCCATATCGGCTGTTCTTTCACCAGAATTAAACAAACCCGTTGAATCACAAATTTTGACAGAATATCCTATCGATTCTTCGGATCTTGAATCATTGAAGAATTCTACCTTATCTCCATCGAACAATTGAACTTTACGTCCCTTTCCTAATATCACGCCATTCACTAAGCATGAGTTAGTACTGCAATCCAATAACCAAACATCATCAAGACAGTGAGCGGGACTTTCATATATTGATAATTCCAAGACCGGATGTCTCTTCTTATTGAACAAACAATGAATTTTAGACATTCTATCATCATTAATGAAAATATCACATGATTCATGACGTCCAATTGAAAATGGATTGACACCTTGTCGTATGTATATAGGCTTCTTAGAGAGTGATTGGGATAACGGCACAAGTGCCATAAATGTATCAATTGGGATTTCCAGTTCATTACTAGTAGTGTCATTATTATCCATCTTAATACCATTGGAAGCTTCTTGGTGTGCATCCTGTGACCAAATGTTTGATGTTTGTGGTACATCTGCTCCTCCTCCGAACCTTTGAGATATATTCAATGATGAAAGATCAACTTTATCGATGATTTGTGGCTTAATTCTCTTCCTATCAGAAGGTGAGATGACATCACCATCTCCACTACCACTGCTACCACTATCGTCCAATGAATGCTTACGTTTCAACACTTCTTTAATGCCATATTTTGAAATCATTGGGATTCCCAAATCTGGGCTATTTTCATTAGATGATGTAAGCTTGAGATGCTCTTTTTCATCTTCGGGAATAGAATCAGGCAACTGCAGGTTTGGCTTCCCTGCGCCATATCGATGTGGTTGTGATGGTTGCAGTTGACGCTGCTGTGATAAGGGTTGCTGTGATTGTGGTAGAGGAATAACTCTTTTAGGTATCTTAAATTCATTTGCTTTAGTTTTCTTATTCTCCACCAATGGCCTCTTCATTATATCTTCATCAATTTTGCTCATAGACATATTAAATATACCACTTGCTCCTTCCCCTCCACTTCCATTATTATTCTTACGTGACTGTTGAGACTGAGATTGGGATAAACTAATTACCTTTTGCAGATCTGCTCCTTCTTGGCTGTCATCATCTGGCACTGAATCAACTCCAGCCAACCACACATGCTTTAAAGCTTCAGATGCAGAGAATCTTAATCTTGGATTTACTTGAAGGCAGCAATTTAAAAAATCTCTTGCATTTTTGGAAATTTTGTAGGAGTTTAAAGGAGATTCGTGATATTCTCCTGATTGGATCTTTTGAAACATTTGTTCTTGAGTCTTTCCATTAAATGGTAAATGCGATGTTAAAAGAACATAAACTAGACATCCCAAAGACCAAATATCAACTAAACACGAATAGTTACTACTTCTTGCGTTAGTTTTTGGGTCCACATGATGCTGTTGATGTTCGTATTTTCCACTTATAACTTCGGGAGCCAAATATGCTAAAGTACCGCAGAATGTCTTCATGAAAGTTGCATTGTCACTAATCTTGGCTAAACCAAAATCAGTTATTTTAACTAATATCGGATCATCTTGCATAATAAGGATATTATCAGGCTTCAAATCTCTATGCGATATTCCCATTTTATGGACGTAAGCAATTCCATCCAAGATTTGTTTTGTTATCACTTGACATGCATCTTCACCTATGGCACCATTGGCTGCAACAAAATCCATCAAATCTCCTCCAGGAACGAATTCCATCACCAAATAGTAATTGTCCATATCCTCATAAAAAGACTTTAAGTAAACTATATTTGGGTGGTTTAATTTCCTCAAGATCGACAATTCTCTATCTACACCACCAACAGCACTGCTAGTGTTCAATGCCTTTCTACGATTTATGATCTTAACCGCATATGACTTCCCAGAAGATCTTTCAATGACCTTCTTTACTGTGGCGAATGCTCCTTGTCCTATTACTTCATTCTTGATTATGAAATCCTTCAAGATGCCTTGTTCATCCTTATAAGCCGATTGGCTCTGACTGGACTTGGAAGGGTTGTATTGGTCTGCAAATAAAACCACAAATTTCACAACGTCTTTAGGTACGCCTACCCCAACCGCTATTTCGTCTCCTTGATTCAAAATGTAGTTGGAGCCCTTTACTAGTCTATGACCATTTAAATTGGTTCCGTTGGTGGAAGTGTCCTGTATCCACACCGTTTTGTTTTCCTGGTTAAACCAAAGCTTGAAATGACGATTTGATAACCTTGTGCACAGCGTCAATAAGAAATCACAGTCCTGATTTCTTCCAAAGGTCCATACTCGAGATTTAGAATCCGGCAGTAAGTCCTCCACTGACAAATCAAAGTAGTTATACTGGCCCGTTGTACATATTAATCTACATATGATGTTTTTGTCCAAATCATTTGTGCTGTCCTGAGTTAATGGAGATTGCTGAGTAGGTTGAGTTTGAGGTTGAGTAGGTTGAGTGAATTCCATATTGAATTCAGTTTCAATAAACTCAATGACTGAAGAAGGAACGAAATCAGGTAATGAAAAGAAAAAGAAAAAATACCTGTCACTTCAATTTTCAGTGTGTATATAATTTCCCCAGTTTTCTTTCAGTAGTCAATGCTACCGTAACTGCCACTACTACTACTACTAATACTACTAACAAATGTGTTACAATGGCGAAACTTGTGTGACATCGTTTCTCTTTATTTACTACTAAGCATATACGCGTCAAAACTGGACTGCACATAACACAGAGATTCTGAATTTTCGCTAAGTGAAAATTCGCTTAATTACGACGGTACTGCATATGGAACGCATAATTGCAGCCGTTCCAGTAGAAGGAGAGTGGTTTGGTGACAGATGAGTCAATGCTACGAGAGATGATCTACTCTTAGTAATTGGTTTCCAACTTATCGTCATATTAAGGAGTTTTGACTACGCTTGGATCTAATTATACATGAATCATGAAAAGACATTAATCTTTGGAGAGGAGAGGATGTTGCCAGTATTATTAAATACTCTTTACTGAGTGTGCAAATGAGATGGTTGGGTTGAGCTCATTGTTTTCTTCTTGGCCATCAACATCTAATAAATTGAACTCTTCTTCTTTGTCGTTGTAATGACGGAAGCATAACCAGAAGAGCACACCTGCAATGAAACAAGAAACAGCTAAACCAGTGTAGGTCCACACATATTTAGGATCAATGGCAGTGGATGATAATGCAATTCCTAAGGCTGAACCAAACGCGTTTGTAACCAAAAATAAGGACATGATGAATGACTTCATGGACACAGGGGCCTTAGTGTATGCGTATTCTAAACCGGTAATGGATGCTAAAATTTCGGACATGGCAATTAAGAAGTATGCTGGAGCTTGAATGGCAACGTGAACACGGTTTGGGATATCAGTGTAACCAGCACAAGCCAACGGCTTATCGTAACATGGACCTGCTAAGTAAATGTAATGCTGTAAGACAGCAGCATAAACCATAGCACCTGATCCGAACATGAACCCCCAGAAAATCTTGGTGATAGGCTTAAATGGAGTGAACTTTCTGATGAATGGGTAAACTAAACGTTCACAGATTGGAATAAAGATAATGATTGCAAGCGAATCAATTGCTTGTAAAATATCGTTAGGCAACCCATGCAATTCCATTTCAGCAGCTTGGGAGATAAAGTTATTCAACATTTGACCATAAACAACCCAGTAAATTGGATAGAAGAGGAAAACTTTACAGGCATAAATTGCTCTTCTCACTTCTTCTACAAACTTATCATTCCATGGGTATTCAGCTTCTGGCGTAACCGATGGCTTAGCGACATCTAAGTTAAATCTGTTCTTCAAACCAATAAAGGCAACCTTGAAACTTTTAGAAATGATTTTGTCACTAACTGGAACCTTGACATAGGCTTTTCTTCCTACAATTAAAGTAAAGACTCCAATGAAAAAGAAACAAGTTGGCAATAAGTAAGCAGCCCAGAACCCAACACGTTGCTCTAATTCTGTTGTGGCAATAACTGAGAGAGAACCAATATTGATCATAAGATAGAAAAACATGAAAACCGATTGAACAGTGATATTTGGATCTTGAACAACCTTTTTACCGTTCTTCAAGACTCTAATGATAGGAGAGTTCTTTGGGATTTGATCAGCAATTAAAGGTGCAACGTTGGACTTGACCCCACCGGTAGCAATACCGATAATGATGATACTAACAATGTAACCACCTAATGATGCATTATGGGATGCAACACTTGGAACTGAGGTGATGAAAAGAATCAATAAACCAACAATATATATACCACAGGAAACACAAATTGCATTGTATTTCCCCCAATAGGTATCAGCCATGTAAGCTCCAAGAATAGGAGTAAGGTAACACCAAAATTGGAAAAAGTATGATAAAGCAGTTGCACCTTGGGAACCCAAGTTTAACACACCAGCTGGTGAATCGCTAGGTCCATTTTGCATATAGTTTTGGAAAACACCTGAAATACCATAGTAGGCGAATCTTTCACAGAGTTCAACGACTGCAACCAACCAACATGAAAGTGGAATTCTTTCGGCGACATGTCTAAGAGTTTTCAACTCTTCAAGAGTTGGTTCTCTTCCTTCGTCTTCGTCATAAGACTCGATATCTCTACCCTCGGTAGGTGTAGCAAAATCGCAAATCTCTTCGAGAGGTTCCTTTTCCTTAGTGTCAGTGTTTACTTGTGGGGCTGACATCTTTTAACTTTAATGAATGGTTTTATTAAAAGAATAGAAGGGAAAAAAGTATAAGCTGCAAATGAAAAGAGCGCAAGATCTACACATTAAGTATTGCGGCTAAGAAAAATGTTCATCAGCATGGAAAAGAAGGCGCTATCATTGTACTGAGAAGAGGAGATAAGGATATGCTTGCCTATTAGTTGTGCTTGAAATTGCATCAGCTACTTTCTGCCGTTCCGTTTGCTCGATGCAGCATTTTTTCAAGCGGAATCTTGTCTACATACCCCGACTTACCACTTTTCATAAGGCTTAACTTCAGATTAACTTATTCAACACTAGGGAATATTGGCTTTGCTACAAGTGCCTACCCATTACTTCATGGCATTTTAAGAGCCATGGCATGGACTGGCTGTTAACTACGGCATTAATGGAACCATATGAAATATTTATGGAAGGTGTTGCTTTGTTAGCGCCGCATTGGAAGAATGCGCTTTAAAGCAAATCTCAGAAATGTAACATGAAATCTCATCGGCACTATGCAAAAATTGTATACCGATAGATGAGTACGCTTTTACCAATATGGTTTGAATCATACTTGATTTCCGTGATTGCATCATATCCAGGGTGACTAGGACACTATTTCTATACTGCTAGAGTCATTTGTAACCTTAAATCTGTTAGACCTGTTCCAAATGATACAACCTAGTGCCTGCATGAAAAAGCGGATGGGGAAAAACCTTGCGGCTAATGGAAGAAGAGCGGCATTTCATGCTGCAGCCTTATATGCGAATATAGGCAAGTTCCGATGGTGGACGGAGCTACACAGCTCTCGAAACTAGGTTACGAGACATAAAGTTTATGGTTAACACATGAGGGGTCGTTCTTTCGTTCAGGAAGCCAAGAATAGACCGTTATACACATGGCTTCTTCCCCACAGAGAAAGTACTTGTCTAAAGTTACCAAAATGAAGTGAAAACATCTAGAGAGAACGCATGAGAGTAAACAGCGAACGCATATCCAAAAAAAAAAAATACTCCGGGCTAAAAATCACCCTTTGTTGAAAATGTGAACGCTGCCGAAACATGAGGCAATATATCATTCAAAGCCTTCAATAAGATAGATACCTGGCCGACTCGCCGATTTGGGTGATTATCTACGGTGTTGATCTTAATGCATCTCTCTGCCGGACAATGCCGTTATCTAAAGCAAAAAGATAGACACTAAACTTGAATGGGATGAGACGAAGGCTCAGCGACTTATTGTAACACAAACTACAAGAGGATAATTTTCATATATCAAACAAAGAAGAGATGAAGAATCCTGCATAAGCCATTCTCTATGTAAAAGCATATCTAATGTGTAGTTGATCTAATTTAGCACCCCACATTAGTGGACTGGCCAGTAGCCTGGTAAGAGGAAGTGCATTTTCTCCAATAATTCCTTCTTGACACCATGTGGACTTGTACTAACCGAGTATTTCATAGAGCCAGCCAAATCTTCACCAATCTTACTGATATTGTTTTCTAAGTCATGGGTGACAACCCTAATCAATTCGGCTGCAACCTTGGCAGCGTTAGCACCGTTTGCCTTTAAGTTACCAACAACAGTTTCGACAGTAACAGGCTCTTCACTTTCATTCCAAGAATCGTAATCGGTGGACATACAAATCATTTGGTAGGAAATTTCAGCTTCTCTGGCCAACTTACCTTCTGGTAAGACTGACATATTGATGACTGAACCACCCCAGGTTCTGTATAATCTCAGCTCGGCTCTAGTACTGAATTGTGGACCTTCCATACAGATGACAGTTAAGTCCTCGCCCTTGTTGGTGGTGTGTTTGGTGTGGAAGGTAGGAACGGCCTTGGAGTCGTGCTGTTCTAAGAAGCCAGAGGTGGGAATCGACTCGCTGATTAACTTGTTCAACCTCAAGTCGAATGGCTCTCCAAACATCGCGTGAGCAACGAACCCCTTCTCAAAGAAGGTGTGTGGTCTAATACCCTTTGTTCTGTCGATTATTTGAGTTGGTAAGACAAAGTCACGGGGCAAGATTTCAGGCTGCAAGGAACCAACAGCAGAGAAGGCAACGATCGCCTTTACCCCTAAACTCTTCAAAGCGGCGATGTTTGCCCTAGATGGAACATCGGTAGGCAACAAGTCGTGGTGTAAACCATGTCTGGCCAAGAAGGCAACTGGAAATCCGTCAGCGGTTTCAGAAATGGTGATTGGAGAAGATGGGAATCCCCATGGTGTGGACACGGTCAATCTAGCGACAGGTTTAATGTTTGGTAAGTCATAGAACCCGGTACCACCAATGATGGCGAACTTGATTGGCTTATCATAGTGGTGAGGTAACGACTTGAGGTCGAGTTTTTCTCTATGTTCAGACATTTTTGGTTAACAAATAAATAAATAAGCGCGGTTGTAAGCGAATTGAAGTCCTCGACGATCTTTCTGGGCCTGCTACTGTATTTATAAGTGTAGGATTTTTTTCTTTCCTCATGGTGACGATTTTCCATTTCACCAACAACGTGTGTGTGGCATGGGCCAGTCGTCATAGATAGATGCGATGCACGTGATACGAAGAGAAAGATTCAAGATGTTTTGGTGGGGATGGTGTAAGGGTCTGAAGAGGACGGCAAACGAGAGTGGGCAGCAAAGCGGTGAAGAGATTGTGCTGGTGAGGAGCCAGCTTAGGTACCCGAAGCCGGCAGGCAGAGCTGTATAAGGCTCTTTTGCTGTTCATGGCGTTGAATGTGCTGACATTTATCTTGGATTGGGCTCGGGATTCACATAATTAAGACCCTAAAGCTCTTTACCAGAAAGGGAATCGGCCGAAAAGGAATAGTGAAGGAAAAAAAATAATAATTAAGCACAAGTTAGAGTGTTGCAGTACTGCATGCGGGTGTATTACCTTCAGGAATTGGATCAATAAGTGCATTGTTGTTTGCCATAGTTTTGCACTTATTTCCTATCTTATCAATGGGAGCAGAAGCAGCGTGAGCGAGGCACATAAAATTATAAAATTTAGGTCAACTCCACGACGACGACATAGTGTAGCTTCTAGTATACTGAGTAGTATGACTTCTACGCCAGTTCTGGCCCGCACACGATTTAGTTAGAGATCGAAGCACCCAGGATACGCCAGAAAGCAGCCACCAAAAAGCAGCTACCAGCGTGAAAACCACCAGCAACAAGCGTATCATCATGACTCCACTCCAACGCTGTGGACGGCGAAATTCGAACCTGCTTCGACACTCATAAAGCTCTTCTCATTCCTCCAGTCTATCCACTCTTATCAGATTCCAGATTCTCACGTGCCTCGTGCTACAAACCGGAAAAAGAAAAGAAAATATGGAGTGAGAATTACACAAAAAAGCGTTACATGCAGGTCACCACTGGTCAACATCTCCATTGAAAGTCACTCACTTCAAAATTTTAAATTAGAAGACAGTAAGAATCTACCTACAACGTTTCTCCACCCACACTTTTACACATATTACATCAATAAGCATCTCCACTTATACTACGACACACGCAGAAATAGTATAACATGTTTTTGGCTGGTTTAAGAAGACAGGGTGGCAACAGCTATAGACTACTTCTAGCCTCTAGTAGATCATTATCCTCCAAGCCGCCTCCTTCCGCGGTTCCACCTGTAAACGGAGAAGAGGCACCGGCTACGAAGGCCAAAGTGGCCTCAACTAAATCCAAACCAACTACAGTGACCGCAGCAGGCAAGCCTGAAGCTGAGTCCAAGGACGCTGAGGCAAGCCCGGCTGCTTCTCCACGGAAGAGACTCAGTAAGAAGAAGGTGCAACAACAACAGCAACCTATAACAGTGTCATCCAAGTATATTTCGTTTGATGATTTCCCGCAGTTACCCAAAGAGATCCGCAATGCATCAGACGGCTTGCTTAACCAAGTGAGGTTAAACAGAAAGTTCTATCCATCAGGAAACGACCCTGAAGTTGAAAGCTCTGGTACCAGCTCCATCCCCATCCCCGTTTCTGTCCTGCAGTCCCCAAAGTTGGAAACCCAAAACATCCCATATCACGACTTTTCCATTCCTTCACAGCATTTAAGGGGCTACCACCCCCAAGTCATGGAAGCAGACAGGCTTTTGAATGAACTCAATGACTTTTCGGCGGTGTTTGAGTTTTCAGAATTGAACCAACCTCCTCATGCCGAGCACCCATTAAAGAGATCGTGGTCTAAAATGATTCCAATAAACCCAGGGTTGCACTCTATTTCAAATGAATATCTATGGGAATTAGCACCTCTGGGGAAAATCTTCCAATCGCCTCCATTTGATTCACATACATACACCATAGATGGATTTAAAGATTGGGAAGAGAAAATGAAGTACAAGGCTAAAGTGGAATTTGAGGAAGACTTCAAAGAGCAAGCAGAAACCAACCAGGCAATCAAGGAATTTAATAAGAATAAGTCCTTCATAACTTCTACAACTGGTGGTGGCAGGAAGAAATTGAATAGAAAATTGGTCAAGACTTTTAAAAAGTTGAAGAACGAGGGGAAATTAGGCAAAAAGGATGAAAACGACGATTAGCATATAGGTAGAGCAATATAATTAAATATAACATTAAAGAGGAAATGAATAAATAAAATACAAGGGGATTGAAGACGAAAAATTGCAAAGAAAGGGTCTTCCAATTTCATTGTAGAGTAGAGGTCTGTCAATACTGTTAATCAAGATGTGTATTAGCTATACTTTGATTTCCACCTTCTATATAGAATTTAAAATGCACGATAGTATTACAATGGATTCCACTATTCCACGATATTTAGCTTGACATCGCCATACCCAAACTTGTCCTTATTCTCTTCATACACTCTTTTCAATTCATCCACATACAATTTGTGGTAATGGTCCAAAATTTCAGGTGGGATTATCTTCTTTGGAGTCTTTTTCACTGGAGGAGTCTTCTGGTTTAATTTGAATAGGTTAGAAAATGAATTGCTTCTAGAAGAAGTGCTCTTCTTGGAAGCTAATGATGCTTCTGGTACAATTGTGGTAGAATCTGCATCCCAGTCTGGATGTTTTAACTTATACTCCTGTAGAGCCCCAGCCGGTATGTTGATTGGCCTACCCATGCATAAGTTTATTGGGTGCCTGTAGGGCAAGAAACCAAAGTCATATATGAATACTCCCCTAGCACTGAAAAAGGGTACTGTGAAACTAAAAACTTTCTTCATCCAAGTTTGGAATATATCCCCCCAAGTCCCTTTTTCTGGGATGTTGACATTGTATATGTCTGCTTCACCAAATGCAAAAATGGGGACCAAGCTGACATTTCCCAACTCTATGGCGATTTTCACAAATCCCTTTCTTTTGTTTAAAACAAGACGGATTTCCCGAACTTCCTTCTCCTTCTTACTGCCCTTTTTGTATATCTTCTTCTTCGATTCATCCTTTGCATCCTTGTCATCTTTTTCGTCCTTTTCGTCCTTTTCATCCTTTTCATTCTCTATTTCCTTTTCATCCTTTTCTTCCTTTTCACCCTTTTGATCCTCTTCATCCTCTTCTCCTTTATTCTCTATCTCGTCATGATTTGGAGAGTACCCATTACCGACAGAGTGAGTTGAAGCTACGACGTCATTCAACAATGACTCCTGTGCCCCACCTACAACAATCACTACAGAGTTGTCCCCATTATTAATCAACGATTTAATATTCTTAGCAGCAGCACTGGTCAATCCCAAGCTCAAAAGATAGTCCCTATAGAAAGGTAACGTGAATTGGGTACTCAAAGTCAAAGGGAAGATCTTTTCTATATTAGGCAATAGCCTGTGCTTTCCAGTTGGGTCATGGAAGAATGGTTTAAGGAATTTCACTGGCGGTTCAAACGGTTCGTTTCTGATGGCATTTGTTGCAAAAGTACCCATAGCACCCATCGAAATAACCCCATGAGGGTGGTAACCAAATATATATCTTGGTCCTGTTGAAACCTTTCTGTATTTCCTCACGGACGTGGACGGAGTCACATTAGCTGAAGAAGAAGCACTTGTAGCATCGGACGGCGAGGGAGAATCAGTGCCCGGTGTGGATGGTGGAGGAGAGTAAGAATCAATCACATTTATTCTCTTCTTTAAGCCCAATTTCTTGAATATAATATCAAGGAGTGTTCGAGAGTTTTCAGAAACAAGATCCTCTTCATCGTCTGGCTGTACCGCGATGTCCTCATAGGGAATATTGGTGAACGTGGGTTCCAATTCACAAGCTTTATGGACTTTGATAGGGAAGTAGCCAACAAACCATTCCCATACAATGAGATTTCTTACCCAGTCCTTGTACCTGTACTGGGCCTTCCCATTCGAAGGAGTATGCAAGTCGAATCCGTACCACCAGATGAAATATGGCAAGATCACCACTAGCCACACTACCCATCCCAAATACAACGTGAAAAGGAACAAGAAAATGAAGAAAGGGATGGAAATCGTGTGCCAGATCAAGCCTAGCGTTTGCAATCTGTAGCTCATGGGCGTATTGATGGGAGCAAAGTGAAGATTTAAAGGGCTGTTCCTTCTCTTCTTCTTGGATTGTGATTCATCAGGAGTATTGGTTGGGGTGCCCACTCGCATTGGGCTGGCATTTCCTGGAGTTCGAGCACCATTCTCCCCAGCATTCAGCAGCAACAGCTGTTGCTTTTTTCTCCTCGAAAGAGTCGATTCTCTGGGAGGAAAAGGGTCCATGTGAAAAAGCTTCAATAATATTGCAGATGAGGTCAATTAAATAATCCCTCTTATTTTGTTTGCTTGCTTGCGTCTGTCCTTGCACCGTTTCTCTGGAGATCGAGATGATGAATAATAATTTACTGGGGTAAACTTACCAACGGAAAAAAGATGGAGAATATTTTCGGTGATTCCAACTGTATTGTAACTACCCCCCTTGCTTTATAGCACTGTGCTCCAAATTTCGTTCTCTGTTCCTCTAATTATTTTTTAAAGGATGAATTTGTTTTACGTATTGATTTGGTTTCTCTGCATGAACTTCATGCAATCGGAGAGGTTATTAGGATTTTATTTTTTTTTTTTATTTACTTGTTAGGCTGTTGTTGAAGAGAAAGTACGATAGAAAGCTCCACAGACAATGAAACGGTCCAGTCTTCGAGCAATACAAGGAACTGGTTGCCAGCTAAAGTCCGATCACCACCAACAAATAATAGCTTGCTTTGGGCTGAAAAAAAACGAATGGATTATAGGGAATCAGCACTTAAAATAGAAGCCATATTAAGCTCTATGCCAGTGAGGGGATTGCTCTTCCTCTAAACTTTATTTTTTAATTTTTAATTTTTTTTTTTTTTCTCTTTTCTTCCGTATTATCTGCGGACTTGGATCATGCTTAGGACTTTCATCACGACTGATAGGAAGTAGCAATGTTGTGGAATCACACAGCTGCCAAGTGCGCAGCTCCCACTTTCAACCATATAAGCTAAAGTTTGTACGATTACCATGTCGAGCAGGGAATTGGAGAGTGCCGTGATTCCCATGGAATCTGTCAAGAGCTCGTTTACATCAAACCCTCTCCCCTCCCTCCAGAACCTGAATTTTGTGATGAGAAAAGGGGAAAATGAAGTGGGGAGAAATGCAAAAAAGACTTTGAGAGACAAGTGAATCTAAGGAGATAAGCTCAGAGAATTGGAACACCGACGGAATTATACCTTGCATACTTTCAAGGGGTATTCATTACACATTTTATCTCCTATTTTCCTTACTATTTTGTTCGCAATTGTCCTACCCTCTCTCCGTTCCGTACCGAATGGAATAGCCTATTGTAGGACTTATTCCTCTTAAGTGAAGGAAATAAATGCAAAAATAAGCAGGAAAAAAAAAAAAAAAAATAAACATTGGGAAGTGATTAGCAAATTATGCTGAGCAGCCTATTGTCTCGTAAATCCAGCAATTTAAATTCCCTAATTTAAATAGAACTTGAGTGGGACGTGCATAACACTGCGTTAGATGCTAAATTATACTGCGTTGAAAAAGTACCTCATTTGGCTTACAATGCACCTTTTAACACACACAAATCCGATTTATTGTCGAAGTGTATAACTTAAATTGGCATATACATGTATGTTGCATATTTCACATAAGGTATGAAGCAAATGGAGTGACGTGAACAGAGCCTAACAATTGAGGACAATTGCGCCTTGTGGAGCCGAACATTATAACTGTAAAGACGGCGAAAGCATCAGTAGCATAGACTGCAATCTTTTCTAAGTCTGCTCCTGTGTCTTTTGAAGTTTTCAGCTTGGCTACCTCCCCTGTGTCATGTGTCTTAACTCTGCGTACGCTCACTTCCCAATTAAGTGATCACAGATGCGATCAAGTTCCACCGCATGAAGGTTACTGCCACCTACATGGGAGAGCTTTCTCCGACTTTAACTGAACTACATGCAGAACACGAGCTACTACTCATCTACTGTTTATGTGCTCTATATGCAGTACGTGAATACACTCTCTATGTGCAGGACCGACATGATTTTTCATTTCTTTACGACTTTGGCATTGAGCACCACTGAGTTGAAGGCCCTAAATATACTCAGTTGTTCTTCCCCTTGCCTTCTTGTGTTATAGTTAATATGAAGCGGGATGTTGACTCTCAATCGACGCACTACTGGCTCAAAAGGCCGAAAAAGTCTTCTCTAAAAGCAAGTCTGTACCCACATAAAGTTCATCACGAGGCTGCTCCTCAGACCTGTCCAGACTGTCCGCTCCTGATTCTCATTGGAGGAGCTGAACCCACGGAACACGTCAAGTTAAGATACGATCTTCTCCAAAGTACCTGGAATGTTCAGCAGCAGAAGATTGAAAAAATTCTTCAGAATGCCAACATTGAACTTTTCGATAACCTTGTGAAGTTTATCTCCACCAGTCAAAGATTGGACTCTACAATCACCCGAGGCAAGTTGCCCGTAGGTTTCCTTCAATTAGGTTCCAACGTTGCCAACAATTTGAGAATCTTTAAAGAATTCGGGCAATACTTACGCGAATCTCAAGAAGAGAGTGATTTAGATTACAGGATAGTCAACTTGAGCTCCAGAACGTGTGCAAACATCAAGGCAACAATAAGAGAAATTGTCAAGCAAGTGACCGAGGACAATGTGAAAGAAGGAGAGGATGAAGAAGATGAGGAAGAGGACGAAGAAGAAGAAGAAGAAGATGATGATGATGAAGACGACCAAGAGAAAGCAGAAGAAGATGACGAAAATGGAACCAAGGCTGAGAAGACTACAAAGAAGTATCACGGAAAGATTAGCTACGATTTCGACATTATTCATGAATGGTGCGAGGAGTACTTTGCTGGAGAAGGTAAGAATGCATCTACAACAAACCTTAGGATCGTTATAGTCATTCAAGACTCAGACGCCCTTCCAAATCAGTTGCTTAACCAGGTGTTGAAATTGATCCATTCTTACTCCAAATTGATCCCTATGAAGCTAATCGTTGGATTATCTTCAATTAATAGTAACATCAGTACGTGGTTGAATAACAACTTAAGCAACGAGCTCCGTATTGGGATAAAGGGAAGTTTATTCAGAACCGTGGACAATAAGATGTTGGGCCATAGCATATGTAATGATTTGTTTTTGAGATACAGCAGTGAAGAGGAAGACACACATGAAATATCCTTGGACTCGTTAATGCTTTCACCTGATTTGATCTCCACTATCTTGAATCGATTCCAAAACTCAAATAATTCCATAGACAGTTTGGTCTCGTCGTTCAAATTGTCGTATATGGTGTATTTCTACCAACTGCCATTGGTTCTGTTATTAAGTCCTAAATTCAATGGGAAGTTTCTTCATTTATACACAGATTTGTTGAGAAAGTTACCTAGTTTCAAAAGATGCATCGAAATCAAGCTCGACCAATCTGAGGGAGATGAGGATAAGGAAAAGACACACCAAGAAATTGTTGATTTACTTACCCAAGATGGTCCTCTCATGGACGTCTTCCATGAGTCAGTCAAGAAAAGCAAGCTAGAGAAATTGATGCTTATAAATACAATGAATGTTCTCTACCATCTTCAAGATAGAAAAAAATTCAAAAACTTTAAGGAGAAAATCGATATCTACCAGTTGATAGCGACAAGACAGATTTTCTCCTCATTTTATTTGACTAACCTATTTAATAGCATAAGCATGATAACCACCGAGCAGATTCGCTTCTTGACGGAGGAGCTTCCAACAAAGATCGGCAACATAGTTGATACCAATTTTGAGCAGTATCAAAATGATATAAGGAAGTTGGAAAATGGTAGTGACCGCAGGGAGAAGTTTCTTAAATATACCAAGAGGTATCTCAAAATATACCTCGCTCATAAGCAACTACCACTTTACGAGGTATTCACCATTTTAGGAGGAAGCGTCCAGCCAGCTAAGATGGAAGTACTCGAAGAAAAGTCGAAGAATTTAATAATAGATCTACTTAGACCAGAGTTGAGGGCCATCTTGGAAATGGGATTAGAGGACTCGAGATCGTATCTTTCCAATGATCTTATACAAGAGGAATTGGGGTCTCCAATATCTTTGAGAGACCCTCAGCCCATCATCACAAAGCTCTTTCAAGTGTATAAGGATGCGCCTGTGAATATAAACATTTACGATTTCTACTGTGCTTTCAGGCAAACCTTTGAGAAACATCGTGACATGACGTACTTGATAGACTCGATCACCAACGACAACATAGGCCTGCTTAGTCCACTAGTTGCTGACCTTGAAGAGATTAGAGATGGGAAAGATACAAAGGATGAACAGTGGAATAAAATTCTGTTTGCGTGGTTCTTACAGGGATGCTTTGAGTTGATCCAGATGGGAATAGTCAAAGAGAAGCCCAAGGGAGATTACCTTGAAAAAGTTATTTGGAAGGGGGTATAGGGGCTAACCGTATACCTTACAGCGATTCCAGATATAGTAGCATATATCATTCATAGATAATATATAATAGAATAATTTAACTAATGGTTGGTGTAGTTGCACCCGAGTACTCCGTAAGTTATAAAACTATCATGGATCAGCACCTGCATAGATATATGGACTGTTTGCTCATGTTATTACTTTGTTTTTATTATTTTTCTTGTTCTTACGTTCACCCTCTATTCTGAACTTTCGGAGCTTTCTGGTTTTTCAGACCATGAGCTGTAAGATCCTATAGAGTCGCCTAGTTTCTGGTATATCTCTGGATGGTTGTCCTTTATGTGTTTATGCGCGGCAAGCGAAGTGATGAACAAAAGAACGATAAAACACGATAAGATACCAAAAATCATGTATCTTTGTGTACGGAAGATCCTGTTTGCGATAGTGGTTGAATTGGATATGGGAGAAGACCTGGCCATGTTATACTCTGATGAATTTAACTAGAAGTAGCTGAAGAAGAGACATGCTAAATCGATTGCTTCATATGCGACACACTGGAGTGGTCGGGTAGACTACATGCAGGAACATCATATAACACATATATATATACATATATTGATTCATTATTCTATTATGCTTACCTGGGAAGAGATACCTCTGAAATCAAACATTGTCTATATAATACTGACCTTTCCAACGTAAACATCAAGAAAAATTTAATGGGTTTCCGGATCTAACTGAACCTACTACAAAATTTCTTCGTAATGTTGTCTCCACTCAGGGTGGAACTATCTCTCTTGGGGCTTTTCTTGTGCAGATTTTTCCAATTCAGCTATCTCCTTTTCAGCGTCTTCATTTTCTTCCTTTTCTATTGCTGCCTTTTCCTTCTCTGCCTTTTCTTTCTCTTCCTTCTCTTTCTTTTCTTTCTCAGCCTTCTCCTTCTCAGCCTGTTCTTTCTCAGCCTTTTCCTTTTCTTCCTTTTCCTTTGCGGCTTTCTCTGCAGCCTTCTTTTCTTTCTCTATCTTTTCCTTTGCGGCATTTTCAATATCAAGCTCCTTCTGTTTTTCACTTCTAAAGTCAAACCAACTGGTCCAAACAGTTCCCAAATAATTGAATCTCGCAGTTTCTGCCTTACTGAAATCAATGAGGAATCCTGATTGCATACTTGTGGTCATCTCTTTGGATATTTCATTCATAACGTTACCACCAATCAGAGAATATGCACACCAGGTGTATCCATGGCAATATTGTCTCATATTGACCCAACCTCTGTCAGGTTCATGCTCATCGTTTTTAGCTACCATTCCCAAGTCAAAATTTCCTGGAGGAATGATTGCTTGTGTAATTTCAAGCTTATCGTTGAAAAACTTGGTAAATTGTTCAATAGAGTCTGAATAGTCCAAATATCTAGACTTTTCACTGAATTCCTTTTCAAAGTCAACATTGTGAGTTTGTCCACAGAACTTGAAACCAGAATTGAACCACAACAAACTGTGTTCATCCTCATCGTTGATATGTGCTGGATGATTGGAACAAAGCTCTGCAGCCTTAAAACTAGTCTTTCCAACTTTAGAGCTCTTAACTCTTTCAATTTCGGGGGTAATAGAACCAATGGCAGCAGCGTTATGCTTATTAAAATAATACGATTCATCTCCTGAAATGGTCATAGCGAGCCAGAATAATTCTTTATCACCATAGACTCTACTGTTAGCTGGTCTAATGAAATTTAATTGCGCCATGTATAAAGCCTGAGTAAAGTGCCTCTTCCTATCAATCATAACCAAACCACTTTCCATATAGTGATTCAAACCTTTGAAAAACTCTCTGTCCAATGTGTACCCAGTAATCTGTGGAAAGCCAAAGAAAACAGTATCAAATTCAGAAGGCATAATCTTTCTGAAGAATTTGACGTCATGTCTACCTCTGTATTCTATGGCCAGTCTATCCTTATAGAAAAGTGTTCCGTATTGTTTATACTTTGGTAAGTCGAAAAAGTATGAAGGTGGTTCCAATACAACAGTATCAGCGTCCAATAACATAAATTCTGCAAACGAATTGAAAAGTGTTGCCAAAATCTTGTTACCATAGCTTCCAAATCTACGTGAGTGATCATCGTGAAGGCATGCAGATACATCGACAAACCAAACTTCTTGTGGGATTAATACTTTGCCGTTTTCATCTATAAGTTCATTCCTTGAGGCCTTTACAATTTGATCCTTCAGTTCTTGCGAGATTGGATTGTTGTATATGATTTCAATAGGTAACTCATTATCCAAGGATCTCAACAATCTAATTAATCTTAAGGCCATTTCTAAATGTGAATCACCGATAGTTAAACCAATACCTTGGCCATTCAACTTATTTCTGAAGATCTTTGTGAAACACAACTTGTCACCAGTAAGAGTAGAAGAAGCTGGTGAATCTTCCTTAAGCTTGGGGCACTTGTTATCACCGACATACTTACACATGAGCGGGAAATCATTTTCAATCTTGGAACCATCCCATCTAGTATAGGTTGGTAATTTTCCAGTTAACCAAGGGTAAACTCTTGACTCTAAGTCATCACAAGAACTAAATTTCTTAGACATTAAAGACTCCAACTTCTCGGGAGATATGTTTGCATCGGTTTGGACTTGGCTCAATCCCAAGGAATCTATATCCAGCTGTTGTTTCTTGATGAAGTCAGAAGTTTCCTTTTCTGCCTCTTGAGAGCCTCCATAGAGGTAACACTTATTGAACAACTTAACATTAGTTAACGAGTTATGAATTAACTGTTCGTCGTACAAACTACCAGTTTTTTCATCTTCATGCGCCTGTTTGATTGCTTCCACTACTTCTGGAGGAACTTCAATCTTGGCATCGGAGGCGAGCCCCAACTCTTTTCTTTGCTCTTCTTTGTATTCATGGAGCTTATTACCCATGTACTTCTCAGGGGAGTCCCAACCTCCTCTGTTGAATGCATAATCGTGTCCAGGGTCAACTTTCCAACTGGGATCTTCCATGTACAAGTTCTTGAAGTACAAGTCACATCTCTCACTGAAGCTGGTCTCCTTCAAGATTTTGGCGAACCCGAAGGTATTCACAAGGGAGTTGTAGTTGTCCGCATGAATAACCAAACTTTTGGAGAACAAATCATGCGCCGGAGGTAACAAACTCTCCATGTACGGAGTAAACAACTTGTTGGCCGCATCGATAGTGAAGCCAGGGCTCGTCTCGGGGTTCTCCTTCTGGAGTTGTTGCTGCTCTTTGATGTTGTTTTCCAACTGAAGGGGTGTCAGCGATGTGGATGGGCTATCAAACTTCCTATAGAAGAGATAAAAAACAATGAATATCCACAAAACATACGATATCCGTATACAAAACTTCTTCCAACTCTTGATTCGGAGATTCAACATAAACGAAGGTACGTATCTTCTTTCCCTAAGGGAAGTGGCCATTTTCTCCAATCGGATATATTGCTGCCTATTCCACCAGTCCATCACGCAAGTTACTTTCGGAGCTCAAATTATCCTATAATTAAGGTTACTGCTCCTTTATCTGCTATGGAATGCACTCCACCTATTTAACCTTCTGCCAAATTTTAAGATGAAAGTGAAAGGAAACGTTATTTTTTTTTTCCTACTGCGCGCGCGCTTTGCTTGTTTAGTTGGTGAGCATAACAAAGTTACGTGTTCCTGAGATGCGGGATGGAAGAGGAGGGATGGAAGGTAGTCATGTGACTGTGGTTTTCCGAGATGGTATGGTTTAGGTAGGTGAAGGATAGGAAGGGTAAGGGAGAGAGCATAACAGAGGACAAGAGTGAGCGGGAGAGTGTGAATGGGAAAGAGGGGCCAGTCGGAGTTTCGCTGGGGATTGTATCACGTGACAAGCTAGATATGCCCATGAGGATGGTCAAGGGAGGAGGTGAGAAGAAAAGGTGCAACGGCAGACAGAGAGTGGGTAGGAGAGTGGGTAGGAGAGTGGGTAGGAGAGTGGATAGGAGAGTGGGTAGGAGAGTGGGTAGGAGAGTGGGTAGGAGATTTGGTAGGAGGAGAGAAGAGCAAATCGGAGGATCGCCAAAGGATCTATATCACGTGAAATACTAGGCATCGCTGCGAGGATTGTTCGCTAGGTGAGCGGTCCATCCAGCTCGAATAGAGCAGGTGTGACAACAGGAACAACCCAATTCAACATACTCACTACACATCTATGTAATCCATAAATCCATGAGCCAATTCAAGGAATTCATTACACCTCTACATGTGGCTATCTAAACCAGTTATGATTTCACTTCTTTATCGATTATCTTGCTTACATTTTAAAGTTTTAAATTGCACTTTGTTTCCACCGTTACGTCACAGCTTATCAAAATCTCATATACCTTCCTATTGTATATATATTCCTGCACAGAGAATAATAAGTTAAAGGACAAGAAAAAAACAAAAAACAATTTCAGTTAACTAGTGCCACACTAAATGCAACAGTACGAGCTTAACATACGTTGATTTCTGATTTTTTTTTTTTTTAATACTTTTCCTTTCGTCTTATTCGCCCAGTTGCTCATAATCGAATTTGGGCCATTTTCTGCTTATCAGCTGTCTCTAATAGATAAGAGAATATGTGACATTTGTGAAGGAAATACAATTCCAGTGTCGGTAGAGTGTTTTCACTTTACGAACGATGCGCTTCTCTCTCTTTTGCCAGACCAACGAAGGTTACACAACTTCTGTGGAATTAGAGTTTCCAGGAAAAAAATATCAGGACAACTTTCACACGGCAGTCTGAGCTCTTGTGCCTCTTCATGATCTTTGCGATCCATTCATTACATTTTATTTCCTTCATGCTTTTAAACCCTTTATTTCTGTTCCTTAATTTTATTAACCTTAGCATTGAACTCAAAATTTAAGTTCCATAGCGCCACCTCGTCGAACTTTGGACCTGGAACAAAAAAATATTTTTTGGGCATATACACTTTTTACTCGAGGCTTTGGAGACGCATGGAATATTATACCGCTAATATACAGGTTGGGAATAAGGTGCCAACGCTAGGGAAAACACTTCCCTACATTGAAGGATTGCAATCCTATCTATCTATCAAGAACCACTTTTAGTATTCTTTCTTGCCATCAAATGTCAAACTGATAGATCTCTTGCGAAAATTTCTTTTTCACTCCTTCTTTTCTTGTCTTGCGCTAAGGGTAACTCTGAAGTTACAATCGTTAGGGTGCCCTCGAAGCCAAGAAAATCTACGCAGCAGCCGCAGAGAATTTGGGGGTATTTTCTTATTTCTTCAGCTATGTTTCCAGCACCTAAGCCGCATGAAGCAGAACAAAAATACGGCGTTTCATGAAACATCAAAGAGAGGGATACACTGTTTGATGGTAGACATTAAGGCGTTTAGCAGCGAATAGAGGGGACGGGTCTTCACAAGGCAGTACAATCAGCGTCATTCACTTCAAATTAGGACCAAGAAAATCAATCCGACACTAAAAAATTGAAAACGGCGCAATTCTCTGATAAATCAGTATTGGCGATACAGAAGTAATATGTCGAAAGCCTAACAAGAAGGTGATCTGGATATCTAAACCTATTTTTCTTTCTTTTTTACTCCACTTTTCGGCAAGTACATTTAGCTATGGGTTGCTTAAATGGAATTTCCATTCTCCACCTTTGGAATGGTAACTGAACAGAACAATTAACCTACGAAAAAGAAATTATTAAAGACTGATTTGGGCTGCACGAATGAAAAAAAATAATACCAAAAAACTCATCTCGAACCACCCGCTTCCCTATCTCAAATCCTTCCTTTATCTCTCCCATTTCTACCGAGATTGGCACCTTTGTGATGATTTAAACCTAAATTTCTTTTCATTCCCTTCTCTGTTGTACACCCGCTTACACTTGTCACTAACTTCCAAGAAAAATCCACTATCAGCAGCACTAATTATGTACTTGTACTGCATGCACCTAATCAATTGAGCATTGATAAGGGAAAAATATACCTGGGGCACGCCTCGCCTAAATCTTGAGCCGCACACAGATACAGAGGCATTTCGAAGTGTAATGCTGCTGAGTTGGTTGCACGGAATTTCTTTTTTTGTAATGCCCAAAGGGTGTTCCATTGGTATAAATAATTCATAGTATCCTCCTTCACTGGAGCCATGTATTCTAGGGGTCTTTTTCTCTTTTCTTTTCCTCTTTCCAATTCGAATTGAAACTAAAGTCTTTTTGCCTGCAAATATGCCTGAAAAAGAACTTGACTATATTCGTTCAAGAGAAGCCGTTGACGGTTCCTCCACCGAAAAGGATGGTGGAGTTTACATTGATGCCTTTGACAAGGCTGACCAAAAGGAACCATTAACTGGATGGGCCAAATTTAAGGATTCTTTCAAGAGATACGATGAAGAAGAACTTGGTATTGATCCAAACTTGTCTGATGTTGAAAAGGCTGCAATTGTCACTGCCAACTCTCCATTGTCTCGTTCTTTAAAGAACAGACATTTACAAATGATTGCTATTGGTGGATCCATTGGTTCTGGTTTGTTTGTTGGTTCCGGTAAAACATTGAAAAATGGTGGTCCAGCCGGTGTGGTCATTGCTTACTTTTTGATTGGTACTATGATCTTCTGTACAGTTCAATCATTGGGTGAATTGGCTATTACTTTCCCTGTCTCTGGTGCTTTCGTTACTTATAATACTCGTTTTATTGATCCATCCTGGGGTTTCGCCATGGCTTGGAACTACGCTATGCAATGGCTTGTTGTCTTACCATTAGAATTGGTTGCAGCTGCTTTGACTATTCACTTTTGGGATACTTCCATTAACTCGGCGGCGTTTGTGGCCATTTTCTACGTTTTAATTATTGCCATCAACTTCTTCGGTGTTAGAGGTTATGGTGAAGCAGAATTTGTGTTTTCAGCAATCAAGGTTCTTGCCGTTGTTGGTTTCATTATCTTAGGTATTGTGTTGACTTGTGGTGGTGGTCCAAACCACGAATACCTTGGTGGTAAATACTGGCACGACCCAGGTGCATTTGCTAACGGGTTCAAGGGTGTCTGTTCAGTCTTCGTTACTGCAGCCTTTGCGTTCGCTGGTACTGAATTAGTTGGTTTAGCTGCTGCTGAATCTGCCAACCCAAGAAAGTCTTTACCAAAGGCCATCAAGCAAGTTTTCTGGAGAATTACTTTATTCTACATGATCTCCTTGATTTTAGTTGGTTGTTTAGTTCCTTACACTGACAAAAGATTGTCCGGTGGTGGTGCCGGTGCTGCTGATTCTCCATTTGTCTTGGCCATTAAGAATGCCGGTATTTCTGGATTACCATCTGTTATGAATGTTGTCGTTATGATTTCTGTTCTTTCTGTTGGTAACTCTTCCGTCTTCGGTTCTTCCAGAACTTTGGCTGCTCTTGCTGCTGCTGGTCAAGCTCCAAAGATCTTAGGTTACATCGATAAGCAAGGTCGTCCCTTAGTCGGAATCATTATTCAATGTATCTTCGGTTTATTATGTTTCGTTACCGCTTCCGATAAGGGTGATGAAGTTTTCAACTGGTTATTGGCTCTTTCTGGTTTATCCTCATTATTTACCTGGGGATCTATCTGTTTATGTCTCATCCGTTTCAGAGCTGCATTAAAAGCTCAAGGAAGAGACACCAACGAATTGACATTCGTTTCCCAAGCTGGTTTATTCGGTGCTTGGTATGGTATGAGTTTAAATATTTTAGTCTTGATTGCTCAATTCTGGATTGCTTTATTCCCAATTAAAGCTAGCCCAGATGCCAGTGCTTTCTTCCAATCATACTTGGGGGCCCCAGTTATTATTGCATTTTATATTGCACACAAAATCTGGAAGAAGAACTGGAAGTTGTACATCCCAGCTAGTCAAATTGATATTGACACTGGTAGAAGAGAATTAGACTTGGACTTATTGAAGCAAGAAATTGCCGAAGAGAAGGCTATAATCGCTGCCAAGCCATTCTATATGAGAATTTACCACTTCTGGTGTTAAGCTACATTCACTTCTTCTATTAAAATATACCTTACTTATATATAGATGATATAATAATTATAATAACAGTAATAATAACATTACTTTCGTTTCACAAGTCCTGTAAGAAATAAAGCATAGAACTGCCGTACCTCATAGTCAATTCGTTGAAAGGGCCAATCATCAGTTGTCCAGTCCATCGGCTCAGAGTTCGATTTAATGTGCTTCAGTTGTTCTCTCTGGTCTGTGTTTTTCGCTCCAAACTGTTTCCGCTGTACCGCCCACGGATACTAATACTTTTGGTTGAATTAGTCATGTCTCTCTGCTGTACTGTACTTTCTGTTATCTACAATTATAATCTTCTCTATCCAATAAGTCACCAACTCCTAGCCTCTCATAGATAGAAAGTAAGTGTTTTAAGCATGATGCTCTGACTTCAAACTTAAGATTCCCTTGAGCCAAAGTTAATTCCCCAATTCAGTTAAGCTTCAGCTTCTTATTCTAGACAGTTCCTTCTTCCCAGTCACCCCGTTTGCTACAGCGCTACATTAAATTGCCAGTGCTTTACCACTTCTGACGCTACTACATTCACAGCTTCCAGCTTGCTTCGTTCGCTACGTCATTCTATTCCTTTTTACTAATTTTTTTTCCCTTTTTTGTCTATTTTTGATAATCTTCAGGGTAGTAAACCAATCTTTCAACACCAGCCTCAGTCAATACCACCATTCTAATAACTCCACCAGAAGAACCATCCCATTTAATGGCCTCAGCCAATGCGGTTTTGATGAAATCAACACACTCTTCTCTCTCCATTTCGGGCTTGAAGTTTTCATTACACCAACCGTAAACAAATGTGGAACCGGAACCAGCAATGGCGTATTCCTGTTGGTGTATAGACCCTCCTATTGGGATCAGATACACGGTACCCTTGTTGACTTTGTCGTATCCGGCACAAATGATACCAGCAGTCAAATTGTCCTTATTATTGTAGCAGATCTCCTGGAAAATATTGGCAGCTATCTTAGTTTGTGGTTTTTCATCAAATGGTAACTGCGAGGCATACATTTGTAAGTAGTACTTGACCATATCAGCAACAGCCTGAGTATCAGCAGCTGATCCGGAACGGCAGCAGTATATCGTGTCGTGGATTTGAGTCAATTTGTCTGTTACTCTATTGGCAATGTACGAACCAGTGGTAGTACGGGAGTCTGCACCCAATATGACTCCATCCTTGAACTTAACTGCCATGATGGAAGTACCCAAGTTAACTTCCCCTTTCTTCAAGTGATTGATATCTACAGAAATCCCGTTCATTTTGCGATTTTTTTGGTATTTGCTTTCTTTGCTCAATGCCTGTATGAATGCCAGTGTTCTAAAACAACAATCAGCCTAATTATACTAATCGAATGGCTACAAATGGGATGCTGTTGATAAAGTTGCCACTACTTTTGGCTGGTGAACAATTTTGAGCTTTTTCGTGCGCCAAAGAAATGTACGCGAGTCGTGTGCAGGCGCGAACTGAATAGCGAGCAGGTTAGCAGTGGTGTGAACGCTGATAACGACAGGACAGGGAAGAAGAACTTGCATAAAGCAGGTTTATGAACTAGCATATAGCTATATATACTTGTATAATATATATCCACAGGCACTCAGTTAGTGCGTAGTCTTGTTATCGAGACGTTGCATCAAAAATCCGTTCGCTTTTAGTTTAGTTTATATATACTCTTTGCATGATGAAAAATATTCTCCTCTACCTAAGCTATCTCATGATTGGTGCTCTTGCAGCTAGCGTCTCTCTATTGTCAGCAGAGGAATTGCAGCATTTAGATAAAGATCCGGCCATTACCCACAAGGTGTCATTTGAAATGGTGCAGAAGATGTCGGATACTGAAAAAGTCCCACTTGGTACTTTGCACATAGCTTTGTTTGGTACCGTAGTTCCTAAGACAGTGCGAAACTTTGTCGAGTTAAGTAAAGGAACGTATGGGTTTGGGTACGAAGGAAGCATCTTCCACAGAGTAATACCTCACTTTGTGATACAAGGAGGTGACTTCCAGTATGCTCTGGGTACTGGTGGCTACTCTATTTATAACGATTTTGGAAGATTTGACGATGAAAACTTCGACTTGCACCATAACAAGCTAGGAAGATTATCCATGGCTAACGCTGGGGTAAACACGAACGGTGCACAGTTTTTTATTACCCACTCGCAGGAATTGTCCAACTTAGATGGCAAGCACGTAGTTTTCGGTCAATTAGTAGGAGGGTTTGACGTTTTGGATGTAATTGCAACCACTATCGAAGAGAAAGATAGGCCATTGTACCCGGTTGTGATTAATAAGGTTACTGTTGCAATAATTGATAAAGTAGCTGGAGGAGAGTACGATCCAGCACTCTTTGAGGAGCAGACTTATTTTTATAGATACATGATGTTCTTTTTACTAGCAACTTTGCTTGCAGTGGTAGGAAGAAAGTATTATTTTAAAAGGCAACTTATCAGGGATAAGAAAGAAGCTTCGTTTTATAATTAGCCCTACACCGCTGCTAGTACACCACTGATAGTGTGCAACATTTGTTGCAGAGTATTTAAGTCAAAAAAGGAAAAAAAAAAAAAAAAAAAAAAAAAAAAAAAATTCACTTGTGCATAAAAAATTCAAGCGTAGAGAATGAACCATGAAAATTATTGCACTCTTCTTCTTGTAGCAACAGTATCTCCAATTATGTCCAGTAAGGGGTCAGATTTTCCGATAGTATTGGTCAAGAACTTGCCATACAGTACTAGCAGCGATCTGTTGTTCAATCTCTTTTCAAAATATGGAAATATTCACCAGATACGAGTACCAGATCAGAGCTCGTCTGAACCAGCTCCAGCAGGATCGTGCTTTGTGATTTACAGGAACATCGAAGCGGCACACCAAGCTTCTAAGAGAATCAACGGGATCAATTTTGAAGGCAGATACTTAGTGGCATCGATTTATAATGTGGACAAGGCAAAATTGAGCCACGAGGACTTCATAACGAGAAGAGATGAGCTTGAAAGGTTGAAGGAAGAGTATGGCTTAAGCTGAAGTGGGCCATTGACTGTGCCAGGTGGAACTCAAACATGCCAATGATACGATATTGAACCCTCGGGATCTGAACTCCGTGAAAGAGGGAGAAATTATCTAAAATCGCTGGCCCAAAGGCAATAACAATAGCTACTCCCTGATGCCCAATAAGCTGATGGTGAGCTGGACGTAGAGGTAGACACTCGGTCTGACTTTTGTCTTTAGGCCCATGAAATTTTACCCTTTTCAGGGACATTAGGATCACGTATTTGCTGATATTTGCTGACAGGATCCTGTAGTTGGTAAACGTAAGAGATAAGATCAATAGCTATAGTCTGACGCCAGGGCCAGGTAGACTAATGGTGGGTTGGACGTAGAAGAGATTCGAAGCCCAGTAGTACTGAAGTACCAAACGCATTCTAAAACCTTGGTTCATGGGAAATCAGTACTTGCTTCTAGTATTTTGATAATAGTCACATTGGAACCTTCAGGACTCCAAAACTGTGGAACACAGGCCGGTCTCTTGCCATATACAGAGAATATACCAGTCACCCTTCGACTTCCACTCCGCGGAAGCAGAGCGCTGGTTACTTACAATTGGTCTAGCTTCGCTGTTGCTTATATTCTATCTATATGAAGAGGTGACCCATTTTATACTTTTTTTATACTTTTCGTTCTCTATATCTTTTATTTCTTTTCAATCGATATGTCAATTAATCTTAAAAGATAATAACTTATTAACCCGGTAAATACAAATCCTGAGATCTTGAATACCTTCAACCAGTAGCTCGCGGCAGTGTACTTGTACTGCACGAATAAATCGACCTTACTCAAATCATCGATTAAGTTCTTGAAGGTTAATGTAACTTTGACGTGTCCACCGGAGACATCAAAGTAAGACAATTCATTACCAACTTCAATGCTTTCGTAATCAATGGCTGAAGACACACCGACAAACTCGGAGTCTTCTGGTAAATAGAAGTTGACCTTGACGTTGTCGTAGGAAATGTCTTGTATAGTACTTAACACTGGGAATTTAACCATATAAGTGTCTTCCTGTTCGGTCAACTTATGGAGGTACACACTCAAAGGGTTGTACCATCCAATGGTAAAGTTATAGTTCCAACCTCCGAAAAGTGGGTATCTTGGTTGCAATACTAAGTAACCTTGGTACTCCTTAGAAGTATCGACTTGTCCGACTTTGTCAGTGTAGTAAATACCCTCAGATTCTATGTTATCTGGTAATTTAACTTCCAATTGAGAGAGAGCCCAGTGGTTTCTGGTGGATTCGTATCTTCCTTGCATCCAGTCTACCCTCAGGAACCCGTTACTCAACTCTGCACCTGCATTGGTTAATTCGTAGTATTCTTCAATAGATACCTTATCGGAGTTTGAAGCTGGGATCCAGATGGATCTTTCCAAGTTGTAAGCTTTGGCCAATGGTCTGTTATGTTCATACAATAATCCCATAGATTTGACAGTGAATGGAGGTAACAGCTCGAAAATAGGACCATATACCAAGGACTTGTCTTCAATTCTAGGCTTGAAATCCTTTGGAAGATTGTCGGGCTCTTGCTCAGAGTCAGATCCATCAATCACATCCATTTCTTGTCCCTTGGTGATTCCAGTGAAGACCAATTGGTATTGGTTGGTCTGGTATGGAGAGTAGGCATACTTGTTCAAGGTCAAGAGAATGTGCTGAACGTCTTTCATTTCGATTTTGGCTGGCAATGGAGACAATCCTGAGGTGTAGACGTAACGAGCCTTAATGTCAACCGTTGAACCTGGAGCTACAGGAGCTGGGAGGGTCAATTTGTATGTGAGAGCCTTTCCTTCCAACTCTTCAATCTCAACCAATTCACTTCCAAGGATCACCACTTGGTCAAGGAACGTGGCAATGAAGGCGGAGAGCTTGGTGATTTCACCAATTCCATCACTAAGTGGGAAATAGTAGGTATCTTGGGGTTTATCGTCCAAGTTCTTGATTTGAACAACATCAGTTTCTTTGACGTAACCCTTTTTGAGATCAAGGGTACGTGTGAAGTACACATTTTCCCAATTCCCGTAGGAAACAGCCGACGCATAGCAGAATGTCCACACTAGGGCAATTAAGAACTTCATACTGAATTGCATTTCGGAGTAAAAGTGGCGGTCAATTAGAGTCGAAGAAGGTTTACAGACGAACAAGATTGAAAAAATCAGTGAACAGTTTTGAAATTTCCAGGTGTCCGTTTTGTGTCATGTTTATTGAACAGAGTGTCGTTTGGTGTGCAGGTTCGTGAAGTATAAATTACGCGGTGCGCACTCGGTGAATGGAAAGGTTGCAATTTGAGAGCGCATGAACGAGAAAGAGATTGTGAAGGAAAGGGAAGGTTTGGGAAACAAGAGAGGAGGGAGAGGAAATGGAACAGAAGAGTTAGCTCGGAAGCGAGAGAGGTGAGAATGGAAAGATGCACTGGTATGAGTGTGTCCTGTCTGGTTAGTGGTACTTTCACCTTGTTCACCACGCAGGGACAAACAAAATTCTGCAATGGACTGACATTCTGGATTGAATTCTGCACTAGATACATGTATTGAGATCGGTTTACTGATTTCAATGTCATGGGTCACACTGTCCACGATAGCTTGCGTTCCTTATGTATCTTATCGCTGATTGACTTAATCTCCCAGCTTGGTGCTGGCATACACCGTAGTTATCTACTGTCTATCTGCCCCATTGCTGCTCCACATCTACCTGTCAAAATATATACGCACCAAGCTACCCCACGGTAATCCTATATCCTAATTCTAACAATTTATTCTCAGCTGGCCCGATTTCTCCGATCGCCCATGCAGCTACGCAGTTCCAGATCTGCCTATCGCTGTTCCACATCTGCCTATCGCAGTTCTACAGCTATCGCTGTCCCTGGCCTGCAACGTTCTGCATACTATCTTCTTTGTTCTTGCCTGGCCCTTCGTTCAGGTTTGCATTCGCCCTTAGTTTAGCGCGCGTGACATTTTGCCAGTACTTTTGGCGGCACACCCGCCATCAGACCTAGGCACAGAATTATACAGGGAAAACCCCAAGCACCGAAAATTCGCCTAAGTGCAACAGTGTGCACTGTATACCTACATATCTTCAACAGTCAACACTTCACACTATACCTCCAATCCACTTTCCACTACAGCCGTACACTTCGGTTCCACGCCCTCTTATCATTCATTCTGTTCTTGCCTTTTCTCTCTTTTCCCTTGTTTCTCCATTTGCCATTGCCCTTCATACGTGGAATGACTTTGTTCCAGGTGCAAAAATCGTTTCTATCAAAAATTTGCCTCAATTTCTGGTGAGGCTCGCCAGGAAAAAATACTGAAATACCCCAGCAATCAACGGATGGGCACGCTCACTTGCTCTGACATCTACATCAATTGCTACAACGATTGCACGCCAGCTAGTCACCCCTACATGTATGACTTCCATAAACACACACAAGTCATCCACCAACCATTCTGCTACAGTCACTCATATACACATACGATCCTCTAACCTACTGATATGCCATGCATCTACCTCTACTTTCCCTTGCCTTGCCTTGCCTTCCCTCTCCATATTTTTCAATCTACGAGAGGCAACATCTTTGCACCTATAAAATTTTCATATTTTATTTAATTTAACTGTTTTCGCCAACCCACCGAGCAAACACCCACAAAAAGGAAAAAAAAAACTCAAACTTTAATCAGTTAGCCATTCCCTTTTTCTTCATTGGCCACTGAACAACACCAAGTGTCATCCAAAGAGTCATCGTTTAGCGAACCGAATCGATAGTATAACCAGTCTGTAAGTTTCCAACCTGGAATACCTCTATAAATTGGCGAATTACTTAACAGCTTAGCGAATCAAAGCACCTTTTGTTATTGGCAATCCAAGGTTTTTTATTTTTTTTTATTTTTCTTTCTATTTTCATTTTTCTCTGTCTGATCTAGAGATTGAAAATTCAAAGTAAACATTGTTTGCCCAACTGTTTGTTTTATAAGTTATACAATATACCTTATTGTTGCTTAAGTTCGAAACCATGTCACTCCAGGATCTCATTCCGGTAGTTAATAAACTTCAAGACATTGTAACCACCACTCAGCTTGCTGACTTGGACTTACCGATCTTGGCTGTTGTTGGCTCGCAGTCTTGCGGTAAGTCTTCAGTGTTGGAAAATATCGTAGGTAAGGACTTTTTACCAAGAGGAACTGGAATTGTTACTCGTAGACCGTTAGTGTTACAGTTGATCCACGTAAACCCAGAAGATATCCCAGATGACTCTCATTCGTCGTCTGTCACTGGGTCTATGTCGTCTGATTTACGCGACGAAAGCTCGTCTTCGTTTTCCAAGTCTTCCACTCCCATGTCCACTCAGTCCATGGCTTCAGCCAACGACGATTCCAACGACGATACCGAAATAAATTTGGAAGACCACTTGAGACGCCATTTGAATGGTGGTAGAGCCGAAAAGAAAACCTCATGGGGTGAATTCTTGCATTTGCCTAACAAGAAATTTTACAATTTCAATGATATCAGGAACGAAATCGCCAATGAAACTTCCAGGATAGCCGGACAGAATAAGGGTATAAGCAGACTCCCAATCAACTTGAAGATATACTCTGACAAAGTTCTTAATTTGACTTTGGTGGATTTGCCTGGCTTAACCAAGATTCCAATTGGCGATCAACCAACTGACATCGAAAGACAAACTAGGAATTTAATATTGGAGTATATTCTGAAGCCCAACTGTATCATATTGGCTGTGTCACCTGCTAATGTGGACTTGGTTAATTCCGAGTCTTTAAAATTAGCAAGACAGGTGGATCCACTGGGAAAGAGAACTGTAGGAATATTATCTAAATTAGACTTAATGGATCAAGGAACCAATGCCTTAGATATCTTGAAGGGAAATATATACCCTTTGAAGTTGGGATTTATTGGTATAGTGAACAGATCTCAACAAGACATTGCTGATAATAAGTCGTTGGACGACTCATTATTCTCCGAGCAGCAGTTCTTCATAAACCATCCAGCCTATCGCCTGATTCTGAACAAATGTGGTACGAAATTCTTGTCGCAGACATTGAATAAGATTTTAATGAATCATATCAGAGATAGATTGCCAGATATTAAGGCCAAATTAAACACATTAATGGGACAAACAGAACAAGAATTGGCTAGCTATGGAGAAATTCCATTGGGATTAGAAAATACCAAAGAAAGTAGAGGAGCATTAGTTTTGTCTTTAATGACTAAATTTGCTAACTCTTTCGTAAACTCTATTGATGGGACTTCCATGAACGAAATCTCTACCAAAGAATTGTGTGGAGGTGCAAGGATATATTACATTTACAATGAAGTATTTGGCTCACAATTAGCATCCATAAACCCTACTTATAATTTATCAATCCATGATATTAGAACTGCCATTAGAAACTCAACTGGACCAAGACCTTCATTGTTTGTACCAGAGTTAGCATTTGATTTGTTAGTTAAGCCGCAGATCAGTTTATTACAACAACCAAGTCATAGATGTGTTGAATTAGTGTATGAAGAGTTAATGAAGATTGTTCACAACGTGTGCTCTTCAGAGGGTTCAAATACTGTCTCTTCGGGAACTGGTTCTTCATTAGGGTCCATTGCACTTGAACTCAATAGATTTCCTAAGTTACAAAGTAAGTTGATTGAAGTTGTTTCTGATTTGCTTAGAGAAAGGTTGGGACCTACCATTAAGTACGTCGAGTCTTTAATTGAGATACATAGGGCTTACATCAACACCAATCATCCTAATTTTGTTGGAGCAGCAAAGGCTATGAGTATTGTCGTTGAAGAGCGTCAGAAGCAAAAGGAATTAGAACTGAGAGCAAAGTTAAGATTGGCCAGCGAAAGATTGTTAAACAATAAAAAATCACGTAAGGGTCAACATGAGGATATTGCCGAGGAAGAAAATGGAAGTGAAGAAGATGCTAATGAAGATGAGGTGGAAGATATCAATCAGGTTGATGACGAAATAAAACCACCAGCCAAGCATATTAGAAGTGATTCTAACAAGACGACTTATTCAATTAAATCGGAATCTGCACCAAATTTACCAATTGCTGGCCATACAAACTATTATGCTACCAGAGCTAGCAGCTCTACTAGCAATGGTACACCAATTTCTAATGGTGGAGAATCTTACTTAAACTATTTCTTTGGAAAAGACCCAATTACTCATCAACAACACTTGCAAGCACAGGCTCAATTGAACCCAACACCATTCAAATTCCCTCAACACCAAGAACCCAGCTTACAATTTAATACTGAAACACATATGTACAACGGAGGTAGCCATTCACCTATTCCAAATGGATTCCATTCGGAATCTCACACAGGTTTACAATCCGACTTCAAATCCATGCAATTGCATGAAGAACAACACATGTTAGAAAATATCCAAGCCGAGGACTCCTTAGGTGAGTTAAATGAAAGAGAACAATTGGAGTGTGAGTTAATCCGCAGGTTGATAGTATCATATTTTGGTATTGTAAGAGAAATGATTCAAGATCAAGTTCCAAAGCTGATTATGTGTTTATTAGTTAACTACATTAAGCAACACATTCAAAACAGATTGGTTGTTAAGTTGTATAACGACGATTTATTTGATGAGTTATTGGAAGAAGATTCCAACATTCAAATTGAAAGAGAAAAGTGTATGGAAAGTTTAAAGACTTACAGAATGGCATCCAGGATTATAAGTGATGTTGTATAAAGTGAGATGCAGATGATATTGAGAAACTTGTAAATAGTCAATCCAAAGGGAAGAGGTAAAGCAGCTGGATAGAGATATCATGCAAATTAAAAAAAAAAAAAAGAAAATTAAATAAAAGAATCAAGACAGAACTAAAACTTGGAAAAGCATATTGAAAAAAAAAAGAAAAAACAACGACGAAGAACGATGAGTGGTAGAAATCTATATTGAAATATTGGCAGCCAATTTGCATGGAGTTAGTTAAATTATTTAGTATGTTGTATATAAATATTCGAATTAGTATTACTAAAAGCTGTAACCATTTCTGTATGCACTGGCTTTCTGTATGCACTTGCAACTGTAGAATTATTGGAGCGACCTGCGCTCAGTGTCGGTGTTTATATACAAAATGCAGCAGTTTCTCGGATATAACAGCTAGCCAGTATACTACAGAGGAAGTACGGTCCTGGGGGGCCTCTCATAGACGTAGATATCCAAGAACCTACCTAGGTTAGTCAATACGGAAGGACTAGTGAATTTGTAGCTTAAAGAATCCTTTTTGGTATCCTGCTTTTCCACATTAAAGGCATCATCCTCATCTTCTTCTATTAAGATTTTCGGGGGCAGCATTGTTGTGTGTTTCACCAATAAATTAATAGTAGAAACGCCGGAATCACTCTTTACTTTATTAAATAGAGCCCAGTCGTCATCTGTCAAGGGTATAAGCAAGTTTGATCTAAGTTTTATCACGAATCTCAATGGCACTACAACGTGACATTTCCACGATGACTTATTCAAATCGATGCAAAGTGAGTTTGGGGGCACCGGAATGTCAGTATTGACATCGGACAGCAACTTCACCAATTCACTGATGGGTACACGAAGGAGGTATTCCAAGATATCATGGCTTATGGAGCTAGTTAGGGAGGTGATATCTTTATTGGATATCCGGATGAAATTGATTTTTTTTAAGGTAAGCAAGGCTTTCGACTTATGCGACAGGTCTATGGCGGAGTGAAACAATTTTGAAGAGAGAAGTCTCTTCCTATTAACATGAATTCTGACAGGTATTACTGAGTTATGGTTGATCTTTACAAAAGTCAAACATGGAGGCATGTTGGAGGTCTTGAAAGTACACGATATTTACTATGTACCCCTATGTTCTGACCTTGCGGTTTATGGTGTTATCGCTTTCTCGGGTGCCCTGATTCACACCATCTGCATACCACAGGAGGTGAGAAGAGAAGCTGAAAAATTCGTGTACTGTACACAAAGCACGCCCCACGGCAATCAAAATGTAGCACATTATTTAAGCCCCCATTGCAAGTCAATGAGGAAAAAAAATAAATAGGAAGGATCTTGTATGATCGTAGTATGATGGACAATATACTTTGACCTGATAAGGGCTCTAGACGCTATTTTAACTAAGGTCGCGGGTCCAATACAAGGCAAGAAAAAAGTAGAGCAAGATGTAAACAAAAGAGCATGGACAGCGTGTAGCATATGTAGGCTGTGGTAAAAAGCTGCCCTGAGCAGGGAACTTGAAAGCAAAATTCTTACAAGCACTCAATTCAGGCAATCCTCTGCTAGCGCAGATGATGTCCTACAACACACATACTCCAAGGTATAAGAACTGATTTCATCTGCAAATCTCCACGCAGAAAGTATGCTGCTGCCATTCCTGTGTGTAAGCTCTAAAGAATCTACGGCTTTGAGGCGACTGGCAGTACTGTCACTGTTTCCACTTTAGTGCACTAGAACGATACAGTATCCGCATGTACAACGTGGTAGAATATACATCAAAATGCACTCGAAAAAAAAAAAATTAATTAGGTGTCAACGAAGATAAACACCAACAGTGTGAAAAACAAGGTCTTGGTGTATCGGGGTCCAGAACACTTTACCACCTTCCTTCTAATTGTTTTCATGACATATTCTCTTACTGTATTTTCCGTAAATCCACTCTCATTTCTCCACTTTGCCAACCCTGGTCCCTGGCATCATTTGCATTTACCAAGAATTTTGAATTTCGTATCTTTAAAAGTGCCTTACCCTTCAGTCATAATTAGAACTGAAATGAAAAATATCCCCAAAAAATAAAGTTAAAAATAATTTAAAAAAAAACTCAGAAAAAACAAAAACAGGAACATAAAGAGGTACAAACCTCGCATGCATTGTTGGTTTGGTACGTACGACTCAGATTTTCCACAGTGTTGAAATTGTGTTGATTATTTTTCTTCTCATAATCTCAGGCTGGCGTTGTAATTTTCCATATCTCAGCGCAGGTACTTGCAGTATATTCGACCCACTTTCCTAATTGCGGTGCAGTATACCACTGAAGAAACCTAGTAGCGAAAAACAAAACGGAAAACCCATCCCCTCTCCTCCCTGAATAGATAGCATCGCATCGCCTATGATCCCGAGGAAACCTTTGCCAATAGCTCTAGGGGCTAGCTTGGCAATCTTGCTCTTCGTTTGGATCACCTCTAATGTCCCTACCACTGTGTCGTACACCCACAAGTCTCAAAGTTATCTGCAAACATCGACCATTGATAAGGCTAGAACCAAAGCCAACTCAGCGCAAGAATTGGCTCAGATGCTTAAGGAGGAAGTGTCCTTTTCAAGAGTGGTGTATCAAGATTTCCATGATGAATACACCAAGATCTCATATGTAAACCAAAAGACTGTGGTGGAAGAGGGCCACGGACAGGAAACAACCGTGTTGATCTTATCTTCCATCGTTGATGAAACAGCATATGGGAAGAATAGAAACTTCGAGGACTTCTTCAATACTGTGTTTTCCTTAAATTACCCGAGAAATTTGGTATCCTTGGGATTCCTTGTAGGACTGCAACAAGAATTCCAAAAGGTTGACTTATATTTCAAGAAATATTTTGAACCTTTAACTGAATTGTCGACTACTGACAAGAATCACAAAAAAATCATCCAAAAATTTGTCAATAAAGTCACTATTGTAACTGCTCCATTTATAGAAAAGGAGTTTGAAATCGACAGAGATAACAGACACAACACAGACGTTCAAAAACAACGTCGTAGAACCATAGCCAGGTCCAGAAATTTCATCTTACTGAACTCACTCAACGACGAACGTTACACATTGTTCTTGGATAGTGATATAATCAGAATTGAACATAGGGATATGATCAATATCTTTGTAGAATCAGGAAAAGATATTGCTGTTCCAAGAATAGAGAAGGAATGGGATCAAGATTATGATAGAAACTCATGGAGAGGTGAAAGAACTGTGCCTGATGCCCAACAATTGGAAATTATGGATAAGAACGACTGGCAGCATTTTACGTTCATTCCTGAAGATATTGGTGATAATATCTACCATTTACACCACACTTTGGCCAATGAAGATGCGTCAACTAAAGAATTAACATACAATGTGCCTTTGGACGCCGTAGGAGGTGCGATTCTTTTCCTGAAATCTATCGTCTATAGACAAGGTGTGACATTCCCAACTTTTTACTTAATTGGTACAACTTGGCAAAGGTTTGAAGGCTATGACGGTATAGAGACTGAAGGTATATGTTATATGGCAAAAACTTTGGGTTACTCTTGTTGGGGTTATCCAAATCTTGTTGCAGAACACTCTCCAGGTGATTAGATTTGGAAAGAAAGTAGATAAAGAACAATTTAGTTAATGGGTATATATTTATTACTTTTGTATTTATAGATTTAATCTACGAATATGCATTGAAGTATTTTGTAGTTCACCACAAGGACTCAGCATGTTCCTTTCGATGCATTTTCATAAATTTTACAAGATCCTTCAGTACCTCTGCTTCACCACTAGAACTTCTAGAATCATAATACTTGGGTCATAATACTAATGTATAGACTCTCTAATGTAGGCTCCAGCTGGTGCATTAACATTGAAACATGTGCGGTTCAGAATCATATCGCGATTGAAAAATTACAAAGTGTAAACATGCAAATGCAATGTTGAACATACTTAAGAGTTTATCTAGCAAAGAGTGCTGATGTCCTTGAATACAATTGTAGAATCATGCTTACCTCTGCATTCCACTTTCAAAGTTTTGCATTTCCAATCCAAAGCGAAGCAGTGTAAGAATTTATTTCTATACGATGCCCTGAGCCAAAATAAACCTACATGCACATTAAAGATCAAGCACTTCTTTAGTTTGGTGGATGCTTCAAACTACGTGCTTTTGGGTATTGAAATTAATATATATCTTACATTGTTCAAAAGTCATACCGACCAGCATATTTTTGTAGCGAAAGCAGATACTACTGGGTTCAAACTGTTGAAATCATTGGGGGTTAAAGCAGGTGAAATAATCTCATGTTTCTTACATTTCTTGCTCTCAATTGATATTAATGAAAGTTATGGGAAGGAGGTGACATTGAGTAAGAAAACCAAATCATGGGAAGGAAAGAAAGTATCACGAGACGATTCAATTGAGCTGGGAGACAGTCACACTGTCAAGGCATTACTCAAAGCTGCCTATCGTATCTCGAAGGATTCTTTTTATTATCAAAGAGTAAAAAGTTATAAGTTGCGTAAGGAGTATTCCCAAGAACAGAAAGAAATTAGAAATCGAGCAAAAAGAACTGGCATAAAGTTTGTGGAGCCCATCTACAATCACATCTCTTTGTTCACAAGAGCTGAAAAACAATACCTCTTCCCTGAGTCGTTCCGTAATCCCTTTAAGCATATCGTAGATGGTAAGCAATTACTCAGTTGGTGGCTCAAGATTATAAATCAAGTATTGCATGACTTCAATTTTAAGACTAATCAGAATTTGAAGTGGAATTGTAAGCTCTCAATTCCAGGCTCAGATGATGACGCTACAAAGAAATTCCACACTAATCTTCAAGATTTCGATGGCATAACCTGGTCAAATGGGAGCATATTCAATAAAAAAGACGCAGCAGGTATTGCCGTTTTTGAAATTCCTCTCTTCCCAGATGATCCTAAAGGAAGATTCTTGGAACATTTGGTAGTTGAAGGGAGACATAGAACTACCAATTCAAAGCAATTCTGGGAAGAATTGGGCATCAGACAAGAATTTAGACTTGGTAATCTAGTAGGAATCATAGGTTGCACAACTGAAGATCAACTTTCAAAGAGCCAAAGGATCATTTCGTCCCATATATCATTTGCTGATTATAAGAGACTAATGAATTTGGTGAAGGGAGAAGATTATTCTAATGATGAAAGTAAGCTTCTAATCAAAACTCAAATTCCAGAGTTATTGAACGAAATTGGTGCAAACTGCTTATCAACCGTTAAAGGCACTAGAAAACATTCAGAGACTATTACTACAGCAACAACAAAGCCAGCTTCCGTCGTACCGCTGGTAAATAATCTTACTGGCTTGATAAAAAGAAAGAAAAAGAAAATAGAGTCATAGAATTCAACTGAATAAAAACATATATTTCATTACTAGCAGAGTATTTCGTTCTCCACCATTTGTAAAAACTTATCATTCTCTGACAACATTTCATCTACCATTTTCCTTTGTTTTATCACATTCCTTTTAGTTTGGATTATAGGTAGTTTGACATCTTTAAGATCCTCAGATAGACACTTTAAATAAAACTTTCTGGGGGTGGTCATCAAATAGGTCTTAAAAGTCCTATAGAAGTACCATTTAGACACATTTAGCTCTTTTATAATATGGTCTATATCCAATCTTGCACCACATGTAGCAGCTTCATAAACCAATCTACAAGCTTTTGCTAAAAATACCCTTTGATTGTTCCAATCCAGCTGGACAGTAGGTTTACATCGTTTGCATGGCCTGTATGAATGAAGCAAAGCTTGGTTCACATTATCATAAAACTTTATGTTTCTACTTAACGCGAGCTTTGAGTAACAAGTTGGTCTACATACAATAGAAGTGGAAATAACGGCATACACAAATTCCCCTTCCGCTTCAGGGTCACGGTCCTTCAAAGCTTGGAACTTTTCTTCGTCAGTCAAATACTTCATGTTTCCTTTAAGTTGTAACTCAAAGTAAGTGCAAAAGGCATGACGAGGAAGGCATTTTTATAGTATTGCTTATTAAGCTCTCGCCCGAAAGGCACTACTTGATGTGTTTTTTTGCTCTCAAATATTTTTTTTATATAAAGGTGCATAATTTTGCAACAATTTCCCATGCAGTGTTCCAATTAGGCAGTTTTCGCTCTAGTTACACAGTTGAAGATATACGATTGACATGTTGTTTTACACATTATTGGATGCCAGTTACACCAGGGCTTTGCTTGTTTTAGATTTGGAAGGTACATTATACTATGCATCGTTGGGCAACGATGAAAGGAAATTGATTTTCCAAATGAAAACAGATTTTACTCGATACAATAAAAAGAAAAATTATGGTAATGTCCAACTCAAAAAGAATATTGATAATGGTAAAATGTTGACTACCATTGAGTTGTACAGATCACTAGTTGAAAATCCTGGTTCGAGTGATATTTCAAAGATAAAATTTAAAATGATCAATGGGACTGAATTGCAGTATAAAGTTTGGGACTACTTGTTGCAAAAAACAGAACCACTGAAAACTACCACTTACGGGAATATTGCAAAATATCTACAGATGAGCACTTTTCTGAGTAGGGCGGTAGGAAATGCCTGTGGAGCAAATAGAATAGCTCTAGTGGTGCCTTGTCACCGTGTTTTGGGACATACAGGTGAAATTACTGGGTATAAATGGGGCATAGGTATCAAAGAGGAGATATTGAAAAGGGAAAAGCAAAGCACATTAAGTAAGAAGTAGAAATTAAGATCTAACGTAGATGTAAAAATTTTTAGCAACTGATTTGTAGCTCGTAAGAGATACTAATAAGAATCTATGACTTTTGGGAGTTTGTCTCTTATTTTGGTAGGAAGACCACAAAATATTAAACCGACAGTTAATACAGATTGAGTTACTGAGTTAGAACCGAAATGAGCAGAGAACAAAATATCAGCCATCAGTCAGTACAGGCTGAGCTATGAGCAGACAAAAAGGGAATAGGGGAGAAGCCGATATTCGAAACTAAAAATTCAACCAATATTTTGTTCCCAAACTTCAAATCAACATTAATTGAATGATGCATCGTTTACCTGAATCCGTAAGTGTTGATTTTTTACCGAGAGTAATCACACAATTTTGGGCCTTGTTCATTTTTTTTGGTGTCGCATACCAAAGATCTAAAATAACCGTTGAGTAAACGTCAGTTTAGAAGACGTAGAAAATGTCTCATATGCAACTAAGAACATGTGGCACCATCTCCAGCAAAGAGGAGGGGAGGAGCTACTTTAAAGTTAGCTAACCCTAAGTCCGCTGTCACCCACTACCAACTCGGTGTACTTTCTTTTTCTTGTGTGCTTTGTTCCGCTGTTCTCAGCCCGACTTGGCGATAAGCGAAGGCAAATTAGAGCAAACGTAAGCGCGAAAAAAAAGGAAAGAAAAAACTCACGCAAAATTTTGGCATTCCTACCAGAACCCAATTTTTAAGGGGTTCCAGATCTAAGTAACAGGTAAACATTCCCCTATTTCTTGTCACTTTTCTCTCATTGAAATTGCCATAGTTTCATAAAATATTTGTTTCGGGTCTACTCAACACTATACCTCAACGGAAGTCACTCAACGAAAGCTCAATTAGCCAACTTTCTGAATATTTGTGGGTCTACTTTCCTGAAGGTTCCATCGTATAAATTTTTCACTTTTGCACTAAATTTTTTTATTTTTCACTAGGCAGTGCAGCCGCTATTTCTTGTGTGTCAGTACAGTTTTGTACCCTTTTCCCCAACTTTCGATTTCGTTCCTGTGGTGTAAGCATCCGCAGATTCCCATCTGAGGCAGTATATATAATTTCACAGGCCCATCTCATTCTAGACAGAAAAATTTGAAAAAACAAGGTTATCCTTTTCCTGAATTAATTATATCAAATCAAGAAACGGTTTAGCTTACAGTTACAGTCATGTTGTCACCGAAATCAAATAGTATTACGCCAGTTAACACGAATCGCCAGCAAAATCGTCCTGGTAGCATCGATAGCATTTCTGCAGGTTCGAACACGACCCCACTATTCAGAAATGTGTCTACCATATCTAATGAGTTGAGAATTGGAAGGCAGCCAAGTATACCGAATAACTCTCATAGTAATTATATATCACCAGGCTCTTCGTCCTCTTCCCTCTCAGATGCAAGAAACAACCGTCCTTCTTTAGGAGACTTGACAAACAGTAGTAGGAGGTACTCGTTCCCTGAGTCCATCTCAGCTGCACCTTCACCAACATCCGCGCTAAATGAAAATATGAATCTCCGCAAAATGAGCAATGAGCAGATCATTGACTTGTTGGAAAGAGAACAGGATGCTATGGTTTTGAAATTGATGAAAGAAATTGAAACTTTAAAGGAAGAGAATAAGAACTTGAAGGCCTCGTTATCTAATGCATCACTGAATAATGCAGGTGTAAGAAGAACTGCATCAGTTACATCGCATGACTTAAGTAAGCAAGTGTCAAATTCCACCTTTTCCAATGAACCTAAAGATGAGTCGAAGGACAGGAAAAAAATGAAGAGAAAGCTGTCTAATGAAATGCCTAGAAGATCGGCGACTGAGTATAGTTTGATTGAAAAAAATCAATTGCTAGAAGACGAGGTTAGGACCCTAAGAAGCTTGCTTCGAAAGTAGCTAGCTTTGGGGTGTAGATTAGAATGCAAGGTTAGTTAGAGTCTTCGTGGTTTATTTCAGTTGGTCATAGTTTTTTACATTTTTTTTTTTTTCCGTTTCTTCTATTTGGTATATGTGGTAGATGTATGCACTTTATAGCACAATGTTTAGGTTATAGATTATGTTTGTGGTTAATAAATGGATTTTCAGCTAGATATAAACGCCTGTAATTGTGATCAATGCACAGAGTTGTTTCTCTTCAGTTTATCTTAGCGTTGTCTTAACATTGATGATTAGTTTCAAAGGTTCGCACTCAGCAATGAACATCTCAAAGACGTCACTATTGCTAGCAGTGTTGTTTACTATGAATTTATGCCAATGCATTATACTAGACAGAATGGTCGATTTATACCAGAAGAACTACCACATTGAAGATCTAGCTCCGCCTGCAACTGCTGCTGCAGTTTTACCATTTCCTCAATGGTTGACTGACTTTACCGGTCTAAAAGAATGGCCCGGGTTTGACCCTCCTTACATTCCATTAGATTTTATTCACTTGGACAAAATTGTTGATGCGCCATTGCATGTACAAGGCAGTTGTACAGCAGTCAAGCTAGAACACTGTTCTTTCGATTGTATCAACTGCATTGCTCCGGACGATGTTTATTCATGCCCCGTTCTTTCTCAAACATTTGATGACGGGCCAACGCAATTCACCACTACTTTGCTAAACAAGCTAGATGAGAAGTCAATAAAGTCTACATTCTTTACCTTGGGTGTTCAAAATGTGAAGTATCCTGAAGTTTACAGAGAAACGATGAGACGGGGTCACATCATGGGGTCGCATACTTGGTCCCATAAGTTTCTACCATCGCTAACAAACGAGCAGATCATCGCACAGTTAGAATGGTCCATTTGGTCAATGAATGCAACGGGCCACCATTTACCAAAGTGGTTTAGGCCACCCTTTGGCGGTATAGATAACAGAGTTAGGTCCATTGTCCGCCAATTTGGTATGCAGAATGTACTATGGGACATGGATACTTTTGATTGGAAGCTCGGAACAAATACGAGAAAAGAGGCTGATATATTGAAAGATGTAAGAGAATTCAAGGTGAAAAAGCTGGGGAAAGGAATGATTCTAGAGCATGACGCGGTGTCAGCCACTGTCAATGCTGCAACAAAGGTTGTTGATATAGTGGGATCCAATCAGTGGACCGTTCCTAAGTGTGCTGGAGGAATTGATTACATTAAAGTGTTTGCATGATGTGAAGGCTGCAAATTGTAGTGAGCCGCTTTAGCTCGATTACCAAGGGTGCATAATCCTTCTCTTACCTTATCTAAAAATCGCACTAGACACACGTGTGTGCAGGAAATACACCAAAAATGGCACAAAAGCTTTTTAGAGATAACGCAGAATATCCCTTTTATGTTTTAATCTACACCTTTCCACTGAAACAAAGTTAATATGTATTAAAAAAACGTGTGTTTGTATTAGATTGAAGCTTATCTTTCATTTCCAGAACAAAAAAAAACAAAAGAAACACTGTTAATAAATAACTAAATAAATAAAGGGGGTATATAAAACGAGAGATGGGGGATTAGATAAAAATCTAATAAAATAAAACAATAATAGAATGATAAAGGAAATTCAAAAAAAAAAAGTGAAAAAAAAAAAACAAATATTAATAAGGAGCAAGTCATTAGACGCGCATGATAATGGAGCCACACATATCCAGAAGCTAACCCAAATGTTAACGAATTAACTCTGTGCATAGCTTAGACCATAGCATTCCAGTCAGCTTTCTTTTCCATTCCATTCCGTAGTCATTCCAATTGCTATATTCATTCTTCTTTCTATTTCTTTTTCCACCTTCAATTTCCATTTTCCCACTGAGGCATTTTCCATTTATCTTCATTCAATCTAATTTTCAAACCTTAATTACCCTGAAACAAGGATCCACAAATATTTTTTGATAATTATTCGTGAGCTAATCATGCAACATCAAAAACTAAGCCAGGAAATTTAGAAAGATACGTCACATAGTAAACAAATGGATGAGCCCATGAGCAAAAACAGCAACCAGACTTAGTTGACTGGGATAGCAGAAGAGGTTTGGTTAAGAATTTCTTCACCCTTGTTGTTGATTGAGGAAACTGAATTGCTAATACCGTGTTTGGCTTCGGAGATTAATGAATCTGCTCTGTTCTTGGTGGTAGTTGCAACTTCAACAACATAGTCTTGGGTTTGAGCCTTCAATGGCTGAATGTAGGTCTTGTTTAAATCTTGCGCTAATTTAAGGGAGGTCAGGTACGAAGCAGTGACGTGCTTTTGAACGTTGCTAACTTCCTTTTCGGCCTTATCACTCAAGTGCTCTAATTCTTCATTGTATGTAGTTTGTAAGTGAGAAGAGATTTCAGTCAGCTTCGATGTAATTAATGTAGATAATCTTGACAAGATCTCCTTCGAAATTTCGATGGACTTTGATAATTCTGAAGTTTCGGTTAATTCTGACAACTTGAAAACTGGCTTGTTTTCAGTAGCAGTAGCTGGCAAGTACTTATCAGCAGTGTCGTAGACAACAGTGTTAACTGGAGCCAAAACGTGCTTCGAGGTGAAGGTGATTGGGTTGATGTCGTCAAGGGTAGAGATGGTTGGTAAGTATGGTGTGACGTAGGTGTCAAAGTTACCCAAGACTAAAGTGTCAAATTTTTCATCAACAGTACTTAAAAAATCTCCAAAGTATGGTGTGAGTACCTTATCGTCGGCTAAAGTAAAAAGTCCGAGATATTGTGTGTAAATGTAATTAATTAAACTGAAGTGAAGCGCATATGAGGTGACACTTGCAACAGGAGGGTATGAAGCGATGTGGTCAATAGACTTAACAAAAGGAGTACTAGTCATTTTCTTTTTTTTTCAGTTCACTAAAATAGTATTGTGAGAGGGTAACAAAGAATGCTCTGAGAGTATTGAAAAGCAGAAAAGTAGGGAATCCAAGGTTATTTAAGTTAAGCAACAAAGAGATTTGCTCTTAGCCTTTTTTTTTTTTTTTTCTTTCTCCTTGCTGCATGGCATTTGCGATATGCTGTAAGGGAAAATTAGCAGCCAGGCTGATGGTTTTACAATTGCATGTGAATCCGCCTCAGTTGCTAAATTAGAGTGAAGCCAAAAAAAAAAAAAAAAAAAAAAAAAAAGAAGAGATAAAAATAAAGGGAAAAAAAAAAGAGATTGGAATAATAGCGTGTAACAACATCAGCTGCAGCACTAGTTAAGCAGTGCAGCTCGTAGTTATCACTCCACTGGACCGGATACATTCAGAGCTGAGCGGAGCTGAATGGAGCTCAGCAGAGCTGTATTGTAGGCAATACTGATAAACCGTGACAGAGGTGCGAGTGCTTATGTATCGAGAGGCTTTAATCAGTCCACATCCCATCCCTGTCTAGTTTTCTCCCAGATCAAGCTTTAGATTCGAGTCAGACAATAAGATCCAAAAATACATTTTGATTTTAAACTCTGGATAGGGTGATTCCAGGTATTCGTCTACGGAAAGTGTGTGATTAAAGTTTAACACAAAAGCTTAAAGAGGGTTCGTAGGCAGGTTATGTAAGTTGTTCAACTTTGAAGGGACCACAGTATCGGATTGAGATACATGAAAAATAGTCAAGGAACAGCGTGAGGTCTTCTCAATGTCCTTGGTGCGGTCTGCTCTGGTGGTGGTGCATATGCCAAACACCGTGGAATGGTTTTTCTTTTTAGGTTTAAGGCTCCAACCTTAATTGCGTCCCGATTTGCTGTCGTTTTCGTTTCATTTAGGAGCTGTCACCTACAGCAGTATGTAGCTATGTCTGAAAAGGGTGGCCAACTCATTTGCCTTCTCTCATTCTCTCCTTCATTCTTCGCCGCCGCCAATGCCACTTCAATGCACCGCTGTGTGTTCCAAGACTACAGTGGTTTATTTTTTCTTCCGCTGCGTAAATTCAATGCAGCGATGTCTTCTGAAAAGTCCCGGCACCAGTGTGCCTCGGCTCGGCGAACTGTAAACTTCATATGGCTAAGATGCAATGGAAAAAAAAAGAAAAGAGAAGTATAACAATAACAAACAATGTATCTAGTCCTCGGGACTCATCCTTCCTCATCCCTCTCGAGAACTGTAGCCACAAGAATGTCTAAACTAGGAACTTGCATGAAACTATATGCGAGTGAGTACGCAATGGGCTTTTGGCAGGTTCCTCGAAAAATGCAACATACGAAGGGAAAAAGTAAATTATCTAGCCAACTTCGGTGACCGTGTAGTAGATAGAGCTAAGAGAAATACACATAATCACTTCTCATGGTTTGCTATAGTTTTCCTGGTAATTTGGCTGTCTTCCAGTGCACAGTTGCACTGGTGCACTGGAAGTCTGAAAGGCTAAAACGATGGTTTGTCTTCACAGCTAGCACCACCCTGTTGACAACTGGTGAAATAAAGATTTAATAATCCCGAAGAAGAAATCTTACGCGCAGGCGGAGCTGAAAAATTCCAGTGAAAATCACTGTAGCCTGCTCCGGGAATCAAAAGAAGCTATAATGATTTGGTCGAGCTTGCAACACCTTCAGAGATCTGGACAAATGGATATTCAGTACATTGATCTGATTAACCTTTATACTTTGCGGGTTGTTACATACCGCTTAGATGTTCTATTGTGTGAAAAAGTTGTTTTCATTTATGGGAATCAGAAGTTACACTTACATGCCGATGCATCTCAGGGAGATGGATTATGATATTATTTATTTACTAACAATTTCTTTATGGTGATGCATTTTTTTACACGTTCACTTTTCTCTGTAACTTTGTTTCAAATCCTTCCATATTTATTTTATACTTGCTTTATTGTTGCTGACATTCAGGTGGATTCTCCTTTGGAGGTTCGTCTTCATCATCGCCGTCTTCGCTACCTTCTTCTTCACTATCGAATTCCTCTTCGTCTTCGAAGTCTTCAGGGAAGCCAAATCCAACTGCATCACCTGTGAACCAATCAATTGCTCTAGGAATCAAGCGGTCCTTGATTTCTTCACCTAGTTGGTAATCCAATTCCAATCTTGCTTCTAAGTCTTCGTCTTCTTCTTCCTCATCAGCATCCTCATCGTCACCTTCAACATCGTTCTCGTTGACTGATGGTGGCTTTGGTGGGTCAAAGAAGTTGAAGAATGACTCAGTTGGGGTTAATTTTTCAATGGTTCTGGTTTGCTTGGTGTTCTTGTTTCTTTGCTTTCTTCTTTCTATAGTGATAGTTACATTATTTTCCTTGGATTTCCAATTTATTTCAACCCCATCAGCATGATCGTAAACGAAATCTCCAGAGTATCCCAATTCCGCTTGGTAATGGTAAGTCTTGGTCAAGATTTGGTTGGTGAAGTAAGGGTTTTCATTGAATTCGAAAATCAATTCAAAGCCTGGAGTTTCAAGGTATTCCATTCTAATGTCCTTGACAAATTGAAGAACCTCGGAATCTCTGTCGGTTATAGTTTCAGAAACAGTTTGAAGGTTTTCCAATGCAGTCAACCAGAAACCTGGGATACCCTTTTCTGCTTCTTCACTTTCACCTTCCTTTTCTTCATCTTCATCCAACTCTTCAATCTTCTTCTCATCTTCATCTTCATCCTCCTCGTTCAAAATTTCACCTTCTTCGATTTCTTCCGGAGTTGGTTCTTCGTCCCCGTTGACAATCTGCTTTCTTCTCTCGTACAAAGGTTCGTATTTCTTAAAGTACCTCTTTTCCAAATTTAACAACTCTTTCTGGAATTCGGCCTCCAATTCCATTTGCTTCTGTTGGATCGACTTCAATCCAAACACTCTGTTCTTGACCTTCTTAGGGAGCGACTCGATGTACCCGCTTTGCTGGCCAACCAAGTTCCCCAACTTGCCCTGTATCATCGACAAGAGAACAGGGTTGTTTGCCAATTGTCCCTGTAATCCATTTGTGACGTCTTCCTCATTGATGGTGGAAACCCCTGGCGGCTTGGACTTCAAATAAGAGTTAGTCACGGAGGAGGGGGTGTTCTGTGGTGTAGGAGCCTTCGAAATATCTCCGGCCTTCTTTCTAATTGGTTCCGACATCTTTCTTACTCTTTTCTGCTGCTGAAATAGTACCTTTGCCTAGTGAAAATATCTGGTACAGCGGTACGGTGCTAAGTCCTTGCTGTTCCTTTCTTTTTTTGCTATTTTTTTATCCTCCTTTGATACAAATGTTGAATCTCATCTTAAACGCGTGCCCAATGTAGAAAAAAGAAAAGAGAGTGTGCAGGAGGCGAAGGGAAGATGGTGCGAGGGAAGGAGATGAGGGCGAGTGGGGGATCTGGGAGAGGGAAGGGAGAGCAGGGTGAGTGAAGGGAGAGCAGGGTGAGTGAAGGGAGAGCAGGGTGAGTTAAGGGAGAGTAAGGGGAGGGCGGGGAGAGAGTCAAGGGGGCTCCGCTGAGGAACAGTGGGCTGTGGTGGTGTTAGTTGATAACTATTGGTGGATATTTGGTGAACTGTTGACAGGCCGTTAGCAGGCTGCTGGTGGCCATTTGGTGGACTGTGTGCAAGTGCGTAGGCTGCAGGGGAATATAGTGTGTACAGTGCGGAGTGTGTACAGTGCGTTGCGTAGGTGCCATATGCACTGGTCTCGCTGAGTTACACAAAATGTGCCATAATTTGCACCCAAAGGTGCTGCGATCGGAACGAGCGGTGTGTGTAGGTAAAGAGAATAGCAACGTTGGCTGTATTAGAGAGAATTCGAGGTGAAGGAATGAATGCTGTGGCAATGTCGTGTTACATGTAGGTGGTAAGTATTTGAGAGGCCTTTTGTTTCCAGTGTCCCATCTTCCTCTGTTCAATGCTTTCTTATATGTATTACTCTGTATATCTAACGATATTGGGAAGTAATACAAAATCCAGTAACCACTTCCATTTCTATTTCCATTTCCAAAACCGTACTCAGTACTCGGTACTCGGCAGTCGATGTTTGATATTCGATATTCGATATTCATGCAATCACCTATACGTCCCACTCTATATATATCCGTATTCCACTTCCACTAAGTATCCTTTTTATTCACATATTTATTTCACGATACATGCCATAATCTTCATTTATTCGTCATATGGCACTACATTCGCTAGATACTCTACAGAGCAGGAAATCTCTACATTTAGATCTTCAAAACTCTCCATTGCCTCACATCTGGCACCCACTAACTGATTACTCTCTAGGAGTGAACTTCAAATTAACCTTCAATCTCCATACCACTCTACTTACTACTCTACACCTGGCCACTATCTACTATTCTATCTCGTATTCTCTTTTCACTTCTCTCCGAAGTGCGAACCCTACACCACTTTCTTCTCTCAGTTTCTTTACATCTATTCATTAATCTATAAATCAGATATTCACTATCTTACACTTCACTACATCCATATCCTGACCTGGAATTCCCTTGGTAAAGTCGAAAACCAGAAATATTCCCTTTCTATCGACAACGTATACCTTCCCTCCATCGATAGAAAACTTAATTGCTGCTGATTCGTAGTACCTTTCAGCATTTGATACCTCCCCAAGCTGCACGACAATCTTTTTCATCGGAGTAGTTGGATGAGGCTGGAAGTTGGGCGTGGATACTAAAAAGATATGCCCTTCTTTATCCAAGTAGCACATCCCGTCTCCACGAGGCAGCAGAGCAAACCTGTGAATGGTAGATCCAACTTCGGGAATTCGCAATATAGGCTCTGATGATTTAATCAGGTTACTAGCATTTCTCTCCTCTTCTAATTCCATATTCCTAAAGTTATTACTATTGGCACTCATACTCGAAGTTTCATAATCCCCCATTCCTCCAGCACCACCAGTCCCATTGCTGATAGAGGGTCTTCCACCGTCTATAGGTACCCCATCAAGTCTAATAACAACCGGGGGTCTGTTAGTTAACGAGCACGATGCCATTATTATAGTGTTCGAATGAGTCAGTCCAAATTGTAAGTCAGTTATTCCTTCATTGCCCATCATTATTTCGTCTTCTTCTTTATTCTTTGATTCCATGTCTACCTTCCCGTCTTTCATATCGACAGACCTCTTCCTTGTATTACTTAATTCAGACCAAATTAGCCTAGGCTTTTTATAATTATCTGATGCATTGCTGGTTAATCTGATAATCAAGTATCTTGATTCCCAAACGGTACAGCAAAGTAAGTACTTGGATGTGGCATTGAAGTTCATCATCTTTATAGGATCTCTGTAAGGAACCGTGATAGTAATTGGTTCAACTGAGTCCACTTTATAAGAGTCTTCTCTGAGGTTCAATTTATGTAATATGATGAATGGTTGTTCCTTTCCTGTCAATCTTTCCCTGGCGGTGATTCCACATGCTACCACCTTTTCGTTGGGGGAGATTGCTATACATCTAATTGGAAAGTTGGTCATATAGGTGTACAAAGGTTTACCCAAATCTCCAACCATAGAACGAGGAGACACGTTGAGTACCCTCAATATTCCTTTGGTACCAGAAATGGTAAGATAGTTTGTCGATAGGGAACAGTATAATTGATCCCAGGTCGCTAATTTTTTTCTTGTTTCGTCGTTATTGTCGTAATCGTTCGTGCCAAGAGTATCTCCATTGGCACCATTAGTATCATAATTATTATTTGCGTTACCATTATTACTATTTGAGGTAGCATTTGTGTTTGCATTGGCATCTCCAAAGTCGTTCTTAATTAATATTTCTTCATCTCCATCGCCAAAAGATAAGCTATTGTGATCCCTCCCATACTCTCCTGTCAGTTTCCCACAGCATAGTAATTTGGGCTTATTGGTAGTATTGTCGTATTGATATAATTCCCACTTCTTCTCTGATATCATGACAAACCTTGTGATTTCTTCACCTGTAAACATATCAATATAACTGTGAATGTCGCTTCCTATAAATTTAGTGGTCTTTTTAATCATCGAACTGGCTTTAAAAGACAGAGAAAACGAAGAGAAGTTCAATTTCGTTTGCTGTGTTTGGAAAGTGGATAATTTCCGATAAAAGGGAAAACATTTCGAGAAATTATACTCCTTCTCTTCTCCACCTTTACCTAACAACAATTGCGATGGGATCGTCTGCAAAGAACTATTGCGGAAGGAGGAATCGGTGTAGCTTGAATCATTCATCGGAGAAATGGAAAATGACTGAAGTGAAGAGGGAATAATACTTGTTTCTGGGCCCGGACCTGCCAGTGAATTACCTCTTTTTGCAGAGGAATGCGTTGAGATATTTATGGGCTGCACAGAGGACGCCGTAGTGTACTCTGGTTCGAAGTGCTGCAGTATCAAATCAGACTTCAACGTCTCTTTTTCTTGCTGCAGCTGGTGCAACAGCAGCTGGCGCTGTAACTCTAGATAGTCAGCACTCTTTCTGTTTTTCCTTTTAGACACCACTTCCCTCTCCGTCTCTTCTTTGGCAAATTTATAAAACAAGCTGATCAAGTTCATGTTTTCGGCCTTAGAAGATTGTTCGTACTGATTCTCAGCACTGATGTTTTCACTCAAGCTTTTCTTGGAGATGGACTTCCTGGGCAAACCTGCAGCAGACTGCTGTTCTTTAAGTTGAGTGCTTATTTCCAACACAATCTTGTATAGTGCTCTCATCGGACTGACATCTGCTAGCAACGTAACGTTCCCACTTCCACAATTGGGGCACTCCGCAAAGCCATTGATGTGCGAGAGGCCCCCAAAGTAAGACTCAGACGTCAAGCACCCACACGTCAACACGGACATGTCGGCGACGACGTCTTTAGAGTTTCTTTGCACTCGAAGTAGATTTTCGAGTTGCTCAAGTCTATGTCGATCCATGTTGGACAATACAGATAGCACAGATTGAAAACGAGAGAAGGGTTGACGTGCAAATTGATATGTATTCGTAGCCTGCGCTGGCTCCTGTATCAGATGTCTTGGATTCGAAGCAAGAAATATTCAATTTTCAGCCGTCTTGTAACCTTAAATACGGATAGCTATACTTTGTTTCCTATGGGAATGTTTATCGCAGAAAATATCACAATAGGTGTAGTGCTTATTTCGGAGTTTTGGCTTACATGCACTACTTTATTCGATCTCTGTCAAGATTGGGTGATAACAGGAGAAATGACTACTCTCAAAGAAAAGAGAAAAGTCTCTACGCTCACGAAACGAAGTCCCTGAAAGCGCAGGCTGAAATTGACCTGGGCTAAGTAAACACAAGAACAATGGGGGAGAAAGAAAGTGCGCCTCTGTAAAGAAACGAGACGCAGCGCATGGAAGCTCGAATTTCGCAGCCGGTGTAAGCTTGGAAGCCTGCCGGTCAACAAATCCGTACAGTACTAGTACGCCAGGTAATGGGGCCAAATCAATTGAGCATGTATTTCTATATACCAGGCACCTTTCGCATTTAAGACGTTTTCGCTTTCGCTCTCAAACAGTTAGAAGGTCGGATTTTGTATTCCTATACTAGGTTTTCTTTTTATTTTTTCTTTTTTTATGGTTCTTTTTACTGATCTTCTTGCTCTTTCTTCATTTCTTATACGTCATTTCTTATAGATCTCAGTTCAATGCCAAGAGATCTCTCTTAAACCATGCTCCACTATACATTAGTTGATTCACCTTTCCATTATATGTGAATCCAACACCTCTTGGTTCATATTGATATCATATTTGTATTCTTTTTCTTTTTTTTTTTTTTTTTACTCCTTTACAATTTCGGTATTCTCCCGCTGTTCCTCCTATGTATTACTCATTCCTTGTATTAAACTGTTCTTGAGCATTTTACTTGAGTATCCCTCCCAATATTTCCCATACTATCCTTGTATTACACTCATCGTCATCTCTTATTCTTCTTTCTTTTCCTGTTACATTCACTAACTTCTCCTATTCATCTTTCTTTTCATTGAGTCCCACACTGTTTCCATTATATGTCATTTCGCTATCTTTATCCTTATCCAACGGTTCTCCTTTCCCAGCTCCATTACTACTATTGCTGCTAGTGCTGATCCCTCTGAATCTATTCGATGACAAATTTCTTGACAACATTGGAGTCGATGATCTGCTGATCTGACTGGCTATATCACTGGGGGGAATTCTTGGAGAATTTGGATTCGTGTGAAATGATTGGTCTTGTAAGTTGGTCAAGGAGTTGGAGTCCCGTACGTTATCGAAAGAGACCAAATTGGGTGCACTGTTATTGGGTAATTGTACTTGCATCCCGCTGAAGAATTCATCTACTCCACTATTTTGGTCTCGTAAATTACTGCTGCCAGAGCTTCTCCCAGTACCATCGTTTATATCCCCTCTCTCCAGAGCAGAATCCTCAAACGGACTTGCTGCCCTATGCCTAATAGATTCCAAATCCTCTTCAATATGGTCCACACCGTAGTCAAAAAATGAGAATAAGGCATTACCTACTCTCTTCGCTAAATACGTAGCGTTACTGATTACACCACTAGCCTTTGCGTTTGGGTACGACTTAGTAAATCCTAGGTCCTCGTAAATTGGTTTCAAGATTAATGCCGATCTAGGACACAATTCGAGCTCATCGAGGGTTTTGAACTCTTGATCATCTGTATAAGTAATCCTAGGAAGAACCGGTCTGTAAAAGACATAGTGCGTAGGCTGAGGAACTGAAGGACTGGCAAATGCAGGCATAGATGACGTGGTGTTGGGGATTATACCTCCTTCAGTCTCGCGGTCTAACCAGTCACGTACTTGGCTCAAGGTCTGAGTAGGCAAGAAGTCATGAATAAGCGAAGATCCATCAAACAATTTTATTGAAAGTTTGCACACCTTTGCAGTACTAGTTTTCTCTTTAGGTTTGTCTGTAACAGGTTGAGCCTGCTCTATTTTGTCTTGCGTAAATTCTTTGAGCAGTCTCTCTTCTCTTTGCTTAGCCCTTCTCTCCTTCTCGTCAGCTTCAAGCAAAGCTCTTATCCTTTGTGTTTCGAGATTTTGCTCCTTTTTACTTTTCTTATATCTTTGCTGTTGCTGCTGAAGTTTTGAGTCAGATGCTGGTGTGGTTGCTGGAGAAGTAGAAGGAGCAGGTGAATGTGCAAGTGGCGCCATTGGCGCCAGAACTGGAGCTTCAGCACTAGGTGCCGTAGCTTCAGGCTGTGGTGCCAGAGATGCATGAGTAGAAGCTGGGGCAGAGGGCAGGGCAGCTTCCAACTGAGATGACAGTCCCACGTCTCCAGGATTCCGCGCCCGGGCCTCTTGCTCACCAGTTCTATTGCCAGCTTTATACCTCACCAACCTCTCCAACTTCTTAGGGAATTCAGTCGGATTGCTCTCGTAGTTCACGATATCAAGAAGATTGCCCTTTTCTATGAAATAGAAGCTTGGAACTTCCAAATTTTGAAAAATCTGTTGGAAGTACCCGAACTCAACGCTTCCTTGGATGAGTTTTATGCATACAAATTGCAGTCTCAACTTGTCCACCACAGTCTCATTTCTTTCGCCCTCGGTGTATAAGAACTTGAGTATAAACTCCTGCGATATCTCCTGCTCGTTCGTTAGAAAGGCCAAGAGAGGTTTATTCTGCAGTAGCGAAGCCAGTACCGCTTCTTGAACCGAAGTTCCGAAAATGTCTGGTATCATGGTAATATTCGATATGAAAAGTATTCACAAGGTGTACAGACAGTAGTGTTTATCAGAAAGATTTTCCTGTAAAAAAGACTTAAATATTATGCGTATCAGCAGCTTCTCACACCGCTTTCAAATTTCCAATATACGGTGTCCTAGTGAAAAATGGTATATATGAAAAAAAACTAAGACAATCACACCCAAACTCGGTCCGGATAACATTGGAGAAATAATATTGGGCTTTTCGTGTACAGGAGCAAATCTGGGACTCCGTAGAAACGATCTAGACTTTGTGTCAAGTTTGGTGGGGGGGACGCACCCTAAGGAAAAAGAAACTACAGCAACCAAGAGTGAAAAAGATGGAAGAGCAAACGATGGAGAATTCGAGATGAAGTCCGACTATTCCGTGCTGGTATGCGAAAATACGTATTTTTGTGGACTGGAAGTGAAAAAGAGAAGGAAAAAGAAACATAGTGGAAGGAAAATCTGTGAGAGAGAGCGTGGAAAATGGCATTATTGGTGGTACTTGTGTGTTTCTCTTAGATTGATTTTAGTGCTGCTATTGCCCTGGCTCGACTAGCTCAGCCTGCCCTATTTAGCGAGTGGAACACCAGGAAAAAAGAAATAGCGCTAAAAATTTGTGCAATCTAGCTCTCGCTAGACTAAGACTTGGAAATGAAATTATGAAAAAAGCCTGCTGTGCAAAGTGAAGAGGGAGAAGATCCAAAATCTAAATTCAAGTACGAAAAATTCGACCAGTGGCTCCTTATCTCATATAGACCGTTAGACGAGACAGATTTCCCAGCAAAGCTAATCGTTTATTTTAAGGTATGACAGGCCCTACAATTTGCAAATCTCCGCTTTATCTTTTGGTTGCAATCGCGCATGTGAAGCACGATCGAGAAAGATATGTCAAGTCTACATGCAGGTTTCAATACACGATTTATATACAGGATCAATGTTTGTGTTTATGCTTCTCTGCATTTTGATTTGGAGCGAGATGGACCATGAATGGAGTACGGAGTTGTACAGGTATAGTTAGCGATATCGTACAATCGTTGACCCTGGTTCAGGATTTGAAGACTGCTATTGTAGAAATTTTACAAAAGAAAACAATAAAAGCGCTATGTCGGACGGGAACATCAACGTTGTAGTTAGAGTGAGACCTTTGCTTCCTAGGGAAGATACAAGCTCGGAGTGTTTAGTCTCGATGCCTCCCTCCAACCCACGCACAACTATACTTGAAATACCTCAGAGCTCAACTTTTTATAGATCCCCAGACCAGGGCCAGAGAGTCTCTGGAGACAGAAATAATGTAGCTGACGAGAACTTGAAAACTTATGAATTTGATGAATCCATTTGGTCGTTCAACTCCGACGATTCGAACTACATAGATAATATTCTCTTCTATGAAAGGACATCTCCTCAATTACTTGATCATTTTTTCCAAGGGTTCAATGTGTGTGTACTCGCTTATGGTCAAACAGGATCTGGTAAAACTCACACAATGATGGGAACTGATGAAGAGCCTGGAATGATTCCCTTACTAGTTAAGGACATCCTTCGAAGAAAGGAGAGTCTTGTGAACGAGAGGACAAATTGTCAATTGAAATTGCAGTATATGGAAATATACAATGAGCAGGTGAAAGATTTGTTGCTTCCACTGGGAGGTACAGGACCCGGTGGCCCTGGTGGTAAGTGTCGCATTAGAGAGCATCCGGTTACCGGTCCATACGTAGAAAACCTAGTTGAATATCCAATTAATTCATTCTCTTCGTTCTTAAAGTACTTGGAAATGGGTAATCACTTGAGGTCTACAGCTTCGACTTCGATGAATGAGACTAGTTCTAGATCCCATGCAATTTTGACATTATCTTTGGTTCAAACCAAATTCAAGCAAAATTCTGATGACGAATTGCTGGACTCCATAGGAGAAGCTGATGAGGAAGTCATTTCAAATATCAAGCTTGTGGATTTGGCAGGCTCAGAAAGATTAAACAAGACAAAAGTGTTTAAACAGCAAGATAGAATGAAAGAAGGTGCTTCTATAAACAAGTCGTTAACCGTGTTGGGGAGGTGCATAAACATGCTTTCAGAAAAGTCAGCCAAAACTGGCAATACTTCAAATATTGAAGTCGTACCTTACAGAGATTCGATACTAACTTATATCTTAAAAGAAAATTTGGCAGGTAACTCGAAGACCTTTATGCTATTTTGTATATCTCCCATAGATTTCGAGGAGTCATATCAGACCTTGAACTATGCAAACCAAGTAAAGAGAGTCAAAACAAGCGCAAGAGCTAACAAGAAGAAGATTACTGGTAAGAACAAGAGAAGCTATAACTGGGATTTGGAAGAAAATGTCAACGAGAGAGAAAGCCTCATTGCCAATAATGGACTCGTAGTTGAATTGAAGAGCGAAGTTCAGAAGCTTTCTGAAGAACTACTTCATTTGAAGTCCAACGAGCAGCAGTCCCTCATTGATCAGGAGAAGTGGAACAAATTGACCATGTACCTTGAAAACCAATCAAACACTGTCCAGTTTGAGAATAAATACTTGCACTCCAAGCTAAGACAGAAATCTGCCGAGATAGAAGAGTTGAAGTCACAATTGACCTTTATGAATCAAGAGGTCATTGGCGTGATTAGTGGGATAGAACAGGATTATACAGACTCTAGTAAGGGGATGTTTGGCCAAATAGGGAGAAATATCATCGCTAGATGTGAGATAAAGGTTAATGAGATTAACGAGGATTTAGATAGATTTGAACCAAGTAACGTATTCTAGCTATAACGGGACTGGCAATCAGAGCAGATCTATGTCATGCACTCAAGAAAAGGACATCACATAAACATGCACAATCATGTACCTTCAGTTGGGAGAACTGTGATAAAAAAGCACAATAAAATTCAGCCGCTATTGAAACCTCAAACGCTCTCAAAGGTTTGGCTAAGATCTTCGCAGAGAAAAGTTCTTTTGAAATGTATGAATATATGTTATTGCCCCATTCACTTTCAAGCTCTTTATGCTTCACACTAACCTAACTCTGAGAGAAAGACACACGCCAGAGCTCTCACCAAAAACCATGGTAGAGGAAATATTATGAGCGAGTAATGCGAGCATCTATTGTATGTATGCCGTTTATTAGATACTTAAAATAAAATGGATTTGAAAAGTAGCCGAGCCTCTCATTTCAGTGAAATGGGAAATTCTTATCTCCCACCTTCGCTCTATCTAGAATTTCCACGAGCACTCTACAACCCATGTCTTATGGAGCGTTAGTGTGACAATATACCTGTGCACCGTTTGCAGCCTAATCTTCCAAACTGTACTGCATATAAACACCTGCCATTTTTTTTTTTGGCATGGTTGTTGAAAAAGACGGCGCTTCCAACTGTGACACAAGGTCTACGCTTCCTTCCAGTTAAATCAAATTGAAATGGCTGAATTCTTAAATTATCAAGTCAACTTGACTTTGCGTGACGGCTCTAGCTCGTCAGGAACAATTGTCCATGTAGATAAGTCCAGTATTGTCCTTTCTGGGAACTCAGCTGAACCGATCAACATTGAGAGCAGTAAGATTCTAGATTTGAAGGTTATCCAGCTTCCTCAAGACTTGATAAAAGGACTTAAAAAGAAAAAGAAGCAGCTGGAGAAGCAACAGCAATCACAGCAACAACAACAATCCCAGTATCAGTCCAACGAGTTGTTGGACGATGCTATTGTCTTTGCCAAGAAGCCAAACTCGTCTGCTCAAGGTTCAGTATCTGTTTCGCGTGTGGAAACACCCAAACTCAAGAACATCAAACCATCTCAGAACCCATCTTCTTCCTCGTCATCGAACTGGGGCAAAGAGAGCGACATTCAGGAGATCAAGTCATCCAATGAATTCGACTTTGCGGCTAACTTGGCAATGTTTGACAAGAAGTCTGTGTTCGCCGATTTCCAAAGACATGACACCGTTAGCCCTGGCGATAGATTGGTGGGACACAACAAGCTTCCAAATGGCGAGTTTGACAGTCCTAGCCAAAGCCGTGACTTCAATACAGTAGATAAGGAGAAGGTGAAGTACGGTAACGATGAGATGGTTTTAGATAGCATGAAGGTGGATAACTGGGACATGATTGGGTCTACAACGTCCAAGAACAACAGCAAAAATGCACAGGGAAATAATGGAAGGAGCATGAGCACTGCAAGAGGTGGAACCCCAGTACTTAATGATGAAGCGGCAGCACCTCCGTTGAAGAGAGTGTTCAAGTTGGTGCATGGTGAGAGTCGAGAGGTTGTGCCCTTGTGCTCGCCTGTTCAATTGCTTGAAGTTGAAAGAATCTCAGCTGAGTCGTACGGAATCACGCCATCGTTAATGACAGAAGTAGCGTCGGTCAATCTTTCGCAATTGATCTTGAGCAAGATGCTTGGGGGGCTGAATAGATTGAGTAATAAGAAAAACCACAATTTACCACCGTTGGTGTTGCTCTTGATTGGAAGTGGGAGATGTGGAGCAAGAGCCTTCGCTACAGGTCGCCATTTAACCAACCATGGTGTCAGGGTATTGGCGTTTGTGGTGAATGCCAATATGGAGGAGGAAGACGATAGCAGCAACCTCATCTCCAAGCAGTGGGAATTATTTGAAATGGCAGGAGGGAAGGTGATTACTTCCAATTTCAACCAACTATTAAACATCATAAATAAGGAATTGGATACTCCGGTAGAATTGATCATAGACGCCTTACAGGGCTACGACGACCACTTGGAGGATATTTTTTTCCAAGAAAAGGACTTACAGACGTTGAAGGAGATCATTCACTGGTGTAACGAATCGTTACAACATATCAAGACCATGTCCTTGGATATACCATCAGGGATCGATGGAGGTTCCGGTACCGTTCTGGACTTTGGGTTGTACATTAATTGTAGATGGTGCATATCCATGGGGTTGCCAATAACGGGATTGATCCATGCGTACAAGAACAATTGTATAAGCTACGGAACTGAGGGTGAAGTGTTGCATTATTTGATTGACACCGGAATACCAAACAAGGTATTCAGCAGTAGAGGAAACTTGAGGAAGTTCGAGAAGTTCTGGTACAGTTCTGGCTACGGCATCAAGTTGCAATTATCTGTAGAATAGAAACCAGAAAGCCAAAAAAAAAAAAAAAAGTTTGAATATATTAGCCGAATTCGAAATTTTTAAAGTTTTAATTAGAATCGATATCATATAGAGCCGATATCTTAATGTACATTAGCATACCTGACGAACATCTGACCTCTATATTGTAGTTAACTCTAGTACACCTGTGGGTCAAGGTGCAGATCACCATCTCAAAATCCTGCACGCGTAATTTTCAGTACAAGCGATTTTTCACCTTCTCCCACACAGTGAGAAAAAAATAGAGGCCTTGTTTACAAGACTGCCATCGAAAGAGAAGGCAAGCTAAAGGATCTGAGATTCAATTGATATAGGTAGCAGTGATGTTTTCTTCCTCAACGAACAATAGCGGCAATAGCTGGAACACGGCAACCAGTTTTGGGAAGTCGCTGTCCTTTGCTGGACCTTCAAGCACGTCTGGAGGATTATTTGGAAGCAGTGCTAATGGGCCTAGCACTGGTGGAGGAGGATTGTTTGGCCAAACCAACTCAAATTCTGGTACATCAGGTTCTACAGGAGGAGGGTTGTTTGGAAATAGCAACTCTTCGACCTCCAACCCTCCAGCATTGAGTGCAGCTGGTGGGTTGTTTGGCTCATCTAATCAACAGACTACTCAAAACCAGCCGTCCGCCATTGGAGGTGGTGGTTTATTTGGCAACAGTGCACTGTCAAGCTTGGGGTTCAATCAAAGTCAATCCCAGAACCAGAACCAGAATCAGAACCAGAATCAGAACCAGAATCAGAATTCTGGCAGTACTGTAGGCGGCCTTTTTGGATCAGCCAAGTTACCGGGCGCTACATCCTCCGGCGGGTTGTTTGGATCATCAACAACAGGCTCCAATCTGCTCAACTTGAATAGTAATAACACAGGTCTATTCAATAACAGTAATAACAACATCGGCATCAATAGTAACAGCAATAATTTGAGTGCAAATTCCAAGGGTGGTAGCTCTTTTAACGCAAACCCCTATAATTATGATACTTCGTTTGCTAAAATCAGACAAAATGTGGATCTGATGCCCAACTCGATCACTGAGAATTTATTCTTGAATGATGACAAGGCTACTGATAAGAACAAAGAAACGAGTAGAAAAAGAGGGTTCTCAGAAGTAAGTAAACCAAACCTGATCAATTCTCTGTCATCTTCTGCCTCATCGTCCTCATTATTGTCCAGACTCGGTCAGACTATAAGGTATTTCCGTTCAAATTTCTCGTCGGGTTCATCTCAGGCACCCTCCATAGCGAAACAAGACCACGATCCAGCATTAAAGGGCATATTCACGGCATCTAACTATGTGAGCTATAAATCCAGTCAAAATGTGAGTGCAAACGTAGCTGCCCAAGTGAATAGCAGCAAGAGATCAAGACAATCCCCTTCAAAATATTCAGCCAGAGTTCATTCTAGCCTGCTGAGTGACTTCAAAAAGTTAGTAATTAAATCCAAGCCGTTGAAATTTCATCTCATAGATACAGAAAAGGTGTTCAATTCAAAACGTAGAAGGGTTTTAGTTGAAGATGAAAAGATCGTTCTGTCGGACGATATTTTGAACAAGAACGGTAATTCATTCTTAGCTGATGATGATGATGATGATGATGACGATGACGATGACTTTGAAACAAGCAAAAGCGGCAATTACGGAAAGCCCTACAGTCGTTCAGCTTATAACTCGAACAAAAGCGTGAAACAAACTATAATCAACCAAGATAAATTGAAGGAGGAAAATAAATTGGATGATAGAGACCTCAATAATGGATATTGGTGCTCACCTTCAATTTCCGAATTGATCAAGTTGTCAGTGAAAGAATTATCTGAAGTTGATAATTTCATTATTGGGAGAGTTGGGTATGGACAAATTTCATACAACTTTCCTGTTGATTTATCAGGAGCTGCTATGACATGTAAACAAAACGAAGAAACTCTCAATAAAGAACTATTCGGTAAGATAGTGCAGTTCAAAAAGAAACATCTTTTGGTGTATGAAAACTTCGGAGATGAGAAACCTCCCATTGGGTTTGGACTAAACGTCCCTGCCACTATTACATTGGAAAACATATTTGCCAAGGATGGCGAAAATAGTTCCCAATTTATAAAGAAATTACAAAACCTTAAGGGAATGGATTTTGTGACCTACGACTTAATCACTGGAAGCTGGGTTTTCAAAGTAATGCATTTCAGTGTTTGGGGTTTGGTTGAAGAAGAAGATAATGAAGAAAACGATGAAAAGCTACTTGCAATTAAAAGGAACCAAGATTCTAGAGAAGAGGAATCAAGATTAGAAGCATCCAAAATATACGGAACACCAGAGTATAGAGATGAAATCAAAAGACAAAAATTGAAAAGCTATACAAACCAACTACCAGGTGGCTGGGAAAAGTTATCAGAATCTCAATTGCAAGATCGAGCTCTAGCCATAAAAAGAGGGTTAGTTGAAGACGAAGTCAATCAAGAATTGAACAATTTTGTTGAAGAACAGAGAATGCACCACATAAATGATGATGTTGCTGACATTACCATAGACGAAGAGGAGGAAGATAATTTGATTAAATCTCCCGATATTTACAATGGTGATGCTGAAACAAGAGATAGGTTCGACGATACCTATGGTGAAATTCAACTGGGAAAATTGAAGTATTTGAAGCAACTTGTAAGTGTGTTACCAAGAAATATTGACTTGAACGATCTAGTGGATGAAAAGGCTTATGAGCCTGAGGTGACAGACGACCAAATCTTCGACAATATTCAGGTGAGACCTAATCTTGCTATCTCTGATGATTGGCTAGTGCAATTGGAGTTATCAAATGATATAAACAGTTCATTAAATCCACTCAAATGGAATCAGAAAAATCTTCCAGAACTTGAAAGTGGTAGAGGAATTCTTGGTAGTGATTTGGATAATATTTTATTTAATGACTTCAACAAGGAGGCATCACAGATAGGCATAGATATAGACGAAGTAGGCTCTAAGAGATTGGCAAAACTTTCAGACTCCAAGAAGAAGCTTACCTCAGCTGTGGATACAACTATTTCAAAGGTACTTAGAGATTTACTTCTGAAATCAGAAATAAATTCTCGCAATACCACTGGTTATCCGAAGGTATCCAATACTGTCGATTTTACCTTTCGGGACTTGTTCTTGTTAGATAGTGATTTATCCATTGTCAAACTATGCTATGCATTATTCGAAGATATTCCACTTTCTGCAAGTCTTAATATTGATTCATCGAATAAAAAGTTGGTTACTCATTTAAGAAATTTACAGAGGAGAAATCTTTTGAAAGATTGGTTGAAAGAATTGAACGGGGTTGCTGTTGAAAATTTAATTATAGAGTCTTCTGATATTGGCGATTCTTTGTCGTCTATATTTTATATCTTATGCCTTGGAGATATCAAGCGAGCAGTTGAAGTGGCTACCAACTCCAGAAACAGCCATCTTGCTGTATTGTTGACTCAAATTGATGCAAATGACTCTGGGGCTAGAGAAATTGCTCTGGTTCAATTGAAATACTGGAGTCAAAATGGTGCAACAGAACTTATTCCTGAATCATTAATTAAAATATACTCTGTTCTTGCGGGCGAGTTTGATGAAGTTGCCAATAACCTCCCATGGAGTATTGGATTTGCTTTGAAATATATTTATGGTTCCTTGAACAATTCATTATCAGCATCGGTAGCTGAATTCCAGAATCAAATCAGCTCGGGTCCCATTAAAGATGTTTTCAATTTGGTAGTGTTGCAAAAAGGCGAAAATCACACAGCTAATGTCATCGAATCACTTCGAGCTAGTGAGAATATATCATTGAAATTAAAGTGGTTGATTTCTGTCATTTTTTCTTCGGGAAGTGGTAAGGACTTTGTTCCCGACGATTTAACTTCAGAATTTGGTCAATACTTAGTTGCAAACGGTTTGTGGAAAGATGCAATATACGTATATAGTAGGTTGCAAGACGACCAAGAGAATTCATTGAAGACTAAGGAGTTGATTTTCGAAAATATTGAGGAAATATTAGAAACTTCATCTGAAAGTTACTTGGTGGAAGTGTTAAAAATCCCGCAGTCTTTAATCCACGAAGCTATTGCTGAAAACGAAGGTAAGAGAGGAGACCATTGGAAACAATGTGAAGCGTACGTGAAGGCTAAGTCTTGGGAAAAGGTTCACGACTGTATAACAACGCATATTGGGCCATCCACTGTGATTTCCAAGAATTTGAGAGATAGAAATCAGTTATTGGACATAGTTGACCAAATTCCTCAACGAGGATTAATCATTCCACAATGGGCCCAAGGAGCTGGAATTTTCGTACAGTACATCGAGTTATTGAAGTACCAACACGAGAACTTCTCAGAATATACAGAAGAGTATAAGTCACTTATCAACTCGCTTATTACAAATATCCCATTGATAAAAACTTCTCCAACTACCCCATTTGAAAATAGTGTTGCATTGATTATCATTTCCAAGAAGGTTGGAGATTGGGCCATAAAAATGGGAGGCTTTTCAAAGGAAAAAATATTATCTTTGAAACTAGGAGAGAACGAAATCCAGTATTTCAAAAACAGGTTGGCAATTGCAGAGGACATAGACGGAATAGCGGTGTAGGTAACCTTTCCCCAACATGCACCTCAGTAGCATTCCTATATAATAAATGTATAGATAGTACTGCATATTAATACTTAGATCACGAGACCCGCTTGCATGATTTCTCTTTATTTTTTCTTTCTTTTTTTGTGACATGCTTAATCTCTTCATTAATCAGCAACAGTATCAGATAGATTGTACTTACAGAGTTGAAAAATACCGGAACAAGTCAGGTAAAATTGTAGACAACGAACGTAGCAGGCAATATATATACTGCAGAATAAAAAAAAGTACAAAAAGCTGGACAAAAAAAGAACTTATAATGGCGCCATCTATAGTTAGTGAGAGACCTAGAGAAAGTCTCATGAGCTCTCAGTTACAGGCACCAGAACCAGAACATTGCCCTGGCCCTGAATCTGAGCAAGCAGGTAAAGGTGATGCTTGTGATGGGTGCCCCAACCAGTCTATATGCTCGACGCAGCTTCCAAAGGGCCCAGACCCAGATATGCCTATAATAAATCAGAGATTGTCGCAGATAGATCACAAGATCTTAGTTCTCTCAGGGAAGGGAGGTGTAGGGAAGTCTACTTTCACGTCCATGTTATCGTGGGCATTAGCAGCGGATGAAGATATGGAGGTAGGTGCCATGGATTTGGATATTTGTGGACCTTCGTTACCAAGGATGCTCGGAGCCGAGGGGGAGTCTATTCACCAATCCAACTCAGGTTGGTCACCAGTGTATGTGGCAGATAACTTAGGGTTGATGAGTATATCGTTCATGTTACCAGATCCAGATTCTGCAGTGATATGGCGAGGAGCCAAGAAGAATGGTCTTATAAAGCAATTCTTAAAGGACGTGCACTGGGGTGAACACTTGGATTACTTAGTGGTGGACACACCACCGGGGACTTCAGATGAACATCTCTCTGTGACCACATATATGAAGGAAACCGGTATAGACGGAGCTCTTATAGTGACAACTCCGCAAGAAGTTGCTCTCTTAGATGTAAGAAAAGAGATTGATTTTTGTAGAAAGGCTGGCATTAAGATCTTGGGCTTGGTTGAAAACATGTCTGGATTCGTGTGTCCAAACTGTAAAGGAGAATCGCAAATCTTCAAGCCAACCACTGGTGGGGGCGAGCAGTTGTGTAAGGACTTGGGGATCCCATTTCTTGGCTCAGTACCGTTAGATCCCAGGATAGGGAAATCTTGTGACGCTGGAGAGAGTTTTTTTGATAGCTACGCAGACTCCCCCGCAGCCACTGCTATATTAGACGTGGTTGATGCTTTAAGGGACCAAGTAGAACTTTCTGTAGAAGGATTGAAGTTGAATTAAATCGAGAAGGGTTTTCTGTAGAGAATAAAATAATTGAATGGGCATAGAATATTGAAGTGTACTAGGTAGATATCTAATGAATAATTTATAGAGCAACATGGTGCTTTAAAGGGCCAAGTAGACCCTCCTGTAGATGGTGAAGACTAGATTAAATTGAATTACATGAACTATATTGAATGGGATGCAACACTGAGCAATAACACTGAGCAATGCTAAGCAGATGCCTGATAAACATGTCATAGAGCAACACTTTTGCAAGTGCGGCGCAAGAGATATGGAACTTAAGCGATGGTGATAAGGAAAAATAAAGTTACACCGTAGAAAGAGCTTAAGATCACAAGTTAGTATAGGATTTCTTCTGGGAGTTCCGTAGTACGCTCGAATCCTTTCAGAATGAAGATTGAAGACGAAATCAAGAGTAATTCCTTCTTCACTCCGACCAGATTGAAGTCCCTCTATTCCGATTTTGAAAATCTACAGATCATCAACCCCGAAGGCTATGAAGCCAACGTGCATGCGTGGAATGATTTGCTAGTGAGCCTTTTGATGAAGGGATACTTTGCTCCTGCTTCTTCATTGAGCATACCAGCACTTTCATTGTCACAATCGTTGAGCATACCTCAGTACGGTAAGCCAAGAGCATTGGCGCTTGTGTTGACTGAGTTGGTCAAACGACATGCGCTAATTCCATATTCTCACTTCCGGAGTGAAAGTCGCTCATACTATGAGCTAATGGAAACCACTACTGTCAGGTACTCTGATTATATCTCGCCCAAGAAGTGGCTAGACTGGAGCCTTTCTGCAGTTTTCCATAAGGAATTCCATGCTGGTACCTCCAAAGGCGGAGAACTTACCCCAGAGAATTACATTGATTGGAATTTGTTGGTTTGCGTAGGCACAGAAGTAGAGACTAAGCTAAGAAAAATGTTACACTCATACAGTTCTAGACTTTACGGTATTGAAGAGTTTAGTTCTCTATTGCACAGTCTTGGGGTTGTCCCTAGTCTCTCGCAAATAGATATTGACATACTCCGAACGTTTTTGTCAAGAGACCGTGGATTCTTATACGTGATATCACATCCTGAAGGAGAAACTTACATAAAAGTCTATCCAAACAGCAAAGAAGAGAAATTTTTCACAGAGGAAGACATAGCTATAATAATGTTGAAGAAAAGTATCATCAATTACGAGAATCGCCAAGCTCAATTGGATTTAAAGCTAGCTGAAACCAATACTAAGATCAAAAACTTGCTAGGCAAGGAGTCGGACAAGCCCAGGGTATTGAAACTATTGCAGACCAGGAAATTGTTCACGAAGTCATATGAGAGGTGTTCTAACTCCTTGTTGCAATTAGAAGAAGTCTTACTCAAGATGAATGATGCCACTGACAACGTAGACATGATGAAAGTATTGAGCCAATCTACCAACGCATTGAAGATCATAAACTCAAAGGTGGATCTTGGACGTTTGGATACAATTATAGGCGACTTAGACGAGAATACCCAGCTAACAAATGAGATATCGGAGAGCTTGGGTGGCTTGGTGTCTATATCAGATGATGAGATAGAGGAGGAGTTTCAAAATTTACAGAGATCGACTCACGCTAATGAGCAAAAGAGACTTGAGTTGGACAAGTCGCCTCATACTAAGCAGTTGGACAGACTGGAGTCAGACAAATTGATTTCAAAGCTAAGGGACTTAGAAATCAAGCCCCAAGATCATGTAGTAGAAGAGAGGCAAAATAAAGATCTGGCGAGGGAAGAAGGGGGCCATATTTACAATACTTCAGAAGTGGAAGCCCCAGAGCATGAACCCTTGGCAAATTGAAACGACTGTAATGTTTTTTATATCTTTATCGAATAACAGTATATATAAAGTATATATAAGAGTAATAATAATAATAATTAATAAATGAATAAACGGGTAATTATATTGTTTTTAATTTTGATTTAAGCAAAGGCAACTGCTAGCTTAAACGGGGTGCTGGTAGGTCATACTAAAAATGAACAAAGAAATAAAAACTTATAGTTAGCTACTAAAAGATAAGAACTAAAATGTGGATGGATGTATGAAGCTTTTGAATTTGAAGAGCTAAAAAAAGTACAGATAGTACATTCGGCTTGTTTGGTTCCCCTCCCCATTTCTTTCTCACTCGCTCACTTACTTCCTTCATCTTTCTATCCCAAAATTTGTAAAATCTGCTGCGTCAAGTTAAATAATTCAACCTTTGGATCATCAAATTGATCAGCTCCTTGGTCAACGTTATTAATTTGCTGTTGTTGTTGGGACAGACTTAAATTTTTAATTCCTGATAAGATTGATTCATTTTCTTTGATCAAAGAATTAATCTCTACGTTGTTTGACTCCAACAATTGTAAAATAGTCCATAAGGCAATGTGTTCAAATGTAGCACTTCCACTTTGTAAGAATCTGAGCAAAAATCCGTGTATACCATCGTTTGGCAGAGACCAATTGTCAAGAATATACTGTTTATGAACATTTGATACTCTGGAGCACAAGTTTGCTAACGCAGCTGCTGAGTTTCCACATACTTCACCATTTTCGCTGAATGTTAATGGAATCAATACATCTATTATGTGACTTTCGTAAAGTTTTGGCTTTAAGTCATCAGCTAACGCTAATATAGCGAAGCACGCAGAAATTTCCAGTTGAACGGTTAATGGCACATGTAACACCAAATCTTTACACTTGTCGACAGCTCCTGCGGCCAATAATGCCTCTCTGTTTCTCTCAGAAGAGGCAGCCAAGTTTCTCAAGGTTGAGACAGCGTGACATTGAATTTCTTCCAGGTCATTATAGTCCAATAATCCAACTAAGGGCTTCAAGAAACCTGCATCAATTATGAGCGCTTCATTTTGTGGGTGAATCGAAATGTTTCTGATACATGCAACTGCAGCTAATACCAATGGTTGGTGGTTGCAGGTTAACAATTGCACTAAGTGTGGTAATCCACCGGATCTTACGATCTCCACTTGATACCCAGAGTCTGAGGCCAAATTTCTTAAAGCCAAAGTTGCCTGGCACTGGACTCTTGGAGATGGAGAGTCCATCAACTTAACCAACTGACTGACCAAGTTAGGTTCAGTAGTGGCCAACTTTTTTCTATTTCCTTCATCAACTGCGATATTTGATAATGCAGTAGTACAATAATATTGAACGTCAGCGTCTTCATTGGACAATAATGAAACCAAAACAGGAACAGCACCAGCATTAACCAATTCTTGTCTGTTTTCTCCCAGATGAGTCATGTTCAAGAGGGCACCGGTGGCATTCCTTTGAACTCTGATGTCTTTTGATTTGGCCAACTTAGTCAATGGTATTAATGCACCCAGTTTGGCAATCTTACTCTTGTTGTCGTCTTGAGTGGCTAAGTTAGTTATACAGCCAACGGCGTTACATTGCACTTCAATGTTGATGGACATCATTTGACGGATTAAAGGTTCCAACCCGCCCATCTCGACAATCAAGATCTTATTTTCATTATTTACCGCCAAATTGCCCAAGGCTCCACAGGCAGCTCTCTGTACTTCACTGTCAGCACTTTGGAGCAAAATCAAGATTGGCTCCAAGACATCCCTGTTGACTTCTCTTACATCCTTTTCGGTAATCTCAGCAAATGCCAAAGCAGCACTTCTTTGTAAATCAATGTTTTCTGAGTAAACCAAAGTACTCAAGGCTCTTAAGGGACCATTGCTAAAAAAGTCAACGTCTGAACGGTTTTCCAAGTATTGCAACAAGGCAGAGATTGCTTCTCTTTCATTTTCAGCTAAAAGCAATGGAGGGTATTTGCCATCACCACGACGGGACGATAAGCAACTACAACAGGCACCCATTTGAAAAAGTATGGCAGAAGCACAATTGAATCACTGAAGAATAGATAGGACTGTTGTTTGGTCCAAATAGGTAGTTTATTCCTTACAGTGGTAGTCTCTCACTTCCGAGCAGTATGGAGGTGAGGATAAATTCGAATAAAAGGATAAGTAAAACTGTACAGATAACTATCCTGAAAAAAATATTAATGCGTTCGGTCACGTGCTGGCTCTTTGGTCTGTTAACACTTACGACAATAAGATGGATTAAGATCTATTAAAGGGAATTACGAACGCTTTGAAGGTATCTAAGTAAGTCAGCAAAAAAACGAGAGAATTGTAAGGTCAATTTTTTTTGCCTGGGCTTTGCTTTTTCTTAGGACGGATTATCCTGCACATAGTCTAAATTAGTGAGTACAAATTGACGTTTTACGCGGAGTAGTGAAGCAAAATAATGCGCTAAGTGCTGGTTGATGAGTATCATAGGAGACAGATATGGAGAGGATATCTGAGGAATGGTATAGAAAATGAGGCTGGAGTGTTAGAGAGGCAAGAGAATTGAAGAGTTACAGAGGGGAGAAACTTTTTTTCAAGTAAAATTCGAAGTATATCATTGGCTATGGCTTATTCCCTCTTCCTTCTTCTCATGTGTAATGTATTTTCCGCTTAGGTTCTATTTTTCTTTGGAGGAGTAAGGAAGGTGGGACAGGCTCTAAAGATTTAGCTAGTGGTGCGGGAAGGAAAAAAATGAATTGGATGAGGCTGTTCCTCAGCGTCTCTTAGCGGAGTTTCTTAAAAATAGCGGAGAAAACCAATTTCCAGGGCTGACATTGAAGCCATATTAATACGAGTACGTGGCATGGAATAACTCATTTCCTCCATGTCCTCTATGCTTTCCGGAGTATCAGTCGGTTGCAGTGCCAGAAACATTGTTCGTTCTTATCGGAGGACGACTTTTGAGACAAAGTCTAAAAAATAAATTTAAGTATTGACGTTTTCATTTGGTCTTAATAGGAAATTCTTGTATTGTCCAGAATTGGCTGGGGGGGCTAACATTCCTTCCGATGGTTCGCGCAGGCGGCTGCGCGCGTCTGCAGCACGCTCTCGTTAGATTGCAAATTAGAACTGCTCGAAGCTTTTGATAATGGAAAGCTGAGAGTGGGCACAGAGCATAGAGGTGGTAACCTGCTCATGGTATAGCATATTGGCTGATATGCGATGTTACCTAAAGCTGAGTGGAGAAAGTTTAATATAAAGTAAAAAGAAAAAGAAGAAGAAGAAAGGGCGGGCTTTCTATTATTAAATGTAGCAAGTATTGTTGAGCACTCGCCAGAAAGCACCATGCTTTTCCGTACACTGTACCAACACAAATTAGGGCATAAGAATTTATATTCATTTCATAAGCAATAAGAAATTGCTTAGCGGTCCATGTAGTGCTAAAATAAGTGTATTTGCTTTTCTTAAAGCTATCATTAGGAAGTATGTCTTGGTCTACCATGGAGATATCTCTAAAGAGCTTACCTGGTTTAGGAATAAATTCAGTTAATATATACTAAATATCTCCATTGTGTAGATATACTACTGTGCCGTCATATACTGGTGGGAATTGGGCTTAATTTCAAGTCTTGGGATAGCTTGCAGTAATAGTTCACGACAAAGTCGATAAGTCGAATTGGTTAAGTATAAGCATAAATATCGATAGATCGTATGCACGTTCGCTAGGTATCAACTCCTAATCTAAATTTGTGTCGTTTTTCAGAATCTGAATTCGTTGTCATCGTCGTCCGTCATTTCCTTCTCTGTGGCAAAGGAAGAGACATTGTCAATAGGTGTTCTTTCCCCTGAAATGTCAAAATATTCAACTTCAACATCAGATTGATTCGCAGTTGGTTGAACAGAAACCATGTATTTGATATCATTCGGTAGTCTGTCTGGTTTGTAAAATCTGAGGTCTATTCTTCCCACCAAATACAAAATATTATTAAAAACTTCAAGTAGCCCATAACAAATATACATAGCGATTGGTTTGCCTAAACTGGAAGTGTCCTTTTGTATCCGTGCTTGGAACATAACAATACATCTTAATATGGCACCAGCTACTAACAAAACAGTCGATATAAGAATTATGAGCATTGAATGATTGTGTTTCAAATCACCTCTTTGATTTGATAGCCCTTCAACCATACTATAATTATGGTGAGTGGCAGCAATGACTCTGATGGCGTGCCTATGATTAGAGTTTCTCCTCAGAAATGTTGCCGCTGCCTTTTGAGCTTCTCCAGATTTAACGTAATAGAAGATTCCAAAACTTTCAATCCACCATGGCTGATAAGTATAGAGATGTTTCTCTTTTTCGTTTGGTCTAATGATAAACGTCAGTAGAAGTAAACTAGCGGCTCTCAAGGAATTAATAATAATTAAAATGGAAGAAGCCTGGAGGCAGATAATATAGCGCTTACGGACCACTTCACTCAAAAAGTACATCACTGGAACTGCACCTGCAACAATGTTCGTAGCGATAAACACCAACACAAGTCCAAACAACAAAAATGTACCATACCAAAACAATTTACTGGATCCCTTAACAGGATGCCTCCAAGCAAAAATTCGTTGAGCTAAAATCAAATTGAAGGAAACAGGAATAACTGGAGCCAAGATTAAGAAAACCTCACCAGCTACACCGATTCGCCCCTTTGTAATATCCTGTGACCAGGCAGCTCTAAGGGAAAACGCCAAGGTTCTGACAAGACAGTAAAAGGCTGCACATAATGAAATATTGAAATAATGACCACGAGAATAATTCATTATGTAAATAAACATGTGGGCACAGAGAAATATAAAGAATGCAATGGCAAATATTATAGAGGGAACCAAATCAGAAGGATCGGGATAATCGCCAAAGTAACTCAATTGTAACCCTAGTACACTGTCTCGCAATACTGGTGGTAGCTGTTTCCCCATCAAATTATTTGCCTGCTTTAAGAGTATGAAGATTCCAGTTCCGTCTGCCGGCAAATCATTCAATGAGCCCCATAGTCGCGTGAGCCCAACCACTGCCGTGTAGTCGTCGGGTATTGATAGTTCTAACATTATACACCAGATGGCTTTTTGACCATGGCCAGTAAAGTTAAAGACAGTATCCTCTTAAAGATAATGTTTTCAACTGATTTTGATTAATTATCTAGTCGAAGGTGGAAAGAGTACTTGATTGATACAAGTCGGTTTTGTAAATAAAACATCATGATGCTAAGATAATTATGGAGAAACATGTTTAAAGTATATATTATATTTATTCAAGTATAATTATACGCAATATCATTCCTTCTTTGGGAAAGCATCACATCAAAATACTCTAATATCCGCGGCTCATCCCACTTTAGGGGCTCGACAGTAATTTTGTACAAATATACCAGTCGTCTACAACAATATAAAGATATATAATTCAACGCTATCCTTTACTTATGCAAGTGAGATACTTCAAGATAATACATCATATAATGTTCTACTGAACTTACTCAGCTTTTGTATTGCTTCGTGAGAATATTCAAATACTACCAAGTAGCTCTCCTTTCTATTCGTATATTTATTATTTTGACGCAGGTTCCTCGCTTAAAGGTGCATGCTGCGATGTCAAATTTCAATGCCTCGTATACATTAGCAAAATGTCACATTTTGCTACAATCCGGTAACCTCCTTAATCCGTATAGGTTTGCACATTCTATTTTGTTCGTACTAAAACCTAAATTCGTTATCTTGATCATCAACTGAAATTCTTTTTTCAATACCACGAGAGTATAACGCAACAAGCTTACCATTATCATCAGAATCAGAGCTTTCTTCATCAGAGTCAGCATATTCTTCTTCATCTTCATTATCGGAGTGAACAGCACTTTGTTGAGCAGTTACAATGGCTCTCACTTCCTTAGGTAGTCTGTCAGGTCTATAAAATCTGAGATCAATCCTCCCCACTAGGTATAGAATGTTAATAATAACTTCAAATACCCCCCAGCATATATACATGACAACAGGCTTGCCCACACTGGAAGTATTTCTTTGAATGTTGCCTTGGAAGATAACGATAGCTCGCAATAAAGCACCAATAAAAATTAAGAGCGTGGATGTTAAAATCAATCCCATAGAGAGATTATGGGTCACATCACCTCTCAGATTTGATAAGCCTTCTACCATGTTGGCATGATGATTCGTAGAGGCAATAACTCTGATTGCATGTCTATGGTTAGAATTCCTTTTCAAGAACGAACTTGCTGCTCTCTGTGGCTCTCCAGATTGCACATAATAGAAAGTCCCAAAGCTTTCGATCCACCATGGTTGATAAGTGTATAAGTTCTTGTCTTTCTTCGTTGGCTTGAAGAAAAATGTCAAGGCCAATAAGATAAGCGAAGTTAACGAATATAGAATAATCAATATAGAAGACGCCTGGGTACAGATATTATAGTTCCTATAAGCATCTTTACCTAATAGATAGAGGGATGGAACTGCTCCTGCAACGATGGTCATAGCGATAACTCCCAATACAAATCCATACAATTGGAACATGGTGCCCCAAAATAACTTTCTTGATCCACCGACTGGATGTCTCCATGTAAATATTCTCTGTGCTAATATCAAATTGAAGGAAACTATGATAATCGAACCCAAAATCAAAAACACCTCTCCAGTTAAACCTATCAATCCCTGTGAAATATCCTGAGACCAAACGGCACGAAGGGAAAATCCCAATATTCTGACAATGCAATAAAATGCAGCACATAATGATATATAGAAATAGTGCCCACGAGAATAGTTCATGAAATAGACAAATAAATGTGCACACAACAATATGAAGAATACAACAGCAAATATTATTGAGGGAACTAAATCCGATTTATTAGGATAATCTCCAAATAAATTAATCTGTAACCCTTTGACATAGTTTTCTAGAACAGGTGGCACCCATGTTCCCATCAAATTATGAGACTGCTTCACAAGTATAGTAATCCCAGTACCATCAGCTGGCATATTATTCATGGCTGCCAAAAAGCGGGAAAGGCCGACTATCGCAGTGTAGTTTTCTGGTAATGGTGGGTTCTCCATAATCGATGATGTTAATTAATTATGGTTAGATAGAAGATAGATTCATGGGATTATTATTATACTTATAGCTATGGAAGTATAACATGCAGTTATACTCTTTTTCATGAATTGGTAGCTTAATTCTTGTCATTTTGCCTGATAGAGCATATTTTAATATGATATTAGGTTCCACGTAAAATATTGCTTCTAAAATAAAGCTTGGAAGTGCCTTTAAAACATGACACGATATAGGTTTAGGTTAGTTAAGCATTAACATTAAACTTTTGCACTACTACATTCAGAAGATACTTATTTATACAGCTCGAAGTAATTAGCATGTTTGACATAGTTTACTTGTCGAGGGATTAGGAAATGCTTGGTGGGAGGAAATGTAATGTATAAAATGAAGAAGTTCTAAAACTCCACGCCAGTACTATAGTTTTGTTGTCCGCCACTACACTATCTGTAAAATACATCAACTTCTGATTCATATATCTTCTTAATGACATCTTGTAACAGAAAAGACTCTGGTGTATATTTTTTGTCCCATGTACCTCTTTTAGGCAATATATTTTAAATTTGTGCGGCTGGCCTCTCTTCATTAAAGTATAGACTGCACTGAAAATCAGATGTTAATTCCTCTACAATGTCTTCTTTGGTGGTAACCAATTGCGAAAAATGAAATAAATAATAAGATGAAGGAAGTTTTGCTTTGTATCACCTAGGCGCTTAAATTGCATATTCTTATTTAGGTAATGTGTCATTATTGTCCAGGGCTGGGACTCTTACTCTGGATAAAAGGACAAAATTCGAAGATATCGTTCTAGTAAAATAGCCAATCCCACTTACTAGCCTTAGGAAATCGAAATTCTTCTTCAGCTATATAATTGGTAACGACTTTCTTAAAAACACATTTGCCTCATCTGAATGTAGGACTATTCCTTTACTATCATAAAGACAACCATGCAATGAGTCCTAACGATGACGGGTAAGAGAGGACATGAGATATCCATATATTAGCATCAATCAGAGAGGAAGCTATCAATTATCATCAATTACTTAATTTGGGATCAATGGGTACTCGATAATTAGTCCAATATTCTCCATCATCATCTATAAAAGAGTATCACGAAGATTTAGATCTTATGCAGGTTCAAAGTGGTCATAGTCAAAACTTTCTGAATCCAATAGTTATTAAATTTATAATTACAGTAGATTTAACCTCTTAAAACCTAGAGGCACGGTACTGTCTGGGTAAGTTGCAATGAAAGGGAGCCTTATGCACGCTGCTGCTCCTTCGCCTATTGCAGTTTTCTTCTTCGTATATTTTATCCAATGCTGCAGGAAAATAATTTGAAAATCTGCAACTTATGCTGCTTCCTGCATATTTATGAGTACAAAGCAAAAATAAGCAAATATCATATTGTACATTAAAATCTAAATTCACTTTCATCGTCATCGTCGTGGACTTCTTTCTCCATACTACGTGAATAGGGAGCTTCAACGGGAGTCCTCTCTCCGGAAGAATCTATGTACTCGTCATCATCCTCCTCGTTCTCAGATTGCACTGCACTCTGTTGAGCTGTGACAATTTCTCTCACTTCCTTTGGCAATCTGCCTGGTCTATAAAATCTGAGATCGATCCTTCCTACTAGATATAAAACATTAATTATCACCTCAAAAAGCCCCCAGCATATATACATAACAACAGGTTTACCAACATTAGAAGTATTCTTTTGCATGTTCCCTTGGAACACAACAACTGCTCTTAAGAGGGCACCAATGAAAATCAAAACTGTGGATATGAGAAGTATTGCCATTGAATGATTGTGTTTTAAGTCACCTCTCTGATTCGATAATCCTTCAACCATGTTTGAATGATGGTGAGTGGCAGCAATAACTCTAATGGCATGTCTATGGTTAGAATTTCTTTTCATGAATGTAGCGGCAGCCCTCTGTGGTTCTCCCGATTTCACATAGTAGAAAGTCCCAAAACTTTCAATCCACCAAGGTTGATAAGTGTATAAATTAATATCCTTACTAGTTGGTTTGAAGAAAAATGCCAACCCTATTAAACTGAGAGATGTCAACGAATACAAGATAATTAATATAGCAGAGGCTTCAGTGCAGATTTTATAATTCGTGTAGACATGGTTACTCAAAAAGTATAGTGTTGGAACTGCACCTGCAACGATTGTCATAGCAATAATTCCTGCAACGACACCATATAATGTAAACATAGTATTCCAGAATAATTTTCTTGATCCACCAACTGGATGTCTCCATGTGAATATTCTTTGGGCTAAGATCAAATTAAAGGAAACAATTATGATTGAACCCAAGATCAAAAACACCTCCCCGGAGATACCAACCTGTGCCTTAGTGATATCTTGAGACCATACTGCTCTTAGAGCAAATCCCACTATTCTAATAGCACAATAAAAAGCTGCGCATAATGAAACATAGAAGTAATGTCCACGAGAATAATTCATAAAGAATACGAATAAATGTGCACAGAAGAATATGAAAAATACAACTGTGAAAATTATGGAGGGAGCAAGGTCTGTACTATTAGGGTAATCTCCGAAATAATTAATCTGCAATCCTAGAATATAGTCTTTCAATACAGGAGGAACCCAGGTTCCCATTAAGTTATGTGACTGTTCAACAAGCTGATTAATACCAGTCCCATCCGCTGGCAAGTTATTCATTGCAGCCAAAAGACGTGAAAGGCCTACCACTGCTGTGTAATCTTCGGGAATAGGTGGAGCTGACATTATTGAAATGGTCTAATAATTTATTACAAATTTAGATTAACTCGCTGGTCTACAAATAACGCAAGGATACTAGGGAATGCTTTTATATACATAGTTAGTGTTGCCATCGGATCCGCTGGATAGACAATCAATATAGATACATGAACTACTGCAATGTTTTGTAACTCCATTGGGAAAGTTCCATTTCATTTTTAAGTTAAATGAGTGTATTTAAAACTCGGATATAACAATTGGAAGAACTTACTTAGTAGCTTCAGGGTTCCACCATAGTATGGAATTGCCGAGGAATGAACTTGAAATTTGTGCGCACTAATTCGGAGTTTATGCCCTGAGTTTTGAAATTGATCGTAGCGTGTGCCTCAATTTGGACTTCATATTTCGCTATTGTCAACAAGATGTGCAGTTATCAAATAGCCAGAGCTACCTCAACAATAATAGAAACGGTGGGGCTGGTGTTAAGCAGGAATACTCTATAGAGAGACTGTCTCAGAGGAGCTAGAGAATTGAAATAATCTTGAAGGGAAATCGTAATTAAGCTTTCAAATCGAGATATTTTAAGGGCCTGGTATATCTTGCATTCCAAAAATTACCTGTTTGGGAAATTTTCATTATGCAAGCTTACAGTTGGAAGCTGTGCCACTTTTATTACCTAGGATAAAGAAGTTTCCTGAAGCTAGACATTAATAATTTCAGTATTACCTGCAAAATGACAGGTGCGGAGGGGTAGAGGGGGGTCAGTATATTCTGAAGAATAGCTTTAAAGATTCGCTATAAATCATTCTATCGAGTTCTATGCAGCCGAGTATAACATTACCTCCGGCTGAAGTAGTTCTCCTTTGAGTAATTCTGCTGTGTTTCAATTTAAAACCTTTCTCATCCTGGCATTCCTTTACTCATAGTTCAACACATATAATGAAAAGATGGAATTGATAAAAACCTCATTTGGCAAATGTTCCATTATATATCCTCCAGAGTGGGGCAGAGGGCCCCCTCTTAAAAGAAATATAATGATTTTAGATAAACCAAGATACATCGATGCAGCCAAGTAGTGCGCTTAAATTCAGACTCATTGTGCAATAGTAGCCCAATATTCGGACTATATATACATAGGTAGCTCTCATTTCTTGTTCTACGCCTTCTTCAAATACCGACTCACCCTACATCTCCTATGGCGTGTATGACCTTATGTTCAATGTGTCTTCCCTTCTAGTAGGTTTCTGCACTTCTTTCAACTACAAATAAGGGCGTGTGGTCTAGTGGTATGATTCTCGCTTTGGGTGAAACTCGCAAGCAATTGCGGGATTTATACAAGCATGCGAGAGGCCCTGGGTTCAATTCCCAGCTCGCCCCCATTTTTTGCAACTTTTTATTTTTTTCAGTCTATCACTAGACGGTTCCGTTGCATCCTGCTACGGTAGACAAGTTCCACCTTGCATTTATACTTTAGCCAGGTTTAGATCGTTTAGCATTTGATAAGGCACAGTTGATGTGCTAGAAATATGTTAGGCTCACTCGACCTGCCAAGATATTCATCGACCTATTTTCTCAGCATATGCCTGTGCCCCAATTAACCTTGTACTTCTACCTTCTACCTCACGATTTTTGTGCGACTTTTCCACATTTCAGTGATGCAAAAGGGGGGAGTACAGGGAAGCTGTGGGAAATTTTGTAATGATCAACAAAATCGGTGAGCCCGAAATTTGTACAATTTAAGGAAAAAAAAAAAGACCGGAAAAAGGCGAAGTAACCCAATTTTTCAACAGATAAAAGCTAAGTAGGTATATTAGAAATAAAATCTGGTCAGGTTAATATATAATTGATCGATTTTATTTATTTATTGTCAGAATTGAAAGAAGAAAAGCAAAAATTAGAATAGATAGATAATAATGGGAATCAACAATCCAATCCCCAGAAGTTTGAGAAGCGAGTCAAAGTATGTATAAGTTATTTTATGGTGAAATGGAAACTTGAATACCTGCTTAGTTGGTGGCGAAAAGCATCAAATTAATTCACAGACTAAGGAACGAGTTGGACAGGTATTTTCGCATAAAGGATTGAAAATGAAGGAATGCAGTGAATTGTGGTACTAACTATCTACAGGAAGGCGGCTAAGGTGTTATCTTCGTTCATCAAGCCTAACCAAGTTATCGGCCCAAACGAAATTATCCCACCACATGTTCTTAAGAATGCCAAGGGTCTTGCCGTAATCACAGTTTTGAAAGCTGGTTTCTTATTCTCTGGTAGAGCAGGTTCTGGTATCATTGTAGCAAGGTTACCTGATGGTTCGTGGTCCCCACCTTCTGCCATTATGACGGCAGGTGCTGGTGTAGGGGGGCAAATTGGAGCAGAATTGACTGATTTTGTCTTCATCTTAAATTCTAAGTCGGCTGTGGATTCCTTTGCTCAATTGGGTTCCGTCACCTTGGGTACCAATGTGTCCGTGGCTGCTGGTCCCTTGGGAAGAAATGCCGAAGCAGCTGCCACCGCGTCGTTGAAAGCTGCTTCTGCGGTATTTGCGTACTCCAAAACTAAGGGTTTGTTTGCAGGTGTATCTTTGGAAGGTTCTGCCATCTTGGAAAGAAGAGACGCTAACAGAAAATTTTATGGTTCCAACTGCAAAGCTCGTACTATCTTGTCTGGAAGCGTTGAAACCCCACCAGCATGTGAGCCCTTAATGAGAGTTTTGGAAAGCAGAGTGTTTAACAATAGATTCCCAGGTGATGATGAAATATATGGAGATGATTACTATGACGATATCCCAGACGATTTCTCGGATTCGACTTCCAACTCCTCAAGAAGAGCCAATACTAGATCATCCAGATCTAGAAGACACTCCGACGATTATTCGGATGACGATTACTCGGATGAAGATGATAATTACAGAACATCATCCACTAGGCGAACTTCTCATTACACAAATAGTCCAGCAAAGAAATCCACTTGGGAGGATGACATCTATGATAAGAACAGCAGTAATAGTGGAGTAAACAATGTAACGAGTAGACTTGGGAACACAAGAATATCCAATGGTCCCTCTAGACCTTCGACTTCCTCAAAGCCAAACTTTGGAAGTGCTCCTAAGAATAACTCCAGTCAAGCTATTGCATTGTATACTTTCAAGGGAGAGCAAGGTGGTGATTTACCTTTCAAAAAGGGAGATGTCATCGATATTATTAAGAAGTCAGAGACTGCTGACGATTGGTGGACTGGAAGATGCAATGGTTCCTCTGGTATTTTCCCAGCGAACTATGTTGAGTTGATTTAAGATATTGCAAGAAAGATGCTGAAAATTCCTTTATTAAAAAGTTTATGTATGACTATATTTTTTTTTTGGTTTTTTTTTTTTGGATCAATTAGCACTAGAGTTAGTGGCTTTATTAGTGATCTCTATTAGTTTAGTACCGATAAATGTCGTTTAGGTTTCCTACCCAATTCTTATTCCTTTTAATATCATATTCTCTTCGTTTTTACATTTGAAGTAGCTTAGCTCGTTTTGAAGACTTCATTCACAAAATGCTTTATTACGGTCTTTCCTTCAGCGTATGATTCATCCTCAATTTTAACAATTGCAGCTGCATGTGTAGACTTTGTGTTCCTGATCAAGACTGGAAACTTGGCCCAGTCAAGGGAATTCAAATTCTCCACAATTAATTTTTGGGAGTCTGATAATGCTAATTCGGCACTAGTGTTTTCAATTTCAATAATTATCTTGTCAGAGTTACTGCTTGACTTAACACTGTACTGAAAATCTTTATATTTTTCACTATTCATAGCATCAAAAACTGACTGAATGAGGCCATCAGTCTGGTCACTCAATTTTGTTGTGAAAGGAGTTGAAAACAGCTCCATGGATTGAGCTGAAGTGATTGATCTAGTCTCCTCGTCATCTTCAGCTTCAGAGTCTTGAGAGTCTTCATCAATCTCTGATTTATCCTTTTCTTTTTCAGCTTTATACTCGATGTCGTTGTCTTCGACCAAAATGCTGTCATTTGCAAACGCTACAGCCTCGTCTCCGACCAATGTATATAAATGAAGTAAATTGTTAGAAGCATCTAAAAAGAAAGAATTCACTCTTCTGTTTAATTTGACTCTTTCGAAACCAGATTTCATTATGAAGTAGCAACCCCAAAGTGGAGTATAAATTACCAATGTACAAATGAATCTTATCCAGTTGAATTTTCTTTCAAAGAAATTCTTCAACCAATTAATTTCCACACCTGGCTCATCTACTGTCGGCTTCACCCTGGAAATGACAATAGGCTTGTCCAAATCAATGACTGTTGGCTCATACCCAGGTATATAGTCCAAGTTGTAAATGCTGCTGTCCTCATTCAGCATAGACTTGAACGGATCCATGATAGAAATAGCAGACGTAAACCAACAAGTTCTCTTATCGTTGACAATATTGGCATATAATGATCTATACTTGAAATTCGAAAGCGCTTTGAAGAAAAACGATTGAGGTTCTGCCATCCACACTAAAAGTGGTAATCCATCCTTGTTATCGTGAGCATCCATTTTCTTATCCAGTAAGAACATCTGCGAGCCAGAATGGGCCAAGAAGTATGGAACAAACAAGTTAAACAACTTTGTCGTAATCCCTTTCCCTGGAGTTAATACGCCTACGTGAGGTGAGCAAAACGTAATGAAGTTTATAGGTTCAATGTCATCGAAGAACCCTTGGAAATATAACACACCAATTGCGTACCTGGCAATTAACCCTCCAAGTGAATAACCTACAACCGAAAACTTGGTGACTTTATCCTTAGTGTCAGCATTGGTCAAGTTGTCGTACTGTTGCATGATTTCATCTGCAACCCTCTTTCCATTCACGTCAATACCGTCGTACGTCAAGAACCCAGAATGGGAACCCGTTTTAAGGACAATTACCTCCTCGTCCGGATCACTAGCAACGATGTGTTCCTCAATCTGCTTCTGGATATAGTCCATATTTGAGAAGTGACCCCATAATCTGCATATATGTTAGTAAGAGCGGGAGTGAACCACGGCAACACAATAAAATAAAATTCCCAAATCAGATCAACCACCAAAAAAGTGTGATGCGATCATCACTGAGAAATCTCTCAACGGACACTAATATTACATACCCATGAACTAAAATAACTAGATGGTAGGAAACCATAACAAACGAATTATTTATTAATTATATCTAAGGAAGCTCTAATTAAAAAGTAATCGATTACTTGGCTAATTGCAAATCAATCAAAGAAGAAAAATCAAGAAGCGCTATTACAATTGCTGAACCTGCTTTTATATCAAGAAAAGGGGTTTTGGGTAGTTTCTCCTTGCAATCAAAATTTGCTTTAAACTTTTGGGTTTTAAATTCCGAGAATGGCAGATGAAAATGTTATCGCCAACCATTTACGCGACACTAGACTACCAACATTTTGGATAGTAACCACCAACGAGTGGTCATGTGAAAGCAATGAAAAAAAAAGATATTGCCTGATATTACCACACCTACATACAATGCGGTATGTTTGAGAGGTCGCCCAGGATCATGAAATTCCTAGCCGTTAGGAATAATTGCTGAACATTGTCATCATGTTCCTTCAACTATGGTCCTTGAAAATACATGTTAAGATATAAATATGTTTATTCTTCTCTATGTACAAGGAGTCCCCTATTGAATGTCTTTATATATACTCACGCAGTTTTCTATTTATTTGTTTTGTTTGTTTGTCTGTCTGTTTATTCGTTGATATGAAATGGGACTGTCTTATCTCCCGTTCACGCACTTCTCTATCAACAAGGCTGCTGCGACGCTGGCATTCAACGAATCAACTATACCTGCACCTCCTTCGCGGTTGTCCTTGATCCCAACAACATAGTCTGATCTCTTCATGATATTTGTTCTAACTCCCAAGCCTTCACTGCCCATCACCAACAAGACTGGTGCCCTAGAGCACATACTATGTAAGTCCTCAGGAGTGATAATCTTCTCGTCGGTAACTTCATTCTTAGCCATTGCCGCTTCGGACATATTCCCAGTAGTGGAAATGACTACCCATCCGTTCTTACGACTCTTTTCAAGAAAATGCAAACTTTCACTTGTCTTGAAAATATTGGAGATTTCAAGGGCACCGGCAGACGACTTGGAAGAAACAGGTCCCAACTTAGCACTCTCGGAATCTGGAACAACTACAAAGTCAAGTCCAAGGAAATATCCACTTCGGATAATAGCTCCAACATTTCTTGGATCCATCAAGCCATCGAGGTAGAGTCCTAATGGATAACGAGGTGGAGCGCTTTGCTCTTCTGCGTCTGGCTCCATTCTTCTCGCAACTTCTCTCTCCTGTGTCTCAATAGTGTTGTACAACTCGTTCTGAATGGCCAACTGGTATGTACCATTTACAGAATCATGTGGACCCAAGGCCGTAGTCATAGGTATTTCCAAAGGTCTAGTCTCTAATACGATACCATTATGGACACCAAACCCAGATAAATTATTCAATACGTCTCTGGGGACATCATCTTCCACTCTCAAGTTGAACTGCTTGGTGAGGTTTCTAATGAGAGGGTTAATGATCTTGAAGTTCAGGACGTATAAAGTTCTGAACAGCTGTCTTTTATTGGCTACTAGGGCCCCCAATACTGCGTGGGTTCCATATACATACTCACTAAGAGGATTTTTTGGTATTTTCAACCTTTCTGTATACTGCCTCTCTCTGGTGTAATTAGTACTCCGTTCAGAGTTTTCCTGTTGTCGTCTGTTCTCACGATGGCGTCTCTGCCTTTCTACTTTTTTATCGAGCGCCTCTCTCTGCTTATCATTTATGAAACTATACTTCTTACGGAAGAATTCATCCTTGGAAATGTTTTGTTCATCCCATATCTTCACTGGCTTCTTTTCGTAAGATGGGAATGACTTCTCGAACTTGGTCCCCTTTCCTGCACTATTTTGCTGACGATGGTGTAACTTAACCGAGCTTTTTATTTCATTCTGCAACGTTCTAATGGAATTAGAAAGCTGCCTTCTGCTGAAATAACTCATCTGGCCTATTAGCAGTATTACTCTAACAAATCAAACAAGCAACTAAGGTCAGCTGTAAACCTTTATGCTCTAGAGATGAGTATAATATGCATCCTGCATATACTCGTATGTAACTTGGCCAGGAAAGTGAAAAATTTCGGTTTATATGCATGAATTAAAAATCACTATGTACTGTATGCTCCTATACACTTCTACTTAAGTTATCCATCTAAAATAAAACTCCCTTGGTAGATGGTATATCGTCTGTACCGTTACTTGAAATGGCTTCCTTGATTGCAACAGCCAACGCCTTGAACGCACTTTCAGCTCTGTGGTGATCATTGAATCCTCGCAAACAGTCCACATGGAGCGTAATTGCAGCACCTTGAGCAAAACTTTCAATGACATGTGGGATCATTTCACATGAAAGATCACCAATTTTCTCTCTCTTTAAACCTAATTCTACTACGGCGTATGGTCTATTGGATAAATCGACTACAGCTCTACTTAATGCCTCGTCTAATGGTGCGAACCCGGCACCGAATCTCTTCACACCCTTGACTTGACCCAAAGCTTTGTGGAAGGCCAACCCAAGTGATATTCCAACATCTTCTGCGGTATGGTGATCATCAATATGTAAATCACCGATGCATTCCACTATTAAAGACCAGCCCGAATGCTTGGCCAAGGCATGCAACATGTGGTCCAAAAACCCGATACCGGTGTGAATTTCAATTCTCTGCGAGCTCGTGGCCTGGCTGGCATGGTTTTCTTCCTCCTTATCAGTGTCTTTTTTCAAGATGGACTTTTCTACTTCAATGTGCCCACCGTCCAACGAGATAGCTATCTGGATCTTGGTTTCGTTTGTGTCTCTCTGAATAGTTGCGGAGCGCATGTTTGTTGAAGTTCCAAAAAAAGTTGATTAAGAATAGATGGAAGACCTGGGAGAAAAAAAAAGACCCTAAAGCAAACTTGGAAAAAGAAAAACTCGAGATATCTTGTTGCCTGTTGTGCTCCCTGCGTTCTCTGCGTTTCCACTCTTCTCCATACAGTCTAATTGCAGATGACTCAAGTGCGGCCTGCATGTAGCCAATCGAATAACAGCGAGCGAAATGGTAATGCCTGGAAAATGACACAAAGCAGCGTTATCTCAAGCCAGTAATACAGTATACATGTGGCATATAGAGAGAAATATTGAGCTCAGTCGAACCAAATATATTGCATTGGACACTCTCTACGTTCTTGGTACCTTCTCCGCCGACTTCTTTTCTGAACTCTTGAATTCGCTGCCCATACTTGACTCTTTTCCTCTGTTTTCACTCTGTTCACTCTGCCCACTCTTAGCTATCTCCGTCTTCCAGGCGGAGAAAAATAAGTCCAATTTCGCTTGTCTATATGCACTCCTGATCCGAACCGAATATTAAAAAAAATAATTTTACCGAATCAACAGCAGGCCTGGAGAGGAACTTCAGTCACAATCACACGCCCCGGTTAGCTGTTCTGATATATTAGATAAGAAGTTCAGAATCGTGCTAGCAGATCGGCGGAAGATCCAGAATTAAAGTTTTATATTCGCCGTGATGAATTCGTCGACCTCTTTGTTCAAAAGAACTGAGGTAATTGGGAGGGGGAAATTCGGTGTCGTGTATAAAGGTTACAACAAGCAAACCAAGCAAGTTGTTGCCATCAAGGTGTTGAATTTGGACACACAGGACGAGGAGGTTGCCGATGTACAGCAAGAGATCCAATTTTTGACTGAATTGAAGAATGTTCCTAACGTTACCCACTACTATGGGTCTTTCTTGAATGACACCAAGCTATGGATTATCATGGACTACTGTGCTGGGGGGTCCATTCGAACCTTGTTGAAGTCGGGAATCTTTGAAGAGAGGTACATTGGTGTTATAGTGAGAGAGTTGCTTGTTGCGCTCCAGTCTGTGCACAAGTTGGGTGTAATCCACAGAGATTTGAAGGCTGCCAATGTACTTATTTCCAAGGAAGGGAACGTACAATTGTGTGATTTTGGGGTGGCGGCGAAGATAACGTCGTCTGCCTTCAAGAGAACTACAATGGCCGGGACGCCATACTGGATGGCGCCAGAAGTTATCCGTGAGGGTGATGGATACAACGTAAAGGCTGATATATGGTCGTTGGGAATCACTGTGTATGAAATAACTACGGGGAATCCACCTTATTCCGACAAAGATGCTATGTGGGCAATGCAGATGATCTCCAAGCTGACGCCTCCACGACTTGAGGGAAGAGAGTACTCTGTGGCACTTAAGGAAGTGATTGCCCTCTGTTTGGATGAAAACCCTGACGAAAGACCTCTGGCTGAGGAATTGGCGAGGTGCAAATTAGTCAAACAGTATAAGAATCTTCCCACCAACATCTTGAAGGAATTAGTCACCAAGTACTTACTTTGGCGAGATCAGACTCCTTCTCATAGGGGTTCCATTGCGATAATGAACCTTGACGAAGAGGCGAAAAAGAATGCGTTGGAGAGGAACAACAACCCCCATCATCCAAATATTACCGGTAGACTGAGCTCTAATGACGACCTTGAGGAGGACGAGACTAATATCCAAATTAAGTGGGACTTCGACTCTTTGAGTTCCAAAGAATACATTATTGAAAATGATATTGACTTGGAGAATGTAGATGAAGGCTACAACTTATCATATCTTGATGATGAACCACCTTCTGCGACCACTGAGACTTTCGGGCCAGGCTTTGGCACTGCCACAGCTGAGCATACGCTCAATGCAAACTACCGCCCTACTATAAATGGAGCCACTGGTAATGGGGTTGCAGGACTTAGAACAAACTCGCACACCATGGGCGCGAGTACCATTGTTCCTCCACCTATTACCTCATCCCAACCTTCGACATTTCAAAATAATGGAAACCATGCTGCTGCTGCTGGTAATAACGACATCCCCAAATCATTACAATCTCTTTTCGAGGAAGAGGCTGGAGACGAAGGTTCAGGTTTAAACAATGACTTGGCCAATAATTCCTCCATTCAACCCCCTCCAGGAATTGACTTGTCAAACAATGATAGAGTTGATTCTCCAACTATAGAGATTCCTGATATGGACAACTTAGCTACGTATTCAGCAACCAAGTCAAGCAGCACAACCTTCAGCACCGTTTCCAATCCCAACCCTAATAATATTAATCCTAGCACAAACGGTACAAGTAGTATCAATAACAATAATAGACCTGCATTAAATAAACCACCAGTTTTATATCATACACAATCTGCATCTGGAAACTTGGAAACAAGATTTTCCTCCAATACTGGGTCTGGTAACACCAGTAGCAATGGAAGTAACGGAACCGCCAACTATAGCGGCAATGGGGTCACACGCACAAGAAAGAAAACCATATCCAATAGTGCCAACTCCGTTAATTCTACCACCTTCTCTGCATCACCTTCCACACTTTCCCACCCTACTTCCACGACAATATCTACTCAAGATCAACAGCCTCATATTCGTAGCACTCCACCTTATGCGTCTAATGGAGTACTGGAAACACCATCACCAAAGCCCATTCCAAATACTGGTCTAATTGCTCAACTAGCAAACAGCACAACCTCACCTTCCAAGTCAATGAAAGCTTTGAATTATTCCACTAATCCATTATTGCAGCCTATTAATTTTAAAGCTCAGTCTGAGCTGGTACAACTGCTGGTAGCCAATGGAGGTAGCATTAGTGAAAATGAAGAACACGCTGCAGCATCTGCGTTGCCTCCGCCGCCGCAACCACCATCTATGGCTGCCAAGCCCAAGAGAGCTAGGCCTGGTCTTCATATTCAAATGCCGACACCTTCCAGCACTATTAGTAGCTTGTCAGCGCTCACCAATAATGAGTTCGAACACAATAGTAACCATGACTCCAACGTGAATCAGTTTGGAATTAACCCGCATCAAATCAGCTCCGCTCCAATGGCGATGACTCCAGTTGCTGAGATAGATGCCAACCTACTGTTCAATTCTGAAAACTCAGAGACTTTTGATTCAGCTACTGCTACATCCCTGGCGAATGCTGGGAACACCAGAGAGAGGTCAGACACAAGTGGCAGTCAGAGGGCACCATTTGGATCGGAGCAACAACAGCCACCTAAAAAGTTAGGAAGCATTAGTGCGCCCGGTGGTGGCTCACTTCAGCTTCCAACTAGATCAACATCCATAAGCTCCAGTCCTGTTAATTTTCCAGCTCCGAAGTTCCCCATGATTTCTCCGATCAATGCGGAGTTTTTCATGGATAGTACACCCAAGCATAAGTTAGTGACTGAATTAGATACAATGCTAAAATCGTTCTCGCAAGCGCTAGATGCATTGGAGTATAATTTATAGATAGATAGACGACTAACAAATTGTTTTTCGTCCAATTTTTTTGGTTTCTTTTTTTTTTCACTACAAATACACCTCCGTTTATAGTATTTCTACAGCAATCTTAAAGCTGTTCTATGTATTTACACTGTGTAGTACTGCTTCCACTCCCCGATCAACTCGTTCTTGCATATTTGTTGCAGTTCCTGCATATACCCGAGAAACCTTTGTGCTTGTGCTCTTTATTTATTTTTCAGTATTGCTTCACGGTGACAACTTCAGCACTAAAGACCAGTACAGCACAGCATGCCGCCTCGTATTAGAAGGAGGATTACGGAAGCCAAGAGGGAAGAGATAGAGCAGGAAGAGAAGGCACTTTCAAGGGCTATTGTGCGTCCCTTCGAGACGATTTCAAACATGCCAGTCTCATTCAGCGCTCCTCCCACTGGACACTTTGAAGAAGTGTTCAAGAACCCATTGACAATTAAAGATAGCGGTGTATTTTACAGATCTTTGATGAAATCTCGTGAAAACTACTTGCAGGTGGCCCCGATGTTTAAGTTATGGTGGATGAAGCTATCAGCACACGCAAGAAAGCTTCAAATGCAACAGAACAATCATGTAGAGGGATCAAACACTGTCACTCTTTCTACCAGCTCCGGTGACTTCGAAAGGGTACCTGTATTGGGTACTGATGTAAGTGCCAGAGATGTGATGGTGAAGCTATGCGACGCAACTATGAATATCGGACCTCATACTTTCGAAATACGCTTGTTTATTGCTAAGGACGAGAGGTCAGACAAAGAGAAAGAGAAAGAGAGAGAGTTAGCCAAGGCTAAAGAAAAGGAGGAAAAGGCCAAGGAAAAGGAAGAAAGGGAAAGAAAAGCGAAGGAAGCAAGAGAAGCTAAAGCCAGAGAAAGAGAGAGAGAAAGAGAAAGAATACAAGAGCAGAAGTTGAGGAAACAACAACTTCAAACTCAAGTGCCTGTGAATGGAGCGATCCCACTTGGAGCACCTACTAGCAAAGTAAATAAGAAGTTAGGTGCTCCCATTTCCGGTATTAGATCTCCAACAGTGATACCTGGTGCGCCTGGTGCTCCTGGAGCTCTTGGTGCTCCTGCTTCCCCTGGATTTGGTACTGCTTTGCCAAGAATGGCCACAGGCACAGCTCTGCCAGCTCCAGCTCCAGCTCCAGCTCAGGCAGCTCCTATTCACCACCCTGCACCAGTCACATCTACAATCCCTGCACCAAATCAGATTCCATCCACCAATCCAGCACCTGTTGCGTCTTCTTTATCATCTCAGTCACAAGGAACATCGTTTGTTTCGCCTTCTCCTGCTGCCACTGCCAGTCCAGGTGCCAATCATATAGCTCCACCAACATTGCCCACAGCACAGACTAGTGATCCTCAAACCAATTCTACTGCTGCTCCCCCAACCACAAGTAAAGGTGCGATAGATTTGCGCAAGGAAGGAAGTGCTGTACCTAGTGGCAGTGATAGTACTAAGGAGTCCACCGCTGTGGTAAGTAATCCACCAAAGCAAACGTCTGACGGAACTAAAGAAAGTACTAATGACATCTCAACTGCAAAAGTCGATGGAAAGCCACCAAGTATAGATAATAAGGTCTCACTGACAATTAATGTTGCTGAAGTAAAACCAAATTCTACAAAGCCTTTGCCAGAATCAGGGACTCAATTTCCATCACCTAACCAGCACATAAACGAGTCTGTCACAACAGCTAGTCCTGTCTCAGCTGCTCCTGTTTCTACTACCAATACTGCTAATACTGCTCCAGGAGGCGCTGCAGGCACCGCTCCTGGAATATCTGGACCAGAAGTTGCACCCGTTAGTAACTCTGTAAGCACTTCTGTTCAAGGCAGCTCACCAAACAATTTTTCTAATCCAGCTCCAACAATTCTGGGTCCTCCTGGTGCTACTGGTGCAACTGGTCCTCCTGGTCCTCCTGGTCCTACTGGTCCTGTTGGTACTGCTGGTCCTGCTGATCCTGCTGGTCCTCCTGGTCCTCCTGGTCCTCCTGGTCCTACTGGTCCTACTGGTCCTACTGGTGCTACTGTTCCTCCTGGTCCTAGTTCTTCGCTTAACAATGGCGTTCCTGGTCCAGGTCAGGCACCTGCAGCTGGAAATCTAGCTACAGCACATCCCCCTCCACCTCCTCCTAGGAATGACCCCAATAACATGCAATCAGTGGAAAATACAATTATGATTGCAAATTTAAATGCTATTGCTCGAGTAGATCATTCTCTTAATACCTTAATGAAAATAGTTGCCCTGGGAGGCGCTACTCCACAGCAAATCATGCGTTTTCAAGGATATATACAAAGAGCAAGAGAAATGGGACCACAGCCACATCACGTTCACTTGCTTAATCGCCCACCAATGCAACAGGCTAAGCAGGCTACACCAAAAAAATCTGTAGTCCCTAAACCTCCACCTGTGAAGAAGCCACCTAAAGAAAAGAAAGTTGCTGTCAAGAAAGCGCCAGCTCCTTCCAAAGAGATGAAGTTAACTGCATTCCAAGAAAGATATCTCACTGATGCCACCATTTTATTCGAATTTGTCGAAAATCCAAATGTTAGATTTTCTCTTCCAAGAGAAGTAATTTGTGAAATAATAAGTGAAATAAAGCCTCCAGTTAACGAGGAGGATGAGCAACCAACTGACGTTCTTCTGAGTTATTTATGGATTCATAATCTGGCTGAGTATGAAGAATACGAAGGTAAATTGGCTCATTATGAAAAACTAGTCAAGGAAAGGGAGGAAGCTGAGGCTAAAAAACTAAGAGAGGAGGAAGAAGCAAAGAAAAAGGCTCAAGAAGAGGAGCAAGCGAAGAAACAAGCAGAGGAAGAGGAAGCTGCGAAATCACAAGGTGCAGAAGAAGGTGAAGTGAAAAAGACGGCAGCTCAAGAGGTAAAACTAGAAGAGCCAAAACGAAACTTAAGACTTAGTAGAAGCGCTAGAAGGCGTCCTGCACCACCACCTCCTCCTCCAAAAAAGGCAGCCAAGCCTAAAAAAGAAAAGGAATTGATTCCACCCACCGAGCCAGAAGTGAAGTTCACCGCATTAAGTTATACTATTCGTGGCATTCCTGCTCGATTTGTTCCAATTGTTACCAATAGCGCCAAAAATTTGGAGCAAGTGCAAAAGAGGATGTCAAGAATCATAGAGAATGGTACTCGTATGCCAAACTATTACTTATGGTATCAAGTTGATGGAAAATTAGACGAAAACTTAGCCGAGGAACTTAGAGTTGAATTGAACCAGGAGGAAAAGAAGATGCCTGGGGTTGCTTATACCTCTAGTACAGCCATCAATGAAGCTAATGAGAAAAAGAGGAAGATGAAGGAGGAAAAAGAAGAAAAGTTGAGGCTCAAGAAATTGAAAAAGCTAGAAGCTTTGAAAGAGAAGAGCAAGTCTGGATCTCCGGCTCCTCCTTCTGGTCAACAATCGTCTGGAAATGATGTTGGCACTGCCGGTACACATCCAGCAGCTGCCAAGCCGGCTGAATCTGAAATGAAAGTGGAGCCTAGTCAAACATCTAATCACGAAGGTAATGGTTCCCAAACACCTGTCACGGAAAGCGATCCGGCTAATCCAGCTAGCCTGGATATCGCCACAACTGAACCACTGACACGGTCAGAAGAACAGCTGACTCAGCCAAAAACGAACACTTCGTCTCCAAAGCGTTCTGCGGAGCCTGAATCCAATTCGTTAGCCAATGGTGAACCTTCAGAAAAGAAAATCAAGATAGAAGAACCTGAACCTTCATCTGAAGTAGAATCTACTCCTGTCAATAGCACTATAACGCAAGGATTGTAGTTTATAATATATATTATTTATTCTTCTGTTATTATTATATACATGTAAATAGATAGGTTCTCTATTAGCTTAATGGCTGATCAAGTTCATCAAGTTCTGCAAGGCAGTGTTGTTCTTTCCGTTTCTTTGGGCAGCGCTGCCAAAGTTCGGATATTGTGGTTGGTAGTTTGATCTATCGATGGATGGTTCGTCAGACTCGGTCTCCTGCAACCAGGAACCTACCTTGACACCGTCAGCATTCAAGCTAATACGACCTTCAGGTGTTAACTCAGCTTCAGTTATCTTGAATGGCATAACGAATTGACGTGTGTGCTTACCAGGGTAGTTCTTGGCATAGTTGTGTTGTAAAGTGGCAGTACGTTCGTTCAATCTAGCAACAAAACCTCCCACGGCAACTCCTCTATCGCTGACTATTCTACCTGGAGCAACAGATCCATACTTGATTCCGTTTGGTGTGTTGTTGAATCTTCCCTTCAATGCATACGAGAATCCAGCGTTACCTTGTATCTGCACGGATGGTGCGTTGTTGGATAATTTACCGTGCTTCTTGGTGAAATCAGCAACACTTGGCTTATACTTGACAATGACATCATTAGGAGCAGTTTTCAAGTACTCTCTCAAGTTCTTCAAGAGGACCAGCTGGTTACTTGACGAGATCAAATCATGAGGCTTGTTCTTCAAGAGCCACTGTTGGAAGCCCTTGAAAAGCTTCGGGTTTCTCTGCATCATCTTCTTACAGTCTTTGACACTGGCATGGCTGCTAAGATAAAAGAGCGCGGGCAAGTCTTCAGTATCAGATTTAGCCTGAACTGATTTAGTGGAGCCAGAGGGGAACAAGAGGTTCGATTCACTGAAGAAATTCTTCACCACTGCTCCAGTCTCTTGGAACTTCAATCTGTTGTACATGGACCCAGAATATTTCTCTACATCAGGCATATTCTTCTTGTTATCGATGTCGTTAAAGATAATGTGAGAACTCCCGATTTGCTTGGGTAAATAACTCTTCATACCGAAGTTAGATCTAATGGCTGAAGATTTGGGCGTGTATATGATTTGGTGGGTTGGGAGAGCACTTTGGTCCCTCATAGTCTTCCTCAAAGGATTGGCCACTTGGGCCAATTTCGAGTTCTTGAACAACCTGTAGAACTCCTGGTTATTTATCGTCATGCCTTTGGTAAACAAACGAGAAAGGACGTCTTCCACTGGTCTCTGTTCTACTGCACTTTGTGGTGGGACTGAAAAATTCTAGAAACCATGCCAAAAAAAAAATGAAAATTACACAAAGTTGGGTTTGGTTACCCGGAACTGACCGTAAGTGCAACCATGCCAAAGTGGTTTAATGGGTACTGAAGGTAGAGAGATGAGAGGTATTATGAAGTCAATTTCGCTGAAAGCTCCTCTTCGCTTGGTTAGTGCTGATTTCTGACTGGGCTACAATTCTCTGGATGTGTTAGTTATGACTGTGTATTTCATGTGTGTGTAAGTTGTACATTACTTCAATTCGTTTCTCTGCGTTGAGTGAAACAATTAACGTAGTTTTGGCTGCGAAAAAGTTCTCAGCATGCATAGGATAAGCTTACGCTATGGGCTATGGATTGTGTGTAGTTAGGCTATTTGGTACGTTTTTCGGTCGATCAGCACGCGTAGGATAAACTTAATCCGAATTTACCTATTTCCGGTGCCAACGTTTGGCTGTTTAGGCTCAATTGGACTCCTGTGCTGGCCAAAAAGTCTTTAAATCTACCTTCCCAGAGCACTTTGAGCATTCTATCGTTCATGCTGGTGGATATTTTCAAAACACTTGCAAAATCACTCTCGTTGACAAGATTTTGGAAGGCAGTCATGACGCTCGCATTGTACGAGTCCATTGGCAAGCTACTGTCTGAAAGCTGGTCGTGCTCGTGCCTGCTGGGAAGCAATGTAGGGTTTATGTGATAGTAATTGTCTAGGTTCTGAATTGGGTTCACAATGGGCATCTTATCCTTGTATGGATCAAACGTGAGGGGGTCGATTTGAGTATGCTGGCCCATTTCTTGTCCTTTTGCAGCTGACGAAGTCTGTTTTCTACTGCTTTTACGTTTGTTATTTTCGGTATTAGTAGCTGGTTCTATTGTGGGGTTCTTCCCATTGTCAGTGTGAATTCCCCATATGTCGTCCGCAAACTTATGCTTCTTATGCTCACTAGAGTAGTTGTATAGCTCAAACCCTAATGAGAGGTTGCTTGCATACGAAAACCAGTTAAAATCATATTTGGAGCTGAACGTAGATGAAACACTGGTCTTTACCGTGTAAGTGGAAGATATATGGCCCAATATGGGGTTACATGCTAATGTCATGGTCAACGGTTTACCTGTAGAAGTTGACCTGGTAGAATACCTAAAGGCGGTGGAGAGGCCAGGACTTGTGCTTAGCGCTGCATACCAAACCTCAGTCCCTATAGACATAACCGAATTATCGAACTTCGGTATCAATTGGGACCCTGACCCACCGCTGGTGCTGCCACCATTCAAATTGTATAAGCAGCGAAACCCGAAGAGCGCTTCATTGGTCGAATATATAAATTCTCGCAGATACTTCGGCGTGTTTTTTTGTAAGTAAACGATCATTGTCCCGTTCTTGTTGAGCTGAGGGTTGCTGATGCATTTCAAGAGCAACTGGGTCTGCGAGGAGAGTCTCTTGATGACCATGGCCTCGAGAGCAGATCCAGGGAAATACATTCTCCCGTAAAGCATTGAATTTCGATCGTTTCCACCCTTTGGAGGGTTGTAGCTAAGCGAATCCTTCGGCTCAATGATTCGAAAGCCTGAGATGGCATCTTGGAGTGAAACGTCCTTCGTCCCCATCGTGTTTTTCAATGCCAATGACGAGTATAAATATGCAATTGACCCATTTATCGAGTGGTGGTTGGTTAATGTGAAGCTGGATGCCAGGTGCTCCGTGGATTTTGACGAAATGTCCAACTTCATCCCGTTGGGAATGTTAAACTCTAGGAGCGACTGGGAAGTCGCCGTTATGTTTGAGAAGATGTTGTCCTCATTCCATCCTGTGGTATTGTAAAAGCATTTTTGAAGGTATTCCATATAGGTGTACATGCTTAGAGGAAGCCTAGGGTCGATTATCTCTTTAACTGGGCCTGGTCCTGTCTGTCTTTGGATGTCTTATCGTAAGGAAGCATAAATAAACAAACACCAAAAAAAAAAAAATAAAAAGGAAAAAAAAAAAAAAATAAGAAACTCATATCGGTCTGTATGCAGTACGTTTGGAACACTCCATCAGCTGGGCCATACAGTGACGGAGTTTCCTCTTAAACGTTCTTCAATTCATTCAAATTTTCCACTAGCAGGTCAATCTCCGGGAACTGGTCTCGGAATAGGTCGGTCTTCAGTCCAATTGATAATTTGGATGCGCTTGTGTCGTCATCAAAATTCACTTCCTTCTCATCTACAAGGTAGAAAATCAAGAATTCGATAAGCTTGAAATTCAAATCTTGTTGCTGGGATGCCCTCAATTTGATGGTTTCGTTGGACATGGCGGTGTGAAAAGAGAGAGTGGTCAGGTTCGAGATCGGGTTGTCGTCATCGTGCTGTGTAGCAGGGGAGGCAGAACCGTCTGATATTCTCTGGTGCTGCTGCTCGTTCTGCTGTTCGAGTGCCAACAAGTTCAAGTGCTCGATCACCGTTGTGCAACCCCCGCATTTCTCGAACATTCTGAAATTGCCCAAGTTCTTCAATAGGATGTGGACTAGCGTCGAAATGAGGGAAATCGAGAGATTGATCGAAGGGTTGTTGGCTTTCCTGAGCGGCAGCAATATCAAGTTCATGTTTTCCCTTCTGGAAAACAACTTCCTGCTGGCCGGATGCAAAAGAAGAAGGCCCTGGAGCAAAGTGTTAGCCTTGAGGATATGGTTCTCCAGCCCTGGTGACCCTGGGGCAGAGACCTTGTAGACATTGAGTAGCAGGGCCGTCAAATTGTACTGGAAGCTGTCCTGAAGCGCAACGAACGACGATAGCGGAGATTTCTCACTCACACTATTGTCGTTTATGTAGGGTATCAATTCTTTGAGCAATGCTCCCAAGGAGTCGAGCCCGTTCCTATTAGCCTGAGAAAGGCAGCCATTGGAGTCGCTGGAAGCCTCGAGATTTTCGATAACGTGGGTGATTTTGGATTCCATTCTGCCGTGTGCGAATGTGACAGTGTCTGAATACTCTCTTTGGCCTGGAGTTGTGCTGGCAAACGTAGCCCTGACTGCTAACAGCAAACCGTAGCGATGGTGGAGCAGCGCTGAAACAATAACACTGTGCCTGCACATAGCGCATTGCCTGTTTTGGCACATAATGAGGAGCATGCACAGGGTCACGTGCCGCAAGGCTGTATGCCCGAAATCAAAAAAATAAAGAGGTGCCCTGAGTACGAGAGCAGGTACAAGCCAAACGTAACTGGAAAGAGCTGTTTATTCACGACAAGAGTGATATATATAGATAAGAGGCAGGGTATTGAGCGATCCTGTACCAAAATTGAACCACTTTAGTACTGAATAGCCCCAAAACGGAAGTAGATTATTGCATGGCATACACACGTCACTCACATTCGCATAGTTAACAGGACAAGGTAAATCTACTCCGCACCAGAGCATTTCTGCTACACATACGAAACAGCCGGTAACTTTAAGTTGATTTTCATCTGAGATGCTAGAGAACTCGGCGTCTTCCATAGCGCTCGGCTGCACCGTGGCGGTGGGCTCATCGGCTATCCAGTCGTTGGGCATAACCCTCCAGAGGAAGTCTCACTTACTCATAAACCCCCACACCAGCAACTACCATCACCACCAGAGGCATAAAAGAAACATGTGGCTCTTCGGGTTTTTCCTCTTCATTGTAGCCAACATCTTTGGCTCGTTGATCCAGATTACAACGCTTCCGTTGATAATCTTGTCACCATTGCAGAGCATTGGTCTTATATTCAATTCAATTCTAAGCTGTATGATGCTACCCGGTGAAACGTTCACGAGAAAATTGGGGTGGGGTACGGTGATAATATCTATTGGAGCATTTATCATAGCATACCAGGGGACGACGACATCGCCTGCTGGAGACGGGGACGGGAACAGCGGTGGCGGCGGCGGTGCCGACTTCGACCATGTATTGAGGTTGTTGTTGAAGAAATCCTTCTTAACATGGTTCATTTGCACCTTTGTTGGGATCATTATCTTCCTCATTGCAAACTACTTCATCTCAAAGAGGAGAAAGACCTTGAAAGAGATCCAGACCTATGAAACAACATCTCTAAGATCTTCGATCAAAATCCAACGTGCCCTCAATAGATACCAGTTCATCAAGGGAGTAAACTACGGGATCGTGTCGGGGACTCTAACTGCACATACATTCTTGTTTGCTAAGTCCCTCATCGATGTCATCATCCAGGCGATCTTAGAGAAGGGGCTCTCCAACTTGTTCTCCGTGAAAGACTTTACTCCGTACCTTCTATTGATCATCATGTTGTGCATCATTGGCTGCCAGTTGACCGCGTTCAACTTGGGGTTGTCTCAAATTCTGACGGCCATCTTGTATCCGTTGTGCTTCTTGGTGTATAATTTGATGAATTTAATCAATGACTTGACGTTCAATTCGTTAATTACGGACAACAAGATGACCTATGGGCAGTTGGCTTGGATATTATTCGGCTTGGGTGGTGTCTTATTTGGAGTGGTGTTAATCAGCTGGGATGCTGCCTTTGGCGGAAGAGACACCGGAAGTTCCAAGAAACTAAAGATCTTGGAGGGCACTCCAGATGAAATCATAATGCAGCTGAAGTTCCCCTACACCTCTAGCATATGCGACGAAACAACAGAGTTGTTGTTGGACAATGGCTCGGGTTCTGGCAGCGTAGAGACAGTAAAGCCAGCATCAGAAGAAGAAGAAGAAATAGTGGCAGATCTAACGGGAGAATATGGAGACAGTGAAGCACATTCTTTGGGCAACTACAAGCCAGTCAGTACACTTCCAAAGAGAGTTCTATCTTTTGAACAGACACAACTTTTAAACTCGTTAGATTTTTAACTAAGGACATAAATACGTTCAATTTTAAAATGAATACTATATAGAAGATAAATAAACGAAAGTTATACGAACTAAGTACAGTAATATTAAATGGCTCCCCGGTAACCACCTTCTAAGTTCTAGTAAATATGCTTATTGCTTCTCTTTTTTGTTTTTTTTAATTTGGCCCACCTATTTTTCCCCAAACACTGGTAATACTATAGGATTAGCAGTGAAGTACGAGTTTTGCTTGTTTGCTACACCGGCAAAGGCACAATACCATCCACAGGATGCAGATATTATCGCCATGATACCTCCAGCTTGGACACATTTGGCGTTCCCAGTGAAGTTAGCAGCTGCTAAGATGATGAACGTCAAGTCCAAGGTGAAGAACAAGCCGAAGAACGCGAGGGTAGTCTTGAGGGTTAATGTTAACAACATGAAGGTGAAAATTGCCCATCCTACAAGGTAGAATCCAACGGCATTTGACAATTGTTCTGGATAATCGGCATAGGCATCAGCAATACCGAATGCAGGGACGTAGATACAGCCAAAGCCAAACCAGAAAGGCCCATAGCTAGCCAAGGCTGTTCCAGCAAAGCAGTTTCCGATGGCTATTTCCCACACTCCAGCAAGAAATTGAACCACACCTCCATAGAAAAAGGTTAAACTGACAACCACGTTTGGTGTTGATATACCTTTGGCACCAGCATAGTACAATCCCAAGACAAATGTTGTCAAGGCGAAAGATGATAAACCTAACGCAGCAGCGTTGGCAAATTGGTGTTTAGGATACTCTGCGTAACGTTCAGAGACCAAGGTACCACCGAAGGCCTGTTGCAATTCGGACTTTTTATATTTCTTGTTACCCAAGTATACGTGCTCATCGTCATGGGTCACCGACCTGACTGAGTCGACCTCATCGTCTTGTGAAAATGTTGGCTTTGCGTTTGTCATCGAGTTACTGGTTGAAGACATACTTTATACCCACTTGGAATCCTTCGATTAGAAATAACTGCCAGTATATATTACCAGTTGTTAGTGTCAGTACAAACTTGATTGAAGTAAAGGGAACTTCAAATGTTAGTGTAAGAATAATTGCTGCAAAAATGAAACTTCTTAAACAGTTAGCAGTTTCTATATTTGGCAATTATCATTCCCCAGGATTCAACCTGGTATATATAAATGAAAAGGCTTGCACATAACTCCGTTTACTCCTCGATCTGCAACAATACGCTAAGTGGAACTAATTGGTGGCACTTCTACGCAGCTTGCTTATTACCACTACACTGTTAGGGCAGCTCCCCCACAAAATGAGCTGAGGTTTAAACCCCGAGACGCTAAATTTTCGGGGTTTAGTGGCACCTGCGACAAAGCAACATGAACTATAGGGAAGCTTCCACACAGGGGAATGGGGTAATTTCAAGATGTTGGCCCTGTTTAGGGTTTTAGGTACTTGAACTGTGTTGGATTTTTAAAGGAGAATGCCAAACAAAGAAGCAGAGAAGCAGTAAGAATGCAGAGGGTACATTGTTGAGTGTTGAAGACTGAGCTAGTTGCTTGACGGGACCAGCTGCGGGCGGTGATTATGTTCCCAGTGGAAAAAAGGCGCTAAGAAGGCGCTAAGAACGCTACAATATGAGGGTACTACAATATGAGGCCATACAGTTATCTGGGCACAGGCTCACCAGATGCGTATTGCATTCCTTTCCTTGGTTTTGTTGACTGCTTAGCACCTGTTAGGACCTCGCCTGACCGAGTATGCTGCCATACTTTGGAAGCTTTCAGAGATTTCACTAACACCATAACGGTACTAGTGAGAACACTTAAATCCAGAGGGGAACCTTCGCCTGAAGAAAAAAAAAACATTCAATAGTGAAAAAAATCGTAAACGCTGGAGCAAGCATTACATAAGCCTACTATGGCTGTGTGTTAGAGCCAAAGTGGAGATCTGCTCCGGTAACCTTATTGTCCTGGGTGGCCATTGTGGATAAAATGACCACTGCAATGGTGGGTAATTTCTGGGGAAATTAGTGCTGGATAATTTTTCACTTACCAAAAAACACACTCTGAAGCACGCTAAAGCCGAGGTCAACACTCTTTCGCTTTCGTGCACATTTATGTACAGAACTCGGAAATTAAGTGCTAGAATTCCCTTGCTGGGCGGTAAGGAGAAGAAGCGATTATTGAACACTGCTTTCATTACGAGAAGTTTCACGTAGAAGCGGCTGCACATGTATCTTTGAAAGCAGACTGGTCTGGGGCTAACGAACTTTTCACAGTACAGAAATATCGGACCTGCATGTATGACCGAGCCCGATGCCGATGCCTATGCTTATGCCTCTCTTTGATCTTGATAGTAGGAGCTTCTCTTTCTTTTAACCATTAGATAGTACAGCTATTCCCGCATGTCTAAAGTAAATAAGCACCCCGTAGTAACCAGCTATCGGTCCGTTCTGGAATTGGTGACTCTCAAGGACTGGTTCTATAATTTCAGCGAAAGTGCTGACAACAGGGTCCGAGCGATCCAGAGAGTAAAGGCCCTAGTTTCTCGAGGGAGGCTTCCTCATGCAATAGAAGCAACTTCCTTGTTAACTTCGGTGACACTCTCGGACCCTGATTCCAATTCATGTGGAAGTGTGATTAAACAGTCGGACTCAAATATCCTTCAACTTTCATACTCCATGGCTCTAGTAAGATTTGTAAATGGGCTATTGGATCCCTTCCAGCAGTCTAATTTTGCGATACCTCTTCACCAACTAGCTAAAAACTTAAAATTGCCCAGTTTATTTGTAGAATTGAGACATATGGGGACTCATGAGCAGCTCCCCAACCTTGATACCTTGAGGTTGGCTAGCGAAAAGGCGTTGAATTGGCTATTTGATAACTATTGGTTGACTATCGAAGAGATCGAAGGTGATGAAGAAGAAGATGTAGAAACCGTAGAGAATGTAGCCCATGGGGAAAGGGCTTACAATATTAATGAAAGTGCCGCTCACAAAGTTATGGACGAATCCAAACTTTCGGATCAGGATAAAAGCTACATCAACAAGGAATACGCTAAGCTAAACGCCATAGTGACCAAGATTGTCAATGAGATTAAAGTTTTCAAGAAGATTAGGAAACTTGACCTAGATGTAGAGTATAAATTCGGAAACTCGACTGATTTGGGTAAGAAGTACTGGAAAGCAATTAAGAACATCAAGGAAATGAATGAAAAGGAGGGATACCGACTTTACATTATACAGACTTTGATGTACAAGAATTTACTCATATACAATGCAGATAAGATTGATAATAAGAAAAAGATAAAGAAACTAAGTCCGTTATTGATTAAACTATATAACCCATTACTCGAAGAATTGGGGACTAATTTCAAGTTTCTGTTGTTATTCTCAATTCTCTACACGCTTAACCACAACGAGGGTGATTCGCCGGTAGTAGAGCTAAACACCTTAGTAAACTACAAGGTGGGTTTCACGATACATCATGACTATGAAATTGTACAGTTATTGGGATGGGCCAGGTATTTGATGGAAGGTTTGCTATCGGACACTCAAAAGTTTAGGATAACGACTAGCACGGGAACAGTCATCACCCAGCGAATATCGATTGTTGAAAGGTTGCTCAAAGATATCCCAGTTGTGGTTCACACTAGGCGGTTGGAATTACTTCAGACCTTACTTTCATTGTTTAAGAAGAACAACTTTCAAAATAAAGAGCTTGGTGATAGCATAGTTGAGGCAATTGAAAAGATGAAGAAAGAGCTAGTGGTTAAGAATTACGCACCACCGCCCTCCTTGGACGATTTGCTTAATGAAGGTGATACAGTATCAACTATTGATATAGAGCGTGTTATAAAGAGACCAAAACTTGAGCAGAAAGCTTCAACTTCAGAACTGGAGCACTTCTTCTTTGAGAAGGTCGAAAATTGGGAACCTACAGCCTTTGGCACGTTTGTTTGAAACAAGCCAGTGTATATTATTATTATTATTATTATTACGTATGAACGAAATTCGAAAATCTAAAATTGTACTTTTGATATCTCTTTTTATTTCAGTTCGGAGGTTTACTCTTTTGAATCTTCAAGTGCTGTGGCTGGACCTTTAGAAGGTGAATGTGGTGGCACGCCAGATGCGCTCGCAGGGCCAAGAGTCGAAGACATCGCCTTGGACAACTCGCTTCTGGCTTCATTCATTGCTCTCGATAATTCATCTTTAGCATCGCCCATGGCCTTTGAAAGCCCATCTCTGGTCTCATTCACCGCTTGCGATACGCCCAATTTGGCGTCGTTTAAGCCATTTGAAACATCAACTCTTGCATTGAGCAAGTCATTTTTCAACTCAACCATGCCCTTGCCCAACCCGCTGGAGACCTCTGACCAAGCGTTGCCCAATTCTTTGAATATTTCTGTCCAAAGACCACTCAACTCTGCAAAGGTGCTCTGGTCATTGCGATCTGCTCTTATATTTGCACCCTCTTCGGGACCTGCCGCTGCTCTCGTTTCTGCCTGTTCGGTATCTGGTGCGACTCCTTGAGCCAGTAAATTCTCTACCGGAGGCTCAGTGGCATCCTGGTGAAGCACCAACCGAAGATTGTAGGGAGGTGTGTATGGAGGTGGAGCGTCATACTCCTCATACTCATTTGCCCCTGGATCACTAAGATGATCAGCCATAGTATTAATGAAAGAACCAAAAAATTAAAAAAAGCCCAAAATTTAAAACCCAAAATTATACCGATGAATAGTTCCTATTCAATTCTCCAAATTCCAATACCAAATATGTCTTACCTTTATGTGTTTCGGACCGAAGCCTGTGTTGCTCTGTAGCGCAATGAGGCAATGTTGCAATACAAAAATGTGCAAGGAAGGAAAAATAGTGCACTACGCTAAATGCCCCAGGTAAATCGGATTTTCCAATTCTTACTTATTATTTCAAATAGCTTCCACTAGCTGAGCAAAGTAAGCGGAAAATATAATGTGCTGAGCTAGCAAATGTAGGAAAATAAAAGATAATCTAGGGAGTATTGTTTTCCTGGGGTATCTTCTTTAGGCAATTCGGATCACATACGCTGCGCATCATCACGGAACTTCTAATCGCTTATCTGCAGGAGTGCAGGAATGTGGATCCTGTTATCTATATGGAGAAGACACAATTGAAGAGGCGAATGGAGGTTTGGTAAAGGATATTCTTGTGTACAGACATAATTAGGTATAATTTGATACAAATAACACAGTATTGGTGATCTAGTTTTAATAAGAGATAGATCCCTGTTTTTTAAAGTGGATTTAATTGGCAATTTCTCTTGTATTTGTTTGTCTTTCTGGTACCTGTCCAAGTGCTTGAATATAATTAGATGGAACCATGCCTCAGTGGATACCTCAAAATATACAAAAGAGATTGCTACTATATGTGCTTCAGCAATTGTCTCTCTTCTCAGAGATTGATCTTCCTAATCTAGAGGAAGTTTCGTTGAATAATATATCCTTGAGAGATGTGCAAATCGACCCGGAGAAGGTGGGCAAACTCCCTGGCTGTAACTTGAGGTATGGACAAGTTGGCCAATTGGACCTAAATGGTGGTGTGATGGGTGGTGTTAATATCGACGTAAGCAATGTAGACCTTGTAGTAGCGCCAGATTTCGATGCTGGAACTGGACCCGCTGGTAATGGCAAGGATAAGAATGACAATGTTCAGTTTCTGATTGCTCAGAGCACTGCAGACTTGGCCAACACAATCATCCTTGAAAAGGACGGCACCACCGATTTAATAAATAGCGAGGATGACGATGAAAGCGACAGCGATGATGAAGAAAAGTCGTCGTCTTCGAAATCGTCAACCACTTCATCTGGTCCTATCAAGGCATCAGCTCTCAGTGGAGTCATGGCGAAGGCAGTGGAAATTGCGCTCCTGAGGTTACAAGTTACAATAAAGAATCTACTGATCAAAATAGTGTCGGAATTGACGGATCTTAGAGTAGAGATCGATGAAATTTCGATCAAAACTATCAATGGCAGTAAGAAGATTAATATACTAGGAATCCGAATAATCACGTTGAACCCCGAGGTCAACCCTGGATTATCATCAACACCTCCAAAGAGTCAAAGCAATTCTAACTCGAATACATCAAGTGGAAGTACAGGAAATTCTGATACTACAGAGTCAGTACCTACCTCAGACGATGAAGATGGGTATGGAGATGAGTCGTTGATGGATAGTATGGTTTTCACTCACGAAGAAGCAAGTTCTATATATATGAGTGCTACTTCGCAGTCCTTCAGGCGTGATGGGGAGGAAGAAAAGAATAAAACTGAAAGCTTAAAATCAATAGTACTCTTCATTGATGAGGTATATGCCAGCTTTGAAGGTTTGTCTCAGATTTCAAATCTAGAAGTTGCTGTAGGAGAATTGAAAGTTGGAGCAGTTCCAGCTTTCCCCACTATCATGTCAATTCTTACAAGTATGACTAGAAACCTCAAGCTAAAAAATTATCAGAAAAAGAAAGATAACTTTAACATAAGGAAAAACTCGAAGTTTCCGCAATATGAAGCTGATGATAGTCCTCCACCTCAACCTCTTCAGGGTGCTCCTAATCTACCAGCTAACGTCAACGACCCTGTACATGATGAAGAACTAGATAGTAACCAACTTTTCAACAAACTTCACATCAAGCATATACTCGTCAGTTTGACATCGGCGATTTTGTCTAATGGGGATTTAGCTTCCCAAGATTCAAATATTACAGTCTCCTTGAAGAACTTTCATGTAAAGGAGAAAAATCTGAACTTAATTTATGGTGGTATTGAAACCTTCAGTATAAATGAAGTGAAAGGTGGCGAAACTGTAGATGTTTTCAAATTTGTGGACGATCAGCAGCAAAGCCAAGAGAATAAGAGTACTCCACCACCACCTTCGTCAGTGCCAAAGGCAGACTTTCGATTCGAATATTATGTGAATTCCACCGAAACAGCTAATAAATTTAAAGCGGAGTTTACCACATTGTGTTCAAAGCATGCAATTGTTAATCTTACGTCCACTTCATTGCCTATTTTAATTAATTTCGGCAATTCTGCCTCTGCAACTTTCAACCACTACAATATTTTCAAGAATAGTTTGAATGCGTTTAATTCTATTCGGAGCCAGTATGGAGGGCTTAATTCATTATCACCTTTACGTTCAGAAATTTCTAGTGAAGATCAAAAGTCCGGCAAGACACCGGATATTATATTTCAATCATCGTTAATAACAATAAATTTGAAGTTATCAGATCTAACTTTAAGAACAGTCATATTACCAGTTTCCTACAAGCTGGATCAAAATCATATGAACATCCAAAAAATTTTACTAAGCTGCATTGACCATAATAAAGAAGAATCATTATCGTCTATTGCTAACATCAGGCTCTATTTGAAAGCAAAAGAATTTAAATCATACGTGATTAGATCAAGCGGACGTGCTCATACATCTGCTGGTTCAAGCTCAGCAACGAGTGGAATCTCAGATTCGGCCTCGCCTTCTACTTCCGATAATTCTAGCTACCCTCGAGAAATTAAGCTTACTTCTTCGCTCATTTTGGCAGTTCCTGATGTAACCGTCACGTCAAGTTTTAAATTGGTTCGTAAAATTATGGCTGAATTTAAGACGTTTTCAACCTGCTTGACTTCGCTAGAATCGGAAGTCAATTCTATTGAGAAATCTTTCAAGACTCCTAATTCATCTTCAGCTTCAACTCCAACTAGTAGGCACGCCAAACCCCTCCCAGCACAGCCCTCGCTCTTACAAAATTCTATCTACGCGAGTCAAAGAAGATCGAGAAGAATACCAGATTCCAAAGTCAGTTCATCTAACCTATCTTCTGAACCCACTCGTTCTTTGGCTGGTTCTGTAGCATTTAGAGCAGTTGTGAACTCTATCTGCTTTACGATCACAGATCTATTTCCTAAGTTTGGGTCATTTTCATTTAAATTTGATAAATTATCTATAGACCAGTTAAGAAATGGTAATCTCCAAGGCTCTGTTTTGTCTTTAACCCTTCAGAGAGAATTTCAGGGCCAGATTGAGAAATTCATATATGAATTCACGGATGATTTAGTTAGGAAGAGCTCCTACCCCTTGATTGTTTTTTCTTTAAAAAAGTTTGACAAATCGGTAATTTGTGATATTTCAGTTTGGAATGTCATAATCGAATACTACACTGTCTGGTTAAGATTAGTTGAGAATGAGGTTCATGAGCAGCCACCTGTCGAAGCAGTGCTAGATGCTCTTCCAGATCACCAAAATGATAATAGCAATAATTCGACTGGTGGAAGTAGTCTGGGGTCAAAAAAATTCGAAGTGAAATTTACGTTGCATGATTGTGTTATTGGTTTATCCCCTGGTCGATTATCATGCAAAGGGTATGTCACAGTTGAAAAGGGAACTGCCGATATTATCATTGGCGAAAACCAACTATTTGTTAAAAGCTCTCTTAGAAATATCTCATTGTTGTTAATTGATGATGTTAAGAACCTTTATTCTAATGAAGTTGCGCATACAAGTTCCAATGTCAAAAAATTGCCTCACGGCTATAACTCTCCCTTATCGTGGTTCGTTGAACTAGGATGTTTGAAATTTGGTTCCATAAATGCAACACATGTGGGAGTTACTGTTAATTCCAATATCGATGCTATAAAAGCTAGAAATATTAGGCTAGGAATTAAAGATAAACTCCCACTCCTTGAATTGAAAGTTAATCTGGATGAATACTCGATAACCCTATGTGCTGACTCGGCACATACTTTACTTCAAATGATTAATGATTTGAAGCTGCCTATCATATTCCTGGATGAAGAAAAGTTCAAAGTGGAATTAAGCAAAGAAGTTAACTTGTTGGATGGTATTGGTGATCTATTTAGCACTGAAACAGAAGGTGACCAAAATTCGAATAGTGCAAGCTCATTGAAAGGAACATTCGTTACTGGAGGTAGTAATTCCCCTCTATTAATGGTTGACGAATATATACAGAATTCCGCTAATTTGAATAGATCATCCTTGGAAATGGATATGGGTGGTTTAAGCCTTAGTGGTTCAGTCAAAGATGTGAATTCTAATCTTAGCTCATTCGATGAAGATCATTTCACATTAAATAAGGCGAAGGAAAAGATGCACGATGAGGAGATAATACCTATAATATCATATGTCAACGTATCAAAAATACATATCTACTTATACGATGGTTATGATTGGAAAGAGACCAGAAATGCCATTAAAGGTGCTGTGAAAAGGGTGGAAACCCAGGCGGTTCAGGAACTTAAATCAAAAAAATCGAAGGTTAAATTTGAAGAACCAAACAAAGCAAGTAACTATTCAGAAGATGAAGAACTTGAAGTTCCTTTGATTGGCGAAACGTTATATCAGTCTATTCACCTCTCTATTCCAGTTGGAACAAATCCTTCCAAACTAACTCAGAATATAAACAAAAATGTCCAGAATATAGAACATGAAGGAAATGATGAACTGGGCACCCCATCTACAATTGACCACAAGAATCTCAGACTAAAGCGATCCAAATTACACAAGTTAGCAATTGAAGTTAAAAATTTAGAAGTAGAAGTTTCTATTTTTACGACAAGAGATCCTAGGACTAACAAAGGAATTGTCGATGATAGCGAATTTAAGAAAGACTTTGAGATCGTGAATTCCATTTCTCTAAATATTGAAAATTTCCAAATCTTAGATAATGTTCCAACGTCAACATGGCATAAATTTGTTGGGTACTTACGAACTGCTGGTGAGAGAGAACTACTGACCAAGGCACTAAGCTTGACCTTAACAAATGTGAGACCTAATTATTCTTTATGTTCAACTGAAGCAATAATCAACTTATCCATTCTTCCTTTAAGGTTGTACGTTGACCAGGATACCTTAGATTTTGTTACGAGGATTGGTGAATTTAAAGATAGCAGGTTTCAATTGCCTATTGATGACGTTTTGTACATCCAGAGATTTAAACTTGGTGAATTGAGGATAAAGTTGGACTATAAACCTAAAAAAGTGGACTATGCGGGTATAAGATCAGGTCATACTGCTGAATTTATAAACTTCTTTGTTATTGATGGAGCAGATATAGTGTTAAGAAGTGTTACATTGTATGGTATGCTAGGTTTCCCTAAGTTAGGTAACGAATTGAAAAATGTTTGGACTCCTGATATACAATCTACTCAGCTCAGTGGAGTTTTAGCTGGCTTGGCACCAATTAGATCTATTGTAAATATTGGTACAGGTGTCAAAGATCTCGTTGCCATTCCTGTTAAAGAATACAAAAAAGATGGTAGGTTAATTCGAAGCTTACAGAAAGGGGCTTTTCTGTTTGCAAAGACCACTGGGTCTGAGTTATTGAAGTTTGGAGTGAAACTTGCGGCTGGTACGCAAGTGTTGCTAGAGCAGGGAGAAGAAGCATTTGGGGGAGAAGGATCTGCGGCTAGATTGCCAAGTAATAAGAGTAGAGCTAGTAATGACAAAGGGAATAGTAGTGAATTGGATGATGATGATTTTGATGACGATGATGAAATTGAGATAGATGATGATGGCATCTTCTACGTTGAGAGACATCCAGATGATAGAAACCCCTTGGTATATGCAATTACAGATCGGAAATTCGTCGAAAACAACCTCATGGCATCTTCACAGCTTTTGAATCAAAGTATGCAGATTGATAACAGCCACAGGAACGGTCTCTACGGTTCCAGCAGTAGAAAGCTTTACTCGTTTGCTGAAATGGATGACGATTCCCATACCTTGGATAATCATTTATTAAGAAGCTCACTTGCCAAGACCAAGAAATCAGAGAAGGCTAAAGCAAATTCGGCATCGGGCGGGTCTCTTGGTGCGAAGAAAAAAGTCGCAGAGGATGATGAGAGTCAAAGAGCGATAAGTTTATACTCTAACCAGCCCACCGGAGCTCAAGAAGGACTCCAGTTGGCTTATGGCAGTATAGGTAGGAACCTCAAAAGTGCAAAGGTTGCAGTTCTACGCACACGTGACGCGATGGCTGACGCAGGCAGCGTTCCAGAAGCGGCAGTTGCTATGGTCAAGGGAGCACCCGTTATTTTAATCAGACCCATGATTGGCGCCACTGAAGCGGTTCTGAAGACACTCCTAGGGTTGACAAATCAAATAGATCCACTGCTGAAGGCCGAAAGCGAAGAAAAGTACAAGCCCTTGTAGATAGATAACCCATGTATAAATGCATCACAGAGAATTTGCTTATCAGTAAAAGAAATTTTCCGGGCGCTAGAAAATTTTTTATTTTTTCAATTTTTTGCTTCTTCGGTTCGGTGGTGCGCCGTCGATGCACCTCTGCTGCTTTTTTGCTAAGGCCATCGAGGTTAAGAACAGATGGATGGGTACGCCCAGTACCAGCTTGATATGTGTGTATCTTAGTTAGTAAAATGAGGAGCTCGGCTAAGTTATATAGAAATCCACATACATGACTCAAATAAAAGGAGAATCTGGTCACACGCCCGTCAAAAATATGGGGTATCTCGTAGGGCGATTAGGAACGGCTCAGTTTCATTTGGTGGGTTATACTTTTTTTCTTTGGCGTAGGGCTATTGTTGCCGTTACCAGTAATTCTTCACGGCCATTTTTAGGGTTTTCCCATTGATAGGGTTCCATATGCGCTAAGATTCCATAGCTATGCAGGCGAGATGCCGATTATGCTTCATTTCTCCGTATGGTCTTTTTTTTTTCTTTTTTTTTTCACTAACAGATGGTTCAGATCATCTCTTACTCCTTTGGGGCCGTTTCTCCTCTTTTTCTTTTCTTGATCACTCTTGTTTCTCTTTCTTTTTCTCTTCTCCTTCTTCTTCTTTTCCCTTCTTCTCTTTCTCTTCTTCTTCTTCTTCTTCTCTCTTTCCTTCTCCATGTATATTGCTGCGTCCCAAAGGTAGTTCCAGAGCCAGTTCAACGTTTCTTTCCCTCATGTCTGCAGAACAAGAAAAGCATCAGGTCTTGCCAACCCAAGACGTCACTATCGATGCCAACGGAGCTGAAAAACCTCCAATCGAAGTTATCAATGACGGCTTTGAAGAAGAATCTTCTTCTGATGATTCTGACTTCAGGTCCATCTCCATTGTCACCAAGCTTAAGTCGAGATTCCCACAGTGGAGACTTGCATTCCATGTGTTTTGGGGATGTTTCTTCACTTCTTGGTGGATGTCCATCATTATCCAGAAGAAGCACAGAAGTAAATGGTTGATTCCAACTATTTTTTGGATGATGATGATGGTTAGATTAATCACTTTCCACTCTAGAATCTTGTACGTTTTGTTCGGTTACGTTACTACCGCGTGGAACTATTGTGTAGACATCTTATACACCAAATTGATTCCAAACAGAACTCACAGAATATTAGCCGCTGCAGCTTTGACTGTCGCTGTTATTCTTGTTGGTACTTTCGTTCCCTCGGAAACTGAATACTCCAAGCGTGAGGACCGTGCTGTATCATTCTTTGGATTGGTCGTCTGTATCGCTGGGTTATATGCTACCCTGAAAAATAGATCAAAGATCCAATGGAGAACTGTTATCGGCGGTACCTTGATGCAGTTTATTATTGCCTTGTTCGTCTTGAGAACCAAGTGTGGGTATGATGTTTTCAACTTCATTTCTACCTTAGCTAGAGAATTGTTAGGATTCGCCAAGGACGGTGTAGCCTTCTTAACTAGTACGGAAGTATCTCAATATGGTATGTTCTTCTTTACAGTGTTACCAGCAGTTGCGTTCTTCGTTGCATTTATCCACATTTTGTACTATTTCAACATTATGCAATGGTGTATTAGAAAAGTTGCAAACCTCTTCTTCTGGGCCTTGAAAGTTACTGGTGCCGAAGCAGTTACTGCTTCAGGCTCTCCATTCTTGGGTATTGGTGAATCGTCTGTTTTGGTCAAGGACTTTATGCCTTTCTTAACCAAAGCCGAGATCCATCAAGTCATGACCTCTGGATTCTCTACCATCTCAGGTTCAGTCTTGGTTGGTTACATTGGATTGGGTTTAAATCCACAAGTTATGGTTTCATCGTGCGTGATGTCTATTCCAGCATCATTGGCCATTTCTAAGATGAGATACCCAGAGACTGAAATTCCTGTCACTAGTGCAAGAGTCGATGTCTGCGAGAACTTTGATGAAAAGGAAGGTAAGCCAAAGAACGTCTTACAAGCCTTTTCTAATGGTGCCACCTTAGGTTTAAGAATTGCTGGGTTAATGATGATTCAATGTATGTGTATCATTGCCCTTGTTGCTCTTATTAATGGTATATTGACCTGGTTTGGTAACTTCTGGAATATCCCATCGTTGACCTTGGAGTTAATGGGTTCTTACCTTTTATACCCTGTCACTTTCTTGTTAGGAACCCCAAGAAGTGAAATATTGCCAGTCTCTAAGTTAATTGCCATCAAGGTCATCCAAAACGAATACAATGCCTACTCTATCATGCTTAGTGACGAGCCATATAAATCCATGTCTAAGAGAGCCATAATCATTGCCACATACGCTTTGTGTGGATTCTCCAACTTGGGTTCTATGGGTATTCAAATCGGTGTTTTGGGAGCTTTGGCTCCAAAGAAGGTTAAGGACATTGCCCAGGTGATCATCTCTGCATTGATTTCTGGTTTGTTGGCCACCTTAACATCCACCGCTATTGCCGGTATGGTTATGCATGATTTGACTGGATTCGACGTCTAAACCCAGTAAATACACTACAGTAGAGAAACTAATAATACAACTAAGTAGAGACTTCTGTGCTAATGTAGATGGGAAGGGGACTCCCCTCAACAATGTAGAAATCCAAAACTCAGAGAAAGACCACGATAGATGAATCCTCATTGCTTACATAACGAAAGTACCTTACATACACTGGGATTGCCAATGGTAATCACTATCTACGATATAAAGTTTCAAATGTGGTATTCAGGCTCGTAAAGATGTCCGGGGCTATCAGCAGGCTACCTTTGCAAGAAGAAACACTCACCCTCCCCGTACTCTTTTGGTAATGAGATGAGTCTCGCGAAATGCGCATACAATGCACACCAAAACGCAAACAATCCCTAATGTGTAAATAAGTGGACCCCTACACTCTTCCTTCAGGTCTATAGCCATACTGCTACCAGATCGTCATTTTGTTCCTGCATATATCGCCCCGCCCTCCTCTTTTTCAATATCTGTCACCCAGCTAAGTGGCTATCAGTCGGTTGGCAGATTCTTTATTCACGGTGCCGTCAGCATTAGAAGGTAGTTTTGAACATGCCCGCAACTTCGCAAAGTGAACAGAAGGCGATTCTACAGAGCCATTTGGCGAACATCAAGAATCAATCGAACTTGATGAAACAATGCCTTCTGGAGAATAATTTACTTCAGGCGCTCAAGCACTGTTCGAACATGCTCAACGAGCTTAGGACCAACCAATTGACACCCAAGTTTTATTACGAGCTCTACATGATCATTTTTGACTCCTTGGAGATCCTTTCCACGAACTTGTTGGCCAGTCACAAGAGAAGGAACAAGAAGAAGGGAAGTAACAACAGTGATGCCAGTGGCAATAGCTCAGCAGCGAGCTCCGCTACTCCATTCTTGGCGGATTTGTACGAATTGGTTCAATATTCTGGAAACATTATCCCTAGGCTCTATATGATGATTGTAGTCGGAACCACGTATATCTCAACGAAGGATGCGCCCACCAAGGAGATCATGAAGGATATGATAGAGATGTGCCGTGGGGTTCAGCACCCAATCAGAGGACTCTTCTTGAGGTACTACCTTCTGCAGAGGATCAAGGACTTGTTACCCATTTCCACCAGACAGGATTTCGACGAGACCGTGGAATTTTTGATCTCCAACTTCATTGAGATGAATAAGCTTTGGGTAAGGTTACAACACCAGGGCCATTCGAGTGAACGGGAATTACGGTTCAGAGAACGTAAAGAGTTGAAGATCTTGGTTGGGTCCAACTTGGTTAGATTATCGCAGATTATCGATGATTATAGCGAGGTGGACCATCCGGCAGGGGATGCAGAGTATAGGCCCATTGAGTACTACAAGGATAGGATTTTCTCCGTAATTGTGGAGCAGATCATTCAATGTAGGGACCACTTGGCTCAAAGCTATTTGATTGATGTCATTATACAGATTTTCCCTGTTAATTTCCATTTTGCCACGTTGAGCATGTTGTTGCAGGATGTCTTCTTGTATTTGAACCCCACGTTGCGCAAAAGTGAGTTGGTTTCCACTTTAGTTGAGAGGTTTATCGTGTATCATAAGTTCGAGTCAGACAGCGAGATAGTGTCCAGAGTGAAACTTGAAGATAAAAAAGAAGGCAAGAATGATGTATCTACGGAGCCCACGGAGGCCGCTGTTGTTGAGGAACTTAATGGAAGTGATTTTGCCGTTGGCGGGTCTCTTTTCGATGCCTTTTGGGAATTCTATGTTAAGCTCTCTGAATTGGACCCTGAACTACCATCTGAAGAACACTCAACAATATTGCAAGCAATAATTAAACTATCTTTGACTTATGAGCCTGATAATTACGACAATTTAGACAAAGTGTATAAATATGCAAGCAAGAAACTTTCAAGTCGGGGAGAAGAAAAGTCAGAAAATGCAGATGCAGAGGATGAATTATGGCTCCAGTTGCTTATCGTCCCTATTGAGCATTTCAAAACTATGAAAAACTTGTTAGAATTGAGTTATTTCTATGAATTCTATTCCAGTTTGCAAAACCCTAAGTTCAAGAAACAAATATCCTTGGCCATTGTGGAGAAGGTGTTGTCAATTAATGAGACCTTTTCAGATCATGGAGAAATCGATGGCATTTTCAGATACCTTCTTGTATTGATAAAAGACACGGCTGCAGATCAGCACAAATGGAATACTGCAAAGAATTTGGGTATAACCCAGTCATTTCAAATTGAAAATGGTTCGAAAATAATTACAAAAGATTTCTTGAAAATTCAAGAGAACATTTCCAAAATCTTACATTTATTGACCGACAGGCAAGATCCATTCAAAAGCTTAAGTAATTTGATGTACGTTCGTAAGAAGTACTTGAACAAAAGTGGTGAGAACATGATATATACATATCCATCATTAATCAATCAAATCTTGAATCAATTGAAAATTGCTGGCTATAGAAGAAAATACTTAATTAAGAAGAAGAAGGAGAGTCAAAAGGATGAAGGAAAAGAAGAAATTGAAAGTGATGACAGTGAGTTATTACTTTTGACAACCAACTTCAAAAACCTTTCAGTAACCATCGGTGAATTCTATCAAATTCATCAACAGCTCCACCTGGAATTAATTCTAAACTTATATTTAAATGCAGCCGGTATTGCAGATCAATTGGAACTTGAATCAATATCTTATGAACTTTTCACTCAATGTTTCATCGTTTATGAAGAAAATTTGATATTAAATAGCAGTGGAGGAGTACAGAATCAAAACCCACATGATGTAATGGGAAGTGGATCGATTCCGTATCAGCTGGTCATTGCTATAGCAAATAAATTGAGTGCAAGTAGATATTTCAGTAAGGAAAACTACGAAAACTTGATCACTAAAATAACATTATATGCATCTAAATTATTGAAGAAGCAGGATCAATGTAGGTCAGTTTACTACTGTGCCCATCTTTGGTGGTGGTGCGAATTGTTTATTGAAGGTTCCTCTCCAACAGTTGAGAAAGAAAAAGAGTCCGGTACGGAAGAAGAAAAGAAGGATGCGGAAGTGGACTCAGCTCCAAGACTTTACCGTGAACCAAAGAGAGTATTGGAATGTTTGCAAAAATCTCTTAGGGTTGCAGATTCATGTATGGATCCATTCTTATCTTTAAGGTTGTTTATCGAAATTTTGAACAGGTGCTTGATATTTTATATCTATGGGAACTACTTGGTTGACTCCAGGTATATCAACGGATTAATAGATTTGATCAAGACTAATCTTGAAAATTTGAAGAGCAATAACGGGGAGAACGAAGACGATAATCAGACCTATATCAGAATTGAGAGGTTATTCAGAAGGTCGTTGGATTACATAGATGAACAAAAGGCGATCGAGGATAGGTTCCAGGATATCGTTGTGTAGGAGACCATTGAGAAAACCACTGAGGTAACCATTGATGAGAATAATTAGTGTCAAATAGAAAAGAGATATGTAAGTAGAACTTTAATCTGTAGCGAAAATAAAATATGCTTTTGATTGAAGCTAGAGGGTCTGTGATAGTCATCGCAGCCATCAAGGTAAAGAAGTAGTTCAATACACAGTTGGATACATAGATAAATGAGACAATGTTTCTGTAAAAAAGCAGAGAAAACAGTAACAGAAAATTGATAATCCTAAAACTAATAGTAAACAACACTACATAGCAATAACGCAATGCAATTAATTTATACGCTACTATACCTTCCCCATTCATCGCCCAGCATTTCCATGAATGTGCATATTCACACACAACCAATATATTGTTTACCCGTGGAGATTACCGAAGCAAAGAAAAAATTATTTTGACCCACCGAATCAAACTCTAATAACCAAACATTGATAAGCTCCCACTCCACTATTATCAATCGAATCTGGAATACCAATAAGGAAACTCGTATCCCAGAGACAAATGAGATTGATTCAGTCAATCTAACGTATGCAACAATCGGTCCCAAAAGATCGATATTTTTCCCTTTCGGGGTGCCGGTTGCACAACGGCGTTGGCCGTCTGCGCACGAATTTACACACTTAGTGTGGGTGACAATTATTTTTCACTCCTTATCTCTGCATGTGTAGAAAATACAGCGTAGACAAGAACGGGCCAAGGAGAATACTCTTCTTTTGGTTCTAAAGTTTTTCACTGGTATAAATAACGGACAGGTGCGGATTCAAAGATGAAGTCGTATTTAGCTAGAGAAAATTCAATTTGGAATATGATGTTCTTCGGGAAGAGCCATCAGGTGAAAATGCTGGTAGCGCCATCGAACCGCGAAGTTCAAGTAGAACAAGCCAGTAACGAAAAGAAGATGTATTTTGATAATGAAAAACATGGCAATTCTGATTACTTGCCAATTGAAGTAACTGCTGGTAACAGGAAGGCTAAGGTTTCGAAATGGATGCGCTTTTGGCAAGTTTTGTATTTGTTCTGTTTCTTGCAAACGACATATAATTTGGTGCAATATTGGAGATTTTCAGGCTCCGCTATTTACACACATTTGACTGCTGCAGAAATCGTCGGAAGTAATAATTTGATTGATCAGTTTGATGGTATTGCAGGATCTGATGATGTAGTGGTGGCACCTAAGCAAATCTTAGAAGTCACCTACCCATTTTTACAAGAAGATGCTTCCTTCGGTGCGCCGGTTTTCCAATCGCTCTACATCAACCACACGTTTGGAAACTCCTGGGGTTCGCCTGCAATTGCCAAGATTTCAGCTCCATCCAACGTCACGTACAATAAGGTTGTTTTAACTCTTAACACGACCGTTGGAGGAGTCCAATACGACAGATTAGCTAACATATTTGTTGATGGTGTTCAGATTTGGAGAACTTCCACTGCTGAGCCTGGTGGAAAGGAAGTTTTCTCCACCTTTGACAAAGATGTATCTACATACTTGAATTTGTTCAAACAAAGTGAATTCGAAGTCTTATTCCAATTGGATAATTTGATCACTCCGAGATTGACAGGTGAATTCCATGTTGAATTATATGCTACATACTTCAACGTGCTGGAATTAGTTGAATCTGAAGAGAAAGAAGGAATTATCCGAGATTCAGCATTTGGCAATTTCTCCAAATATTCAATCCTTTCAACGGATGGAGCAGCTTCAAAGGTATATGGCTTAACTAAGCACGAAAAGAAAACTGAGCCTTCAATTTCCTACTTACCGTCGGACAAGATTCACGTAAGTTTACCAGAGGTCTCCGTAAACACCACAAGGTTAACTTTGAGCGTTTTTGCCTCTGGTAATTCTGCTGAAGAATTCTGGTACACCAATGTCTTGGATAAGTTTGTTCACGAATTCGAAAACGTGGGTAAGAAATTGTTGGGACATGGACCAGTTCGTATAATCAACATTTACTTCAATGGTGAGAAGATTGCAACTCAGACCCCTGAACCATTTATTTTCACTGGTGGAATCTCCCCAGCTCTTTGGTCTCCGGTCGTTGCAACCTCTGCCTTTGATTTATCAAGTATTGACATTGACCTTACAGGATTGTTACCATACTTGTGGGAAAGTCAAAGCATTGAAGATAAATTCTTAGAGATCGAAATCAGTAATGGATTGGATGAAGTTGTTGTGTTTCCACCAATTCCTAAGTCTGGAATTGCTGAGAATTGGATCACTTCAGCTAATCTTTTAACTTATGAAAGTGACCAGGTTGTATCAGTTGAGGGTAGTGTTGTTTTGATCAATGATACCAAGACTGGTTCTGCAATTGGTTTGGCTCCACCATTCAGTGGAACCATTCTCCAAGTCATATCGGCTAATTTCGGTACCACTTTGAATGCCATTTTAAACTACACCCTTATTGACGGTACTAGTGTCAACACTAACTTCACCCTGTACACTGAATCTAAGACCACCAATATTCAAAAATACCAAAAATTCGGTGAAAAGCAGTCATTGGTTCACGTTGGAAAGTCCAAGCAGTCCACTACATTCTTAGACAATGACGTAACCGAAATCACTTCCGATGAAATGCTCAATACATTCAAAAAGAAGAAGAAGTTAGCACCAAATACTATTCAGCAAGTCAACAAGACCGCTACTTTCCCGGTTATCGCTACATTAAATGAAACAGAATATAAAACATATCCAGCAGATGAGGTTAACATTGAATACGACGTTGAAATTGCTACTGCAAAGGACGTTTCTGTTAAAGTCGACGGTACCACTGTCTTCGGTGAGTCTGCAAAGCAAAATGGTACTCTGACGTACTTCATTACAAGCAGTGGAAACCACGGATCCGGCTCCTTAGATACTAAGTATGAACTTGACGTTGGTCCAGCATTCAAGTATAAGAGAAAGGTTAAAGCTGTAAATGGAACAGTCGTATCGGACGTTTTAAAGGGATCCGCTATCTTCTCGTACGAAGGTGAGACCTTGGAGAGCAACTATGCCAGTCTATTAACTTCCCTTGAGAAGGAACACGGAGATTCTGGAGAAGAAATGTTTGATATTCTCAATCATATTGTCGACCCATCATTTATGGAATTATTTACAAAAGTCATGACAGAGACTAAAGTGTGTAAACATAAGTCTTATCCTGATGTCTACAAGAAGAGAAGCTTTAAGAAGCATTTCTAATGTTTATACATATAGATATAGATATAGATTTACGATTTTTGACTAGAATGATATGAGAATGAAATAATAATATGAATACAATATATTGCATGTAGGTACTTAGATGATGTTCATAGAAGGAAGTTGTACTTAAGTAATGTTCCTGGTATCGAAGTCATATAAGACAGACTTTGCGATAGTTTGTAGCACCGCAATGAGTGCATTAAAATTCAATGTAATGCAATGCAAGGTTAAATCCGCGCGAAATAGACTTTGTCAATGTAGTCCTATCAGCTTCACTCAACTAAAAACGTAAAGAAGGAATCTCCAATTAAAAATAGAACGGAAAGAGGGAAAGATATCCAGACTGCTGCGCAACAAGTTCAACCGTGACTAAAAACAACTATACAAAACCAGCAAAAATCAGTGAGAAACTGCCATCCGGATTATTCTCGAGATTTCCGAGAGCTCAAAACAAGTAATCATTTGTACAATCATCGTAGGAAACATTGTCCTTTGGTCTAGTCTTCGAATATATAATATATATGTATCCTCCATACCAAGACCAATTAAATATATGTTAACCTTTGAGTTTACATTGGAATGTCGAACAAGTTTCATTACATTGATTGCGTTATCTCTTATGCAGCACGGTAGCGGTGCGCATATGCATAACATGAAATTGGTCAGAAGTGAAATTGCTACCACGCCAGTTGCAATCAGTCCTTGCAATGAATCAACTCATCTTTATATTTGGAGTAAAGTATGGCGTTGTGGCATTCAACCAAATCCTGCCCATTCTATAGAAAAAGACTTCAATTTTGATTCTTTTGTGAGCTGATCTACTATGTCGGGCTGCGGCTCCGTTTGGTCTACATCAACCTCTACTGCATCGCGTTTCTTCCCCTCTACTTTCTTAGGCGAATCAGGCGTACTATGTTCGCCCACAATTACCCATACTTTCTTAACCCCCGTCGCCAATCTCCCACCCGCAACCAAATCTATCAATTTGAAGTCTGTCGCTTGGTTTATTATGAAATGCGCATGGTATCTCAACGGATCGTTGGGGTACCCAATGTACTTACCACCAAATCTTATTCCTGGTAGTATAAAGAAACCTTGATCCTTCACCAGCCGATACACCTGATAGTTACTTATGAGTTCATGATGGTTGGAGAGTGAGAGGAATTTATCAAGTGGTATTGTATACGAGTCAATGTTTGGGAGAGGGGTAACATTCGGTATTATTATGAAGTTTTCTACCTTATTTTCTTGTAGTTGTTTTTTCTTTAGTATGAGTTTATCATCTGAAAGATTCATCTTCGCCAACTTCTTAAGCAATTCTTCATCTTGCTTGGGATCATGAACGCATATCCTTTGAGATGAGTTCCAATCCGCTTGGTTAAGCATTGCAGCTTCTACCTCGTGATATTTGGCACTATCAATGAGAATACCATGCTCATTGGTCACTAGCCATATTACATCTTCCAAGCTTAACTGCAATGGGAGTCCCAAAAACACATTTTGCTGGGGGGCTGCAGATAATGTTCCCGAAAGAACGCCCACTATGCCCAAATGTCTCAATTTTTTGACATCCTCGAGTTCGAATATTAGAACCTTATCGCCCACAACAGGCAAGAATACCTTTTCCATGGAAACTGTGGGAGAATAAGGGGCTGAACTGTATCGAAGATGAGTCTTCACTTTATTTGAAATTTTATGATGATCATCGGTTCACGCACGTGACCAGCTTTCAAGGTGTTGCTATGTAACTAGAGGGTCCTGATGACTTAAGAAGCCACCCTACCACAGCTTATAACTACAACGATATACTTATGTTACTGTATTATTAAATAGAGGTAAAACAATAGAAGCAAAATTAAAAAAAAAAAAAAAAAACTGTAAAAATGTAGGCCAACCAGTGTCAGTGCAGCAAGAATGTTTCATTATACTTCGTAGTGTACAAGAATTAGGAAACTCGACTCGACCAGCATTCTATAATGAAGCTTGTTTCCTTCTCTCCATTAATCGATTAAGTTCAGCACCGAGATCTTGGTGACCTTGGCTTTATCCTCTTCGATTTTCTTCTCGGAGTTATCAGAGAAAGTGCTGATTCCAGGCAATCTTACCCCAGTGGGTGACATGCTCTGGTCCTGAATAGGAGGGAGTGGTTTGCTCTGGTTTCCGTTGCTTATAGGTGTCAACTTTGACATTGAAGAAGGACCTGAAACGGAGAACCGGTTGGTAGTGCTGATGGATGGGGAATTAAATGAGTTTTGGGAAGTATTTCTTTTGTGCAGATTAGGTGTCGCTATGCTATTATTGCTGCCGTTGACAGTGTTATTGTTATTAGTACTATTGTTGTTTGAAAGAGGGTTTGGGAAGAAGTCCGGGGCAATGGAAGACCTTCTGGAGGTCGATGAACTGTTGTTTCCAGATGCAAGACTAGAAAATTCGAAGTGGGAGAGCGAATTGTGTCTTGATGCCTGGTGTCCCAATAAAAGTGGAGAACCGTAGTATGGGGACACATTTCCAGTGGAGTTTGAGTTCGACCCTGAGTTTGTTGACGAGAGTGGGACACACTGGGTCAAGTTCGGGTTCGAGTTCGTGTAGTGGTTGGTGGAATGTGGGAGCGAATAGATAGTATTTGCCGTGGAGTGTCTTCTAGCAGTGCTCATCTGAGACTCGTCGATCAAACGTCTCTTGGACGGGAGCATAACTGGAGGATGGTCAGTATGTTGTTGCTGCAGCTGATGCGATGGGGTGTGCTGGCCGTGTGCCAGCTGCTGTGGGTTCATTATCGAGGGCAATATGTTCTGCAAGTGAGGCAAGTTGTTCAGATGTATATCAAAGCTAGCCAGTCTCAAGTTGCTGGGTCTCATCGAGCCAGAAGGCGGGTGGGGTGGGGTCATAGACTCCAACTTCTCCTTGGAGAGATCACCCTGCGATCCGCCGAACATTGACGTGTTGAACGATATCTGCGGCAAATGGGGCACCTGCGGGTACTGCGAGGGGATCGTGGTCGACGATGACGCAGACGAGGTGGATACCGTGGAGTGTTGCTTCTGAGGCAAGGGCGGTGGGAGGGAGAACGAGGTCTGCGAGGACACAGAGTTAATGGAGTGCTGGGACGACTGGGACGACTGCGGCTGGGAAAGCGACGAAGGTGTGGGGAGTACGGATACGGAGTTGAGCGACGAAGCCGTGGAAGAGGTCGGAACCGAAGGGAGTGGTTTATGATCATGTAAGATGCTTGACACTGAGCCAGCCCCAGCCGAAGCCACGGCGGGATCTGGCGATACTTTCCCACTTCCACTGGTGCTTCCTGAGGAGCCCTCATCCATGATACCGACCTGCGTGCTGGCCCGTCTGCGCCTGTTGGCACCGCCGTTCCACCAGTTCTTTATGGCATTGTCACTTCTGCCGTTGAGGTGTCTCGCTATCTCAGCCCACTTCTTCCCATACTTCGCTACCAATTTCTCGATTAGTTCACCTTCTTCATTAGTAATGGGGGTTCTGTTTAGTGAGGGTTTCAAGTTTTGGTGGTACCTTTCCCTGCATTGTTTGGGAGTTCTGGTGTTCAATGTATTAGAGATCCTTACCCAATTAGAAGGGCCGAAGATTGAGATGAGCTCCATCAACTTCCGGTCCTCCTCTGGTGACCAAGGACCTCGTCTGTTCTGTCCTGGCTGGGTATTATGTACGGTGATTGCCTGCGACTGGTGCTGGTGCTGTTGCTGCTGCAGTTGGGGCATCTTCTGCGGTGAATAGTACTGGTTGGAGTAGTCCATGTTGGTTCCAGTTGTTGTTGGAGTTTTTTGTCTTTGGTGATGATGCGCAACCGTTTAATGGCTGTTCCTTTTGTCGGTTGGGAATTGTCTTGATGGGCTTGTCCAAAAAAAAGTCGCTTTTGCTGTCAGATAATAAGGACAAATTTTTTCTTTCTTTTCTTCTGTGTCAAGTATAATTTTTTCCGCTCAGTCAATTTGACGTAATAAAGTACCTTTCTCTATGGTTCTTCCCTCTCTATGCTAAATTATATAATAATGGTTCAAGGGTTCTCAAATAATTCACAGTACCTTCCACCAATAAGCTAATGTAAGGAAAATATGAATAAATATATAAAATATCCGACTTCTCTTTTACATTATTTTTTTCCTGGTTTTTTTTTTTTCCTTTTCATTCTCTTTTTTTTTTTTTTTTTTTTTATTTTTTTTTTTATTTTTTTTTTTTTTAAATTATTACAACAAAAAATTTAAAATTATAAAATAAATAAAAACAAAATAAAAAAAAAAAAAAAAAAAGAATATTGGTCCATAGTAAACGGGAGTAAAGATAGGAAAATTGGGGCGCTGGCACTCGAAGCAGCACGTATCCGCCTAACACTGTTACATGTCTATGTAAAGTGACATAAATTGTATGTTGGCCATCTGCTATGCTGATGTGCATCGGTAATCTTCTATCTAGTGACTTCGCTTTTAACCCTCATGCGAAACAAACAAGGGAAGGAAATTAAAGACTAAAAAAAAGTAAGGAAAAAAAAAAAAAAAAAGAAATAAAGAAATCCTGATAGGAAAAACGTTGAATTAACATTTTAGATTGTTCCTTTTACTCCTACGTAGAAAATATTCATGGATTCCGTCCCCTCAGATAGCAGAGCAGAGAAGAAGTAGAGGAAATGAAGAAGTGGAGGTGAGTCAAGGCTAAGGAAACCCTAGATCTGTTCCCCTTAAATTTCTGGCGCTTTTTGCTACTGCTTCTTCTGGCGTATTGCACTTCTACTTTTGAGCGGTTTTATCCATTTCCCCAATTTTACTTTAACACTCCATTCCGCAAGCCAAATCTTCCAACGGTGATTTAAGTTACCTTGTTAGAATAATAAATCCGACCAGACGGTTGAATTTGCGGAAAATATGCAAGAATTCAAGAATATTAGCTTTTATGACACTGTTAATTTCTTGGTTCCCGCTATTGCGTGTGGTATCTTTAACTTTGAGGAATTTTCTGTAACCTCACGTTTTTATTTCTTTTTCGTTATCATTTTGAGTCGGTTGTTTATCGCCAAAATCCGTGGTTTCTGGTTGGCGATGGCATGGCGCTAGTGTGTTTCGGGCTGACAGTTTTGTGTGTCACCTTGCATTATAATCACTCTTCTTCTATTTGTTCTTCTTTGATACGATACTTTACTCTTTGCTACATCAGTACTCATTTCTTCCTCATCTCTCTGCTCTTCTCTTAGCATTCCATTTAGGTCTTTTACATTAATACGAGGCCAATGTGCATATAATCATTTTCGCCTAAGGGTAGGTTCGTACTTGAATGTCAGCGGTTATTTTAAAAGACCTTTTGGTGATTATTCTGCAAGTGCATAGATTTTTCACTTTATTTTTTCTTTTACTTTCACGCATTTTCCCATTTGGGGTTTAGGCTTCTAAGTTTATGTAGGAGAAGCACGATTGTACATATGAAAGTATAATAATCGATGGAGTTGTGATTCTCGCCATATTATTTTTTAGAAAAAGTAATTAGATGGCATAAATCAACGCATGACATACATGTGGACATGGGCTTATGTATGGAAACTAGAATGACAAGACGAAAGCTAAAAGTCAAGTTATTTTTTTCTATTTTGGAGAATTGAATTGCTTGTTTTTTTTTTTTCACTCAATTTTATTCCCGTCTGTAACAGGGTTTCAGAGGTTTCTTTTTGGAGTGATGGTGGGGGGCTGGTATGTACGTTTATTTAAACAAGATGTTTTTTCTAGCTTATTTCTATTTTTATCCCAATAGCTAAAAGCAGTTAATTCCGTTGAGTTTTTTGCTTCATTCATCGGGGAATGTTGAAAACTTCGACCAACTTGAGAAATTATTTTATGTTTTGGGTCTGCACTCTAATTTGAATTACGCCTCGTCTACGTTGAGGTGCCTAACTTATCTTATAGAATGATGCACCGAATATTCCGGTTGTAAGGGTAATGTTGTGCGTGCGGCCCCATAGTACGGTTACGAGAGGTTTCGGGCAAATCCTTTTCTAATGAAATAATTAGAAGATCTAGATGAGGTGACGAAAATCTTATGATATTCAGCTACACCTACTAATATTGACAATGGTGAAAGAAATTATGTATTTGGTATTTCCAAGAAGGCTCGAGGCTTCGTCCCTCCGCCACCATGGCTCTTCAGCTCTTGAAAATCAATCAGTCTGGCATAAATTTTGGTATGCATAAATCTGCCTTCGAATTCTCATCGTACTGCAAAAACATCTGATTATTTTCCAAATTAAATTATTCATAATCATAATGTATCAAGTGCAACAATACCAACTATCAACTTTTGGCTTGCTTTTCCCCATTAAGGTAAGATAAAGCCTGTTGGAAAGGGGAAGAAGAAAAGAAAAGAAAATGGAATAGCAAACTCAGAAGCTAGTACATTGTTAGTAGTAGCTTATTCATTTTTAACTTTGCTTATTTGAAGTTTCCGGTTTTTGACTCATCTCATCTTAACGCAACATGGGAAGAATGCCATGTTTGGGGGCAACATCAAGGGGTACAACAATCACAACAAAAATGTGCGGTCCTCGTCAACGGTTTATCATGTAGCCAAGCGCCATCATCCAAATAGTGGGCTTTCTTGATACACATTTGATGGTAATATGAGAAGGGTTTCTATGGAAGATTAAATCATTGCGCATGGATCTGCAGTATAATGCAATTGATAGAAAAAATCCTGGTAGGAAAATATAACGTTAATCATGCACTGTGGATAATTCATATTAGATTTCGAGATATGCGGACGTTTAGCCTTGTAGCTCGCTTAGAACCGTTTGAAACATGCCTCCGAGTATTTCCACGCCTAGTAATTACTATAACACCACGTATCTGTTAAACTTGTGTAATAACCGATGAGGGGATTGTGGTGTCTTTCCCTGCATAGCCAATATTAGACTAAAATTCGTGCTTGCAAGCAAGTCATAAAAATTCACTAAGTTTAAAAATTAGATTAGAACAAAGGCCGGGACGGATTTAACTTATTTTCCTATTGCCATGGCATCTGATTTTCTAAGGGTGCAACAATATAATAAGCAATTTTCATTTCTCATAACTGTTGTTATTAGTTACACCTCGATTTCAATTACATCGTACCGTTTTTCACTCCACAATCTTGCGTATACACACCAATCTTACCATGTGATGCAATTACCCTACACATTTTCTACTCGTAAGCAACCGTTTTATTGTAACTATCTCCTATAAAATTTATTATACATACATATTACATTTGGTCGTGAACAACAACCATAGTTTTAAGCTTTCTCAAGCAACGGAATCTCCGTTTAGAAAATATTCACCAAGTGGGAGTTTTTACTGTCCCGAGTAAGATATTATTCACATAAAAGCGAAATGCATTTTAAGGTAATGATAAGCTGGTGAGTCCTGAAAGCCTTAGTTGTCACTTTCGGGGGCACTATCGGCAGAATCGATTACGAAATTTAGTCTATGTACAATTCATTTCTCAAGATATCTCTTCTGCATGTGCCCTATACGAACCTGTCGAGTGATCATAAAATCACCCGTGTGGGAGTTTGCCTGCGTCTATTGTGGACTGGCTATCCTTCCCCTGTTACATAAAAGTGGCTATTTGACTTCTTTCATGTGGCGTGGCTGTCTTGTGTACAGTACCTCAGTCCAATTGGTCATAGTACTCTTTCAAGTCTTCTGGGTCGAACACCACTCGAACCATGAGGGAACAAGAGGGGCAGATGGCTATGTCCTCACCATCTTGAAGATCATCTATGCCGACCGCGAACTTGTCACCACAGGGACACGGGTATTGGAACAACTGCGTTATTGGGTCGAAGGTGAAATCTTCTATTTCTATCTCATCGTATATCGTTTCCATTGCGATGAGCCAGATGTGCGATTATTGATGACTAATTTTTTTCTCTCTATGGAAATGTACCGATACAGTGAATCAGTTCAGTCTGGGGTTGACTAGGATATACTCCAGACGACACGAAGGAGGATATGAAGTTACTTTAGTTGAGCAGGAGCGTGGCCTACTATGGTACGGAAGCGTATAGCAGTAGTGTATTCAGTGCAGTCTGTTGAAATGTAGCCTCTCTGTCTTATCCAGGCTTCTGTGCATGCAGTACTTCTTTCTTTTTTTTTTTTCGCCTCTCTTCGATTTCCCTACCTTATCGAGCTGGGCCCTTACAAAATCGCCTACCTCAGCTCTACTGAACCCCATCGCTTCCTTTCTCACCATTGCCTACAGTGCCCAGGTCTTGTGTATGAGCCCTGCCGTCCTTATGGCCCATCGCAGTTTTCACTCAGTCCGCTCGTGCACCTAGGGCTTATGCCCCGTACTCTCTTTCGCGACACGTGATCTTCCTTCGCTGTTCCTCGAATTTTCTCTTGGGCCAGGCACTCTCAACCGCACTTGGTGACACAAAACAAAAATTTCCTCTGTACAGTTTCCCTCTGGTCCTCCCATACCGACCACCCACCCTGTCCCAGTTCCTCTTGTTGTAGTAGGTGAAAAAAAAAAGAAGAAAAAATTTCATATCTACAACTAGATTTTTATATTCTTGAAGACATATCAGTAAACCTTAAGTGTATGTAGCCACGATTCCAAGAAGAATAGCATAGACTAGCTCGTTGGAGCAAGACAGAGAGAGCAGCGATGGGTGAAAATTTTTATGCTGTCTCAAGACGAGCAATGTAGTAGTCAGGAAGCAGCCAAACACATCGAGATCCGGTCGATCAGGTAGCCAGAAGTTCCAAAATCGTGTGGACAGTGTCTCTGGGAGCATGCTTCGACAAGATGGAAGTGCAATTTGCATGCCAATGTGAGCGGCCGATGTGCCCAAGAATCTTTCGGTTGTGCAAAAATTTTTCACCTCATCAGACCAAGCTGAAATTTCAGAAAGACCGACTTTATTCGACGTTGGCATGGTCGTCTCAGTGTCGGGCCCACAGCGCACGAGCAACATGGTAGTTCTTTCCGTGATTCGATCATCCGTGGGCCTTTTCCTCGTGTTAGTCACACTGCTTATTCTATTCAATTATTCACACATAGTGTGTTTTCTTCTCTCCTTTCTTCGTCGTACTAACTATCTTACAGCAACATGGGTATTTCTAGAGATTCTCGTCACAAGCGTTCTGCTACTGGTGCTAAGAGAGCCCAATTCAGAAAGAAGAGAAAGTTCGAATTAGGTAGACAATCTGCCAACACCAAGATTGGTGCTAAGAGAATTCACTCTGTCAGAACCAGAGGTGGTAACCAAAAGTTCAGAGCTTTAAGAATTGATACCGGTAACTTCTCCTGGGGTTCCGAAGGTGTCGCCAGAAAGACCAGAATTGCTGGTGTCGTCTACCATCCATCTAATAACGAATTAGTTAGAACTAACACTTTAACTAAGTCTGCTATTGTTCAAATTGATGCCACTCCATTCAGACAATGGTTCGAGAACCACTACGGTCAACACTTAGGTAAGAAGAAGGCTGATGAAGAAGAAGTCAAGAGATCCAAGAAGGTTGAAAGAAAGCTCGCCTCCAGATCTGGTGAAGCCGCTATTGAAACTTCCGTTGCCTCTCAATTCAACGCCGGTAGATTATACGCTGCTATCTCTTCTAGACCAGGTCAATCCGGTAGATGTGACGGTTACATCTTAGAAGGTGAAGAATTAGCTTTCTACTTAAGAAGATTGACTGCTAAGAAATAAGTAATTTAGTCTCTTTACATAAACAAGAAAAAATATATACGTGTATATTAAAGGAGGTGTAGGACAGTGGGTGAAACAGAGCTGTAGAAAAGAAAAGAAAAGGAAGGTAGGTGCTGTTTAGTTTGGTGGGGGTAGTAATGACTAACTACCCAGTGGCCTGGATCAAAGGGAGCTAAAGGATTTGTTTCGAGACGGTTCCACTTCAACGGTGTTTTAGTGGGTAGCCCATGAAATTTTTCACTCGCTAATTTTTCAATTTGAGCCTGGCGAATTTTTCACTCGCTAGCGCAGCTCAACCAAGAACTTGGTTAGCGGGTAGGCCAACGAAAGGGAGAAGGTGCTTGGTCTGGCAAGTCCGTCCAGCTCTAACAATCGCACAGGTTGGGCTACATGCATCCTCCACTCATACTACACGCTTCTTTACACGGAATATTCATTCACATCGTTCATTAATCACTGCTAATACTAAACTAATTCAATATCCTAGACATTTGTTAGCATTTTTACACTTCAAATTTTTCATTCTATCGAACATTAATTCAGTAAAGGCAATATTTTATCCGCACCTTCTAAGCTCCGTAGAACCAGAATCAGTACAGGTCTGTGTTATTTTTTTTCATCAGGTTAATGTTCACTCTATCATAGTCATAAATACATACATTTTGTGATGCTGGGCTAAGAGAAAGAAGTCAACTACTACGACATCGTGCCAACTTGCTTTATAGCCAGGCCATGGAAAATTTGAGAAGCCTGTGTTGCGGGTAACCACGGTCGATGGTTAGGGTAGGAGGTTGCAATTTGTGTGCAGGAAACAAGGGAAAGGTATTTGCACCCAGAGTGGTTGAATGATGGTAGGGCAGGGAGGTGGTATTCCGGTTAGGTTCTTGTGGAAGGTAGCAGGGGAGCGCTAGTCAGTTAAGGCATGCTTGAACTGAAGGTAGCAGAGACGTCCATCGGCATTTAGGGTAGGAAGTTGCAATTTGTGTGCAGGAGACAAGGGAAAGGTATTTGCACCCAAAGGTGGCACGCATGAGGTGAAGGTAGCAGGCTTCCAGCGATGGTAGGGGTAGGGGAGGATTGCAATCAGATGGAGGTTGGCTCAAGCGTCGTAGCTTTTACTACTTGCCAATGGTGGCTGTACTTGAATGGAATAGTGCAGAAAGAATGTTGAATGAAGAAAGCAGGGAGGGTGTGCTTCAATAGGAGATGCCTGAATGCAAGATACTAGAGGAGGGTGTGCTTCAATAGAAGATGCCTGAATGCAAGATACTAGAGAGGCCTAATTCAGTTAAGGTGGGCCAGTATTAGCAGAAGTGGGGTAGTGGTAGCTGGGATGGGACTGGGGCGCTTCCGACTCTCGATCGTTCTCTCATCGTCGAGAAAGAAAACAGTAGAAAGGAACTCACTACTGAATATGCCGATGTTCAGGATAGCTCTTACGCAAATGATGAAATGCAGGCTCCTGGCATGTTATTGTATGATCTCTTCGTGATGCTTGCTCCTAGTACACTCTAGTGTAGAAAGGCTGCTGTAATGCAGCTTTCTCCTGGTACACTCCAATGTAGGAAGGCTACAGTATTACAGCTCTCTACAGCTTATGAAAAACTTCCTCATATAATATATTCATACAATCTTATCCTGACCACTCATCAATTTAATATGCGCTAGACGCTCAATTCTTATTACTTATCACAACCTAATATTCAATTTGTGTTGCATTGCTGAAAACTGCCAATGCTCCCATTGGATCCCATGGTGGTAAAGTAACAGATTGGCTATCATCCTTAAAAATGGCCTGGTGTTCATCGGTCAATTCTGTATCCTTAACCACAACTTGGTAGACATAGTCCTTGAAGTACTGGTGGTCCATGATATAGTATCCATCATTACCAGAATCCTTACCCCAGGAGTTTTCCACTCTCCATCTAACAGGCTTGTTCTCTTCGTCCAAGTGAACAGCAGTTAAAGTCATGGCATGTGTCATCAATGATTGGTGGTATTCAACCCTACTGGCTTTTTGCTGTTTAGCCTCGTAGTTGATCAACTTGTAGTCATACAACGATTCATCCATGATACCTCTCTTTTTGTCCATGTAGATTGGGGTGTGGGTCCCAAAGAATACAGCTTCTCCGCTTTGAATGCGCTTCACAGCATAGTCACTTAAATCATCGATATCAACGTTCAAGTACTTGACTGTCTTACCACCGACAACATTACCTAACTTATCGATCTTTATGTTCTTGTTGTATGCGTTTCTTGGATCATTCAATAAGGAGACACATTTACTCAAATCTTCACCCAAAACTTCCTTGTACAAGGAAATTGGAGTGAACTCGAGTTTACCATACTTATCATCTTTGTCGGTATATTCCCAGGACAATTGCTGTTCTGGAGAAGGTGGTGGGCCTAAGAAGATCACCAACAATCTGTGGATCTCCTTCTGCATGGAGAGCTTCAAAGCTTCAACGGAGTTGCCAGCCTTCAACTCATTTCTCAACACTTCTGCGAATTCTCTCAATTTGGTGGTGACAAGGAAATTGAGTGTTCTTGAAGCGGTGGATGTGTAAACATCAGGGAAAGTTTCCTGAGGAACCAATCCATACTTCTCTACGATGTTGATAAACATATCATACTGACCACCATCACCGACCGGGTCAGTCAACAAATGTTGAATAAATCTAGAATCAACTTCATCATCAGGGCTAGCAATGATTTGCTCGAGGAAGAAATTGGACTTCTCTAACTTATCATAAAAGAACAAGAATGACTGAGAGAATTGGAATTCCTTCAAGTTCAACTTCTTCATGATCTTGACTCTCAAGACGTTAGTCGCAGCAAATAACCAACACCTTCCTGAAGACTTTTGGTTGGTAACCGGAGCACCTTCAATTTCAATTTTGTTGTTGAAAACCTTGGTCGAATTCTTCAAGAGAGCCTTTCTGTTGATCAAGGTCTCATCAGCATTATATATTTGCAAAGCAGCGGCTCCGAGTTGAGTAGGTAAATCATTCTCGATCTCAACTTTCCATTCAGACAATGAAGCAGTAGATAAGGTGGAGTAATTGGACATTCTTCTTTTTTCTTTATGGTAAAACAAAGCAGTGAACAGAATATGGAAAGAGTACAGTCACCGATTAATTATTATATCCGGCGTGAGCCCTACTATTTATATATATAGAAGAGTTGCCTTTCATAGGACTTAGCTCCATGTACTTGAATTCATAACTATGCAGGCACGGCTCCTCGAACTGTGCCATCTAGTCCGAGCACCATACGGCGAATGGCCCTGTCAATATCCACTTTCCCCTATATAAAAAAGTCGAGTGTCATTAGTCTGATTCAAACCCGCGTTTCATTGTATTTGGTGGACTGCTGGATACACGAAAGGGAGATACCGTTGGTGCTCAGCTTCTGAAGGTTGTGGACTAGTCTACATCTGGCAAGCGATAATGCTGCAGATCTACGAGGAAAAAGAAATACCTGTCACGATGTCAAACGATAATAAATGCGGGACTTTCAGGGTCCTCACGCCTCCCTCACCTTTCATTGCCTTCATTGCCTTCATTGCCCTCGTCTCGGATCATAGTCAGATAGAAGCGGGATAATCCTGCTCTTCTTTGCCTCCTTGCTTGACTGATCAGCTCATCTCCCTTTAGTTAACTAGAGCTGTTCATGTTCAGCAAACGACACATTTTTGTTCCTTATAAAATAGGTCCCTTGGCCCAGTTGGTTAAGGCGCGGTGCTAATAACGCCGAGATCAGCAGTTCGATCCTGCTAGGGACCATTTTATGTCAAATTTTCCAGGGCGTGTGGCGTAGTTGGTAGCGCGTTCGCTTAGCATGCGAAAGGTCTCCGGTTCGACTCCGGACTCGTCCAGTTGATTTTTTTTAGCACTTCTTTTTTTTTGCAGCCACCACAAACGATGCAACCATACGATTGGAGGGACTGAAGAGCTACTCTTTCTTCTTGTAGGCATAGCATTTTGCTTAAGGAAATGTTACAACTATTGACAACTCTCAGATTAAAGATGATTGCAGATACAAAGCGGCCTCTTCAGGCACCTATCAACATGATCTTTTCCGGAACATATTTGTTTCCGCTTTATGTAAGTTTGCACCCAAATATTGTAATTGAGGATTGTCTATACTGACCTGGAAACATAGGGGATCTACTATTTCATTATCCACCCCTCTCTATGGCCGTTCTACTTGACCATTCTAGTACCTGAACTAGTATTCATTCTTCTTATTTACGTTGTTTCTTATATCTTGCTTTTCCCAGCACAAGCCATAGTAGCGGTGGTGTTGGCTGGTCCCGGAGGGCTAGTGGGAAGCTGGATCTCAGTCTTGCAACAGGCTAGTCACATTTCGACAATCCTATGCTCAATACTTGTCCTACCTGAAGTACAAAGAGTTGTATTTGATGCTGTCTTAAGCCGAGAATTCCAGAATGACGTAGTCTTATTGGGTAAGCTAAGAAGAGTAGTTAAAGTGCCATTCTTGGTTAGGCTTGGTCATTTGGTCTATTTCCTCCCAGCCTTGCTTGTTCTTCCTTGGGTAATACTTAGGGGGATTGTGTTGCTTGGTCTTAGTTCTGTTCCTTATATTGGCCCCATAATTGTGGCCATCCTACAAGCTTCTACTAAGGGCTTACAGTCACACTCAAGGTATTTTGCCTTGAAGGGTTTCGACAGAAGACAGGTTACTGCAATCTACAGAGAAAACACTGGCCAATATATGGGATACGGATTTATTGCCAATTTGTTAGATTCCATTCCAATTTTAAACTTATTCTTCATGTTTACCAATGCAATTGGATCTGCACTTTGGGTGGTGTCCATTGAAGAACAGATAAAGGAAATTGAAGGAGAACCAAGCGATTTTCCTTAGTGACGTCAGTACTATCTGAATTTCATCTATTAAATATAAAATTTGCTTCTCTAAACATGCCAATATATTACGACTCTTGTTCTATTGATATAGAACTCATCGCGTGAGCCCAATCCCAACGAATTACTTTCATAAAGGTATGTGTCATCGAAAATATACGCGGGCATATACTTAGGCGTATCAATACACAATATCTTTCTTGTCTAATACAAATAGATGTTGTCTACACATCCGAAACCTGCTGCTACACCACCTTCATTACTTGAACTGAATTTGGATCTTAATAACCATCCTGCATTTTCGTTTTCCAAAATTTCTCCAGACACTTCGTTAAATAAGATAGTACCAAAAACTCCTAACTCACTTATGATTTCTTCGTTGAAAGTTTCATCATTACGAATGATTTTATTTTTGAAATTTGATGGGTTTATGAGTTCCATCAAAATGTATGCACCCCATTCTTCTTCATCAATAGATTTCAAGAAGTCTGGAATATTTTCCTTATAGATATTGTTGCCTCCACCTTCACGTTGGGGTTTTAATACAAACAATTCAGGCTTTTCAAATGCCAATTTTTTCGCTATCTTTCCCTGTTCACTGCTATCTAACGGGTAGATACTAACAAACGTGGACAAAACTTGAGCCAATTCCTTAGACTCAATCGCTGGCAATAACTTTTTAATAATTTCTTCATTGGTAAGCAACTGTTGAACCTTTTTGGATCCACTCAATTGAGTTAACAAGGAGGGACACTTAATGGCAGTTGTATCTTCCAAGAATAATCTTGCACCCCAGGTCTTTTCTGGGCTAATCTCATAATCCGATGGAGCATATCCGGATCTATAATACACTACAGATATTTCATCCATGGAAGATTTTACATACAACTTGTCACCGTTAACTGTCAAATAATCTTGTACATCCTCCAATGTCACTCTGAATGACTTAATGTTATGGTTCTCCAAAAGCAGGTACTCAATATGCCTTTGGTCAAAACAGTTCCTCTCGCCGGGTTGAACAACGAATAAGATCGAGGTGGCGGTAGAGGAATAAGTAGAGTCAGCATTGGCCAACCCCTGCGCTAATTCGTTTATTGAGTTAGAAACTGGAATCTCGCCATCTTCATAGTATTGATACGAATATTCATTATCGTAACATCCAGACCTGTTCAAATAATTGTGCAATTTACCAACCTTTGAGGATAACCCACCGAAAGAAACACTTACGGTATTGAATTCAATTTGTTTGATTTCAGGTTGATCCACATTGTCAATGTCGTTAACCATGTAATCAGATCTGAAAACACCAAGTGACAAGGGCTGTTTAACTCCCAATTTTTGGGACTCTTGGTAAATCTCGTACAACTTCCCAGTGAATGTTTTATCAAACGGAGCCAAGAAGTCCAAAATCTCTAATAACCAGCTCTTTTCCTTGGTTACCAAGTTGATATAGAGCTCATTGAAGGTTTTCTGCACTTCAAGAGCATTATGAAAAGATTTCTTGGGGAAAGGGGTTGGGAATAAGGTTATTGGAGCAACAGCTGCACTATAGGATTTGAAATTTGGAGGGTACATTACTAATCCATTAGACAACGACCATTGTTGAAGTCTTTCTATGAGGTCTAATTTCTGAGCTTCATTCAAATCAGGGAACGGTTTAATAGGCATTGGGAATTGAAGAATTGAGCAAATAGAATGAAGGGAAGGGATGTAAGTGCACTATAAGGTCAAGATGATGTAGCACATTCAATAAGTTAACTGAGGCTTTCTTCTTTGGAAATCATACATGCGTCTTATCAAACTGATAATGAGGAGAGGTCACGTGAAAAGGTCGAAAGTGCAATTTGCAGCCTATTATGGTGTGGGAAAGATGTGGAGAAACGGGAAGAAGCAGAGATGAAAGAAAGAGAATGAGCTGAGAGCAACGATCACTGGAGAAATAGGGAGAGAAGAAGCTGGAGTGGTTGAGATTGTGTACTTTGAGCTCTCTCGGCTTCTAGGTGTAATAGTGAAATATAATGTTACCTCGAGTAAAATGAGCGTCTTGTACTGGCGAAACCCCCATCAATTCTCTTGAGAATATGAATAAATTCAAGGATAGACGTCGCCTCAATCCAAAATTAACATTTGATTGCAAGCAACGTCTTTGTTTACCTGTCAGAGAGGTGAGTTGGCCACTAGTTGACAAAACTACACCAGACCATTCTCAATATCCCAGGGAGTCCAATTTCCTGCACACCCGCCAAGCGAGAGATCAGTTTACCACTTAAAATTGTCCCTCTATTCTCCAATTGCAGGCACCATTTACCATAACAGGCCAAGTCGTTGTGTACGACAACCTTCCAACATAGTACAGTTATTAAACAGTTGCACAACTATGGAACCAAGCTAAGCTGTTCCAATTATACGTGGGGGTATGGATGTCACACGTGACTGGTGACTGCTTTTTTGTTCGCACAAGACACCTTTGTGTCACGAAAATCTCAAAATTCTTCACAATTTTGATACTATTAAGTGAAAAATCGATTGTCAAGTAACAGACTACTATACTTAATATCATCCATAGCCAAAAGTATGTACAGCATAACGTCATAGTGGAGACCCGGAATTATACAAATGTCAAGGGGACCCGCTAACTCCAAATCAGGGGCATATCAGATAAGGAAATCACAAGTAATCCTGAACTTCGCATAGTGGAATCAGAAATGAAGTCCCCCATATTTCCTCATACGAGCCCATTAACGAAAGATATGAACCCCTTGTAAATAGTGATTGCTTGAATCTAAGATACTAACATTACCCTTTTAGTGAAATACTTAGCTGCTTACTTATTATTAGTCAACGCCGGTAACACCTCCCCATCTGCCGCTGACATCAAGAAGGTCTTAGAAGCCGTCGCCATTGATGTTGAAGATGAAAAGATCACTCAATTATTAGCCGAAGTTGAAGGTAAGAACGTTGAAGAATTAATCGCTGAAGGTAACGAAAAGTTATCTTCCGTCCCAACTGGTGGTGCTGCTGCTCCATCCGGTGGTGCCTCTTCTGCTGCTGCTACTGAAGAAGCTGCTGAAGAAGCCGCTGAAGAAGAAAAGGAAGAATCCGATGACGACATGGGATTCGGTTTATTCGATTAAGCTAACCATAAAGAATATTAAAGCATTCATTATATATTTGTAATTATTCTAATATGTATAATACAGACCACCTACAGTAAACTCCACACAAAGCGCATCACGGCGCGTGTAGAACTCCGCTCACCAATAAACTATTAACTATGTATATTCATTCTAACATTTTATATGATTACAATTCATCGGCCACTGCCTTTCTCATGGCGTTCGGGTTCCCAAACACCAAGTGACGTGCTTCCAACATGCCCCTGTCAAATGCTTCGTCTTCGTCCGTGTAGTTGGCGATGTCCCTCTTCTTGTCGCCAGACGATTTGGCTCTGGTTTCGGCCTCCTCTGCTAGCCAGCTCAAGAATTCTTTACTTGGTTTGAGTTGCTTGTTCTCCTTGTGAATCTCGCTCAACTTCGAGAAATAGAGCCTGAACTGGGACTCGGAGCCGTGCTTTCCATCGACTAGCTGTTGCTGCAAAAAGTCAGAGTACTGCTTTTCCGGGTTTGCAGAATCCTCCACAGCCCTCTTGGAGTTCGATGACGATGACTCTGGGGTCAATAGGTTGATATCTTGCAATATGTTCACGAGTCTTGTCTTGGACTCAGCGCCAAGAGTGGGGAAAATTGCCACGAGCTGATCGAGCCCAGACGACGATGAGTGTCCAAAGTACTTAGCAGCAAAGTGGTCGTTCTGCGCCAATGCCTGTATTACTCCTAAGATTCTCTTTTGTAGGATATCAGAGTTGCTAGCACTCAATTCATTGAACAACTCATCGACAAAGCTGCCGGACTGCTTGGAGAGGAAGTTGTCCACAGCTTCTGGGTTGTTACGAAGGGCACCTGCCATAATCCTGTACGCTTTGTCTTGTAAGTTCTCCACTTTGATCCCTCCAAGCTTCTTGTCCAAATGGAGCAAGTTCTGGAAGATCTGCGGACTCTGGGTCAATTTGCACCCAAACTCAATGTCGTGGCTCAAGTCTTCCAAAGTGTCAAGTGCCTCAGAGACACGAGTCAAGTCTGAGTCGGTAGAAAGGAAGTCAATTTCTTCCACAGCAGCTGCGTACTCCTTAACATCTCCCAGAGTAACTCTGCTCTTAGCGTATTGTTCTTGCATGTTGTTCTGTTGCTGCTTGAACTCTTTGATCTTGTCTAAGATTTCCTGTTCGACTTCCGTGGCAGAATCTTGTTCTTGCTCTTCCGGTTGTTCTTGAACTACTAGCGAATTTTCGACTTGTGAATCGGGTTCCTCTTCTAAAATCTTTGCCTCCTTCTTCAAAGTGTCAATGTTTAGTCTAACGTGTAATCCTGGAGGAATGTCCTGGCCTTCTCTAATCTCTTGCCACTGGTCAGTGGGTACAAATATCTTTGGATAGCAATCAGTTGGGTCAGATGAAGAACAAACAAGTTCGGAATTTATGTCTACAATCTGCGCAGCGGTTAACGATGCCAATAAAAGAGCAATAGTTAACTTCATGAATTCGATACAGAAAGGAGAGTGAGCTGAAGTTGCTCCACACCTTGAGCTGGTTCCAGCGCAACCTTTATACGTCATACGTATCGGGTACTATATGCAGGCCATTAACATAGGCATGTAGATCTGGTACGCAGAGGAGCGTGTGCACTATTGAGCAGATAAGCTACAGTCTCAAGGAGGTATAGATTGCACTCCACCACTTTATCCGTTACCATAGAGTGAATAAGCAAGCATTCGGGTACCTTTTGCCAGCCTAGCACAGCGACTTGCATCTCATCGAATTAGACACTATATGCAGGACATAGACATATGAGTAGATCAAGAGCAGGCAAGCACCAGGCAGACACGAGTTTCATGGAACAACTATGCTGCTACGAAGGTTCAGTTTCTGTCCTATAATCCTTTATCCCCACGGCATATCAACTATGTACATTTATTTACCTCTCACAAGCCAAGTACAATAGTCTTGAATTTATCAGCCATTCATCTATGTGCAGGTCATCGATACCCATACATCAACCAGAGCCAAGCACCAAGCACAGGCATTAACAACTACGCTCCTACAGGGCCCAAAGTTCCGTTTTCTTATTCTATTAGCTATCATACAACAATAAATATGTATCTAATCATATACAACCTTTTTTTCCCTTTTTATGTTTTTTTATCCTTCCGAATGAAGTCTAAGCAAGTGCTAAAGCCTGTTCAATATCATTGATCAAGTCTTCGGTGTCTTCGATACCAACAGAAATTCTTATTAAATCGTCGTAGACACCATTAGCTTCTCTTTCAGCCTGTGGGATACCACCATGAGTCATTATAGCTGGAACTTCTATTAAGGATTCGATACCTCCCAAGGATTCAGCCAAAGTGAACAACTTGGTGTTTGAGGTGAAATCAGAAGCAGCTTGAGCACCGCCCTTGATTCTGAATGAGATCATACCTCCTCCCAAAGCGTCTCTGTGTTGTCTAACGACAACTTCGTGGTTGCGGTGAGCCTTTAAACCCGGGTAGTTGACTCTAGAGACCTTGGAATGCTGGTTCAAGTATTCAGCAATTTGCTGAGCAGAAGTGGATGCTTGTCTGGCTCTCAAGTGTAACGTCTTTAAACCTCTGTGAGCTAACCAAGCGTCGAATGGAGATGGAACAGAACCTAAAGCATTTTGCAAGAATCTGAATCTTTCGTGGAGAGAGTCGCTGTTGGTAGCGATGACACCCATAACAACGTCAGAGTGACCGTTGATGTACTTGGTGACAGAGTGGACAACAACGTCGGCACCGTGAACCAATGGGTTGGAAACGTAAGGAGACAAGAAGGTGTTGTCAACAACCAATGGGATCTTGATACCTGTGGTAGATTCATGTTCCTTTAAGATTTCTGCAACTCTGGCGATGTCGGTGACAGTCAAAGTTGGGTTGGATGGAGTTTCCAACCAAACCAAACGTGTGTTAGCCTTAATAGCACCCTTGACGTCTTGAGCCAAGTCAGGGACAAAAGTAGTAGTGACACCGTGGGTGTTGGCAACCTTGGTGAAGTATCTGTGGGTACCACCGTAAACGTCAGCACCAGAGACGATGTGCGAGTCAACTGGGAGCGATTGAACAATCAAGGCGGTAGCAGCGGATCCTGAACCGAGAGCTAAGGCATACTTGGCCTTTTCCAATGTAGCAACAGCGATTTCGAAGTTGTCTCTGTTAGGGTTGGCGGATCTCGAGTATTCGTAAACACCCAATGGCACAGAAGGCTTGGACTGACCGAAGGTGGTGGAGAGCGAAATTGGCTCAATAACAGCACCAGTGTGAGGATCAATTGGCGCACCAGCGTGGATGGCCTGGGTTCCAAAACCGTATTGGGAATCAGTGTCTTGAGTCATTATGTAAAAAATTGTATCTATGTATATTTGCGTATATTTTTATCGCAACCAAGAATCTCAGCGTCGTCTACCTACTTATATATAAGACACAATTTCCAAAGCAATAGCAAAAGAAAAAGAAAAGACACTTCGAAATATCCCGTTCTTGATTACTGAGCTGCTCAGCTAAGCAGAGCAGCGCAAGGTGCATAGGCATCGCATACGCGCGTGCACCCCAACGGCGCTAGAAGAATCCCAGAAAAAAATGCCACACCCCAATATACGAGAGAAACACCAGGGAAAAGCCAAGAGAGAAGAGCCAGAGAGAACAATTGGAGCCGTGCGAGTTGTAGAAGCTAGGACAATTCCAGAGAGAGCTCTGCTGGCACCTGTGTTAACGTGTTCATTTATCAAGATACTAGGGCCTACTTTCGTTCCCTCCAGCTGCTCTAGGACTTCATTCTCCGTCAATTGTAAGCACATTAATAATGCGACCATATTTTTTCGTGCGTTTCTTTTTTCTTTTTTTTTTATTTATTTTTTAGTTGATTACAGGAAAACTGTGGCGCGCCTTGGTCAAGCGCATGCCCTGGTATGCTGGAGCGCAGAGCTTGGGTATGGCTTCCCTATGCGTTAGCATGTCTAGCCATATAACGAGCAGCTAGGTGTGGTCGTGGTTTCAGAGTGCAGAGACCCTGAAGCTAATTCTACTCAGTACAATGCTAAAGAATTTCTTTTTGTTGCCTGAGCCTGGCATGAAGAGAGCCCCGTAGGTTACTCTGCAGCACCATTTGACTCATACCGAATGTGCTCTAGCCAGATTCTCTACAGGTCTTGAGGTGTAAACAAGTTCTCCAAAACGTACCCGAATAGGTGTAAGATGTATTTTTGTAGATGTTCTGTGTTACGCCTTGGTAGGCGTTTTTCTTTTCCCAAGACGTCAAGGTTTGCATCTTAGAGTTGCATACGAAATTCGATATGAATCGCGAATAGATCATCGCCGATTCATCGCTGCATACATACACTAGATTAGCAAGCCTAGTATGAAGTACCAGCTACTTTGTTGCGGGTCCAATGGATCGGGTCAACTTGGTGTGGGCAATGTCGATGATCACAATATTATCCAGAAGGCAGGATTTTTGTCTGACGGAAAGGATTTCATAACGAGTAAGCAACCGATACTGATAGCTTGCGGAGGAAACCACACGCTCGTCTTGCTAGAATCGAACGAAGTGTTTGCTACTGGTTCAAGCGAAAGCGGTCAGTTGGGGATAGACACCCAGTCCCAGATTAACAGATTCTTGAAGCTAGACGGTCTATGGAAGTTGGTTTCCTGTGGTTGGGAATTCTCCATCTTGGTTAGTATGGACGGTGTCGTGTATGTTTCTGGCTTGGGGTTGAAGGGAGAATTGGGCCTTGGCAAGACGCAAACCAGAACAACAAAGCTAACTCCAATCTCATTTACTTTTCCTGATATGATCATTGATGTGAAATCTTCCATGAATCATACGGTTGTTCGATTGGCGAATGGAGACTTTTACGGGTGGGGAGTTTCCAGAAAGGGACAGCTTGGATTGACAAGTGAGAAAGTCTTATGGACACCTACAAAACTAGAATTCGGACTCAACCCAAGCAGCTATACTGGGTACTCTGTAGGTAAGGATTTTACTGTTTTGTACGGCGATTCAGGGCTAAAGTTCTTTGGTACTCAAGATAAAGTTCAAAGATCCATACAGGAGAATACTGTTACCATTAAGTCTTCCAAAGTATTGTCAATGTGGACCTCAATTCATATTCTAGATGGAAACAGGCTAATTTCGTATGGTAACAATAGCCATGGGCAACTATTTCCAACTAAGACCGGCTTGCCATTCAAAGAATTTGCCGTTGGCAGCGAACATGGACTTGCTCTAACCAATTCCAATAGTGTCTATGCTTGGGGATGGGGAGAACACGGCAATTGTGGAGAATACAGCGAAACAGAAAATCGGGACGAGGTTACGTTCGATTACTTGAATAAGATTTACGAAGGGGATAATTGCATAGCAATTGCTGGTGGATGTGCAACTAGTTGGATAGTTACTCAACTTGTATAATAGAAAATGTAATAGAGTTCACCGTACTCAGAGTAGGAAGCAAAAAATAAAAAATAAGATAAAATAATAAAGAATACAATGTAGCTTGTTTTCTTTCATAAATGTCACGAAGTATCTTTCCCATATTCATCTAACGCTTAGGACGAACCGAGCTCAAAGATGGAAAATATGTTCAACGTATTTTGTATAGGGCGAAAGTATCACCAAATTTACCAATAGTTTTCTGGATCTCATAAATGTCTCAGATCAAAAACCCGAAACAGAAACCCGGAAAACAGGTAAACTAGCTTCTAATCGCCCAACTATTCATACTATACAACGTGTCAAAAATCCTTTATTGAAAAATAGTATAATATGAACAGTTTTAACCTACTAATGGCACATAGGTTAATAAAAAGAATGATGAAGAAACTCATCGAGCCTTCGAGAAAATTTGTAAAGAGTCCAAGCGCATAGAAAAAATCATTTTTGCGCGGGTGTAAGGGCGGGTAGCAAATATAAAGGAATCAAGGGCTATCAGCGTATGGATTTGAATACAATCGATTTGCTTCACCTTCATCCTGAAGTAGAACTAGTAAAAGCAGAAATACATATACATATATACAATGTTCGGGGTAATTTGCTCAGGAAGACCAATTCAACTAGCTAACCAAGTTGAAACGACCAAGTATGTAATAAACATTACCAATGCTTCTAATATCTCACACATAGCATTATTTTTGTTACCTCAAACCGAATTCACTGATCCAAACTTCACAGGGTTGGTATACATACAACTACCAAACTCACCCGATTTCAAATTATTGGGAGGAATAAACCCCAACAAACCTTCAGCTATATATAAACTAAACAATAACAATGCGAGCGCAAAGACCGGGGACCAGATAGACGATGTAGAAATGAACATTGATAACGCTAACATAAATGGTGCTGGCGGTGCGGATTTGAACTCGGTTATCAATATTGGTATATCGATTGAACCAACACCCCAGGCGGAACTATTGATACAGCAGGAGAAGGCTAAGCAACAGCAATTACTGGCAGGCAACTCCAGCGCTCTAGTTCCGACACCTAAGCCTTCGAGCACCAAGTTCCAGCCTAGTGATGTTGCTGTTTTAGCTAATAGAATTGTTACACATGCCTACAATTACCTAGGAAGTTTTATAGATAGCCAAGGGAAGGTGCCGATGAAGGCATTTGATACATGGTGGGATAAATTCAAGACAAAATTACAAAACAACCCAGGTTTCCTTGATGAGTTATGAGTAAGGTAATGCAAATAAAATAAAAATAGTGTAAAAATGAAAATTCACCATACTGTAGTATTATTCTAAGTAGTCTATGCTATTCTTTATAGATGGAAAGGCTGAGAAATAGTGTACAATCTACGCTTCACCCTGCACGCCATTACCACTACTAACTATATACTCCTGTATACATCATACCTCCCACTACTCATTACCAGGCCAAACACTGTGCTTCCTGTATACGCCAGAGCACCCACCACTTCTTTCGTGTCGCATCGAGAAAAACGCGCTTTAAAGGAAGCGTTTCGATCTCCAGAGGGTCGCAGATTTGGTCAACTAGACGTAATCATAAACAAGGTAGAAGAGAGTAGCCATAGTCACACTTTACACGTTACAACCTGCTCTCAAATACTAGTCACTGAGAATTAACCAATTTCAGATAATATTCGTATCTTTTCATGAGTTGGTATAAGAAAGAAGCGTCATCTCCAAAAGTACTGCTGCTGATTGAATCTTATGTACAGGTACCTAGCTCATCACCAATTAACATTAAATCTTCTCCAAGCAAAAACCACAGAGATCTACAACCACCAAGCAGATTGCAATTAGACAGCAACAGCATGGACGAGGAAGAAAAGCAGCGTAAACTTGAAGCCAAAAGACAGGCCATTAGGAGCCACCATGACTTCCCTGTAGTTCGTAGGAAATTCTATTATTTACAAGAAAGTGATATTTTCAAAGGTTTCGTGAAGGGTAAAGGTAACTTAAGAGACGTTACTCAATGGTTGACCGATAATTATGATAAGGAAGATATTTTGAGCAAAAAAGAAGAGGTGAACAGGGCGCTGCGCGAATCACAAGAGAAAGAAAGAAAGAGGCTCGAAGAAGAGAGATTCCGTCTTGAGCTAGCGAGTCGAGAGAGATTAAATCAGCAACTAGAAGATACTGGTGTCAATAGTTCCGATGTAGAAGATAGAACCAACAACAATATTAATGGCCATAACTCAGACTCTGAGATGCTGCCTGTGAAAATTGTTCGTGGCAAGGCAAGAGTGAAGCTGATAGATTCTTCACAGCCTAATGGAGACTCAGAATCACCAGCTACATCTGAAAATAAAGAAGATGAATCAACAAACGTAAACATTTCGAAACCCAGGGTCTCAATTCTAGACAAGTACAAGTATAAGCCGAAATCTGGTTTGACTCAATCCAGGCTCGATAGTTTATTCAAGTCATCGTCAACCGGTTCTTCAGAAGTGAAACCCCAGAAGAAGAGGAGACTCGTTCGTGCTTCGGATGCAAATGGTACCGAGTCTGAGAGCAATAATGATTCTGGTTCTGTGACCCCAATAACTTCAACAATGCACACACCTCCAGTGCCATTATCGCAGCTGTCTTCCTCCACTGCACTTCACAAATCCTTGGGGCACGATACAATTCCAAAATTGAAGTTAAAATTGCAAGATTTCGTTCACCCCAATTTCCAAGGTAAGGTTGATGTAGATGATGATGAGGAAGACAATGGTATAGTTGCAGATGACGATTTGGAAAGACTTGAAGAAAAGATCAGAGAGAATAGGAAATTGGCGAAGGCAAGAAGAGGTGGAGCAGCCGTAGCCGCCGACGATGACGAAGAAGAAGAGGATTTAGATGATGAGATGGAATTAGAAGATGATGAGCTCAGTGATGGATTATCACAGGAAGAAGAAGATGAACATTATGGTGGCTTGACTAGTATTGATTCACAAATTTTGGAATTCTTAAATGATGCTCCAAAACAAGATATTGTTGAAATATGTCAAGTACCTCCAGACGTAGCCGACGTTATTATATCGAAGAGACCCTTTGAAAACATTTATGCTATAGCCGAGGAAAAGTTTGATCAACTGACTCCACCACCAGATGATAATGCTGGTGTCAAAAAGAGAAGACAGAATATGAGAAAACCTCTCGGACAAAAGATCATCGAACTTACTGAGAAGAGCTTGAAAGGATACAAGGCAGTGGATTCATTGATTAAGAAGTGTTCTGAATATGGAGACCTTATCACCAAGCAAATGGAGACTTGGGGAGTTACTGTAACAGGAGAAGGAGAATTAGAGGTCGTCGAATTACCGAACACTCAAGATGGAACGGATGTGATTGAAATCAATAATGAGGATGATGACGAGGATGATGACGAAATAAAAGTTGTCAGCCATACAAATAAAAGCAAAAAATTACGATACTATGATGAAAAACCTTCCTTGCTTTCCTCCGATATTGAACTTAAAAACTATCAACAAGTAGGTATCAATTGGCTCAACTTACTTTATCAAAATAAACTTTCTTGTATATTGGCCGATGAAATGGGATTGGGTAAAACTTGTCAAGTTATCTCGTTTATGGCATTGCTCAAAGAGATTTCACAAACTAAAGATATATCTGAGAGAAAGAAGAGAACCTGTCATTTAGTAGTTGTTCCTGCGTCAACTCTTGAGAATTGGATGAGAGAATTTCAAAAGTTTTGTCCTGATATAATGGTTCAAGCTTATTACGGTAGTCAAAGAGAAAGAGAAGAGCTCAGATACGAATTGCAGGATCAAGAATTTGATGTGTTGGTAACGACATACAATTTAGCTACAGGTGCTGCACCAGATTTTAAGTTTTTAAGAAGTCAACCATTTGATATGATTGTTTATGATGAAGGGCACATGTTGAAAAATTCAACTTCGGAAAGATACACTAAACTTATGAGATTGAAGGCCAACTTTAGACTATTATTGACTGGTACTCCATTGCAAAATAATTTAAAAGAATTAGTTTCATTATTGGCCTTTATGTTGCCTGGCTTGTTCAGCGACAAGAAGGAAGATTTGGAAGGTTTATTCAACCAAAAGATTAGTACCAATGATACTCACAAAGACTACAATCCTTTACTTTCACAACAAGCCATTACAAAGGCCAAGACCATGATGACACCTTTTGTATTGAGACGTAAGAAGGATCAGGTTTTGAAGCACCTTCCTGCCAAGACTCATAAAATCGAATATTGCGACCTAAGTAAGTCACAAAAGAGTATTTACACTGAATACATGAAACAAGCTAAAAGCACTAGACTGGAAAGGGAAAGAAGAAAACTATTATCACCCAAAGAGTTAGTTGCCATTAATAAGCTGGATCCAATTCCTTCTTCTACTAATGTTATGATGTCATTAAGAAAAGCATCATTGCACCCACTTTTGTTCAGAAAGATATATGATGAAAAGAAATTGAAAATAATGAGTAAAGCTATTATGGAAGAGCCCGAATATGTCGAAGCCAATCAACAGTTCATATACGAGGATATGTGCGTTATGTCAGATTATGAATTGAACAATTTGTGTAAAAAATTTCCTCATACCCTTTCAAAGTATGTGTTAGAAAGGAAACATTGGTTTGAAAGTGGTAAAGTCATCAAGGCTCTTGAAATAGTCACTTCAGTAATGGAAAAGAAGAATAAAGTATTGATCTTTTCTTTATTTACTCAAATGCTAGATATCCTTGAAACTGCATTGTCATTCAAGAAGATCAAGTTTCTCAGACTTGATGGGCAGACATCAGTTGAATTGCGTCAGGATATAATTGACCAGTTCTACGATGATGATCTGATTCCAGTGTTCTTGTTGAGTACTAAGGCAGGTGGGTTTGGGATCAACTTGGTAGTTGCAAACAACGTCATAATATTCGATCAATCGTTTAACCCACACGACGACAGACAAGCTGAAGATAGAGCACATAGAGTGGGGCAAGAGAAGGAAGTGTTAGTAACTAAATTAATTACAAGGAACACTATAGAAGAAAATATGTTGCAGTTAGCTCAAAACAAGTTGGCCTTGGATCAGAGTATAAGTTCAGAAGATGGCAATGAGAAGCAGTTTGAAGAGAAGGCGGCCTCGTTATTCGAAAAGATATTATTCAGTGATGACTCCAAGCAAAGTACACCAATATAGAAGATGTATAGATAAGTATCTTAATAGGAGCCTCCCAACCCTCCCATGTAGATGTATAAAATCAACCCAATAATCGTCCTCTTACCGTGTAGATGTTTTAGATAAGTGTGCACATAACTCTCTCCTGTAATCAAGCTGCATACAAATTTTGGTTAATAAGCCACGGAAAAATAAAACCGGTGAAATATGCCAGTGCTCATCGAATCAAGTAGTTGGTGTACTCTTTAAAGAGCAAGCCTTACCTTTTAATAGAAATATCAGTAGTATATAGGATTATATAGAGGGATATATAGAAGTAGCGCATAAAATGTTCAGGAATTCTTTGCTTAAGACTTCAGGCCTTCTCCGTAGGCCATCGCATCTCAACAGAACACCGTTCGTGCTGTTTAGAAACTTATTCATCCAAACAGCAGACACTCCGAACGAGCAAGCGTTAAAATTTTTACCTTCCATGCAAATATTGAACGAAAATGAAACCAAAGAGTTCTTAAGTGGAAGGGAAGCAGCTATCTCACCCTTAGCGGTCAAGCTTTTCGCTATTGACGGGATTAAGTCCGTTATGTTTGGATCTAACTTCATCACAATCGAAAAAAACTCCTCAGAATTTCATTGGGCGTTACTTAAGCCTGAAATATTCTCTATATTGACTGAATTCTTGACCAGTGGTCAAAAATTGATAGATGAAGATCATCAGAGTGGTTTGACTAACGACATGGCCATTAATGAAGATGATGACGAGATAGTTTCTGCGATCAAGGAACTCATCTTCACTAGAATCAGACCAGCTATCCAGGACGATGGTGGTGACTTGGAGTTTGTAGATTTCCTACAGGATGGTACAGTATTATTAAAATTAAAGGGGGCATGTAGATCATGCGATTCCTCTTCTGTAACTTTGAAAAATGGGATTGAGAGTATGTTGAAGTACTATATTGAAGAAGTTCAAGAGGTTAGGCAAGTTGAAGATGATCATGTTTTGGACCCAGCTCTAAGTTTTAAAAGTGAGTACGACGGACCTGAAGTTTTAAGAGAAGAAGAAGAAGTAGAAGGTCAGCATAACACCATTGAATCTGCTACTGTCATAACTCCAAGCAGAAGAGGAGAAGCATCACCACCAAACTTATGAGACTAAACTGTAAATAGAACACTTATATATAATAAAGAATAAAAGAAGGGATTTCGATAGTCAAGGCTGACAAACCTATTACATGTGTACTACATAATAAAACATTAAAAAAGTTGCTATCTATTCATCCAAACGTTTTCTTTGTTTTTCTTTTTCAAACCAATTAAACTAAACACTGAAATCTTGATAAATACAAAAGAATAATCATTTCTGCTATAATGCAATATACATTGCCTTTTCATACCATTATCTTTTTCGATTAATCGATCCATTTTTTTTTTTTTTTTAATTTATAATTTTGGAATTCTGCTATTTAAATCAATCTTTCTCTCTCAGTCTAGTGTTTTTTCCAGAGACTGGTTTGGTGTTTTGATTGACACCACCAGTTGGACTGTAGTATGGATAAATTGGGACCATATGTGGTGGAGGTCCTTGTGCCGATGGTGGAATTCCAGGTGGCCCATACATAATAGGATGATGTTGAGGAACATTAGAATTGTCTATGTAGGCTTCATTGAAAATTGGCGAAGAAACAGGAGGAGATTGAAAATAAGGTGCATAAAGCCCATTGGGGGGAGAATTAGTTTCCAATGCTTCGCTGTACTCCTCGCTTTCGGGCCCTCCAGGTGATCTATCTTCGAATGACATTCTACTAGATAAAAACCCATGTGGATATCCGTACGTAAAATTGACATATGGATGGTAATAATAGTTCTGGTAGTCAGTAGGTGGAACAAGTGACTGCCAGTTCATCATTGAATCCTGACGTGGGAGATGGGGCTGCTGTTGTTGTTGATGCTGCTGCAACGCCGCCGCTGCTGCGGCTGTAGCTGCTGCTACCACTGCTGAGTTGGAAGCTCCATTGGGCAACAGAGTTGGTAAACTAAACCGTTTATAAGCTGGCAAAGAGTTGAAATAATGCACATTGTTACCGTTGTTACTACCATAGCTAAAGCTTCCACTGCTATTACCACCATTCATGACAGGCATACCCGAATGGTTGTTATTGTGGCTATTGTTATGGCTGCTCTTTTGTAATGCAAAAGAAGTCAGAATGCTTATTTTATGATCTTCGTTATCATCATTTTTAGCAATGCTCTTGTTATTGGTCAACAAAATGGCACGAAGAGCCATTTTGAAATCTTGATAAAATACAAATCCTATCTTACCGACCAGAGTATTGGAATTAATGGACGCATTATCCTTTCCATTCTTTCCAGAATAAAATTGAGGCTTGATGATTCTTGCCGATTTAATTCCTTTATTTGGAGAATCATTGCTCCCGAATTGCATCCAGAATGATTCCCATAGTTGGTCGTCATTCTCAAATAAAATAGGAAAGTTGTTTACGTAGATGTTAGTTTCTTGGTAGTTGGACTTCTTGAGAAATTTGTTCAAAATTGTATTATGTAATTGTGGTGACATTGTTTCAATTGACGAAGTCTTGTCGAAGTTAAGTCCTGTAGTAAACACAAATTGTTCAGGGTTGTATTGATATAAGTTCGAATTGTGTTTATGTTGACCAATTGACAATTGAAGTTTTACGGAACTAGCACCAATATAATCATTACTACCATTTTGAATAGAAACAGATGTGGCTGCAGTGGAAGTAGAGCCCTGGGAGTCTCCAGTACAAGGAGTACCATCATCACCATCACTCAAGTCAAACTGATCGTCATCTTCGTCCGCAAATGCATTTTCAACAGTGACCAAGTCCTCTATATCTTTTGCAGCTGCCGGAACAGTTACTTCATCTATATCTTCCTTGACTAATAGCATGTCATCTTTAATATCGTACACATCTTTCTTTGTGAACTTGAAGAACTCAGTCGTGGTCAAATCCGATAAATAATACAATGCCTTCAAGCTGTTTACGTTGTTCTCGCTGTACTCAAAATCAATATATCCAAAATTCGCAAGCTTAAAGTCAGAGGTGCCATCCTGTGCACCATTGCTATCTTCCACCGGTACCAATGGGAAGAAAGCAGAGGATATCTCACCAAAGATCTCAAATTTATTCAATACTCTTTCAATAGATTCGATAGATGGATTTACTTCAGTTATAAATTGACCCAAGTTCTCAATGAATATTGTACTGTAGTCATGGTTGTTGGAAGATGTACTGCTATTAGCGTTGTTTCCCGCACCAGTGTGCAGAGCGGTTGAAGCACTTGTCTGCAAACCAGCAGGTGGGGATACGGGAGGAGAAGTGATTGATATGCCATTGAAATTCATTTCCAATTCGTCATTCACAAAGTCCTTAGACTGCTGCCTCAATTTTCTTTCCCTTCTGGAAATATATCTATTGATATAGATATTTCTTCTTGAATCGTGGTGGAATGGGTTGCTCTCAGCCTCTTCGCTGGAATTCAGAATCAAATAATCAGCATCCAAGTGGTTGTCGAAATTCAAAAATGCAAACGATTCATTGTTGTCCTGTGGGAATAACTTGACACTATTCAAAGAATTATATTTGGAGTTCTGTTGGAAGTGTTCAAATAAATTCTGTTCAGTTATCAAATTTGTGGATAAATTCTTAATGAAGATATTTCCAGGGTGCGAGATACACAGATCGTAGTTGAACTTCAACGATATGTCAGTCGACTGGTCACTATATTTATCGTGAAGTAGTTGGTATAGCTTCTGAGCGGTTACCTTGGTAGCGAGGCATATTATTATCGAAGAATTGATAAGTTCGATATCCTTTTTAATATTTAAATTTAGTTTAAATAATTCTTCATCTGAAGAGACAATTTTCAAAATTTCTTTGTACACCAGATAAGCGTTGTTAGCGCATGAAACAGTCAACTTGACAGGAAAAACAGAATCGTAGGACTGCTGCTGAGCATCTGCGGAAGTGGAAGTGGAAGGTGGTGCAGTACCCGTTGACGTCGAAGAGGGCGAAAGGACAGGAGACTTGGTAGTTGATGATGTTGTACTAGTAGTACTGGTACTCTTCTGAAATGGCACGGACAGATTGTCGGGAATTGCAGCAACCGGTTTCTCCGACTTTATCACCGTATCTACGTCCTGAATAACATACTTGTTAATGTTTAAAATAAATGAAACTTGATTATCCGAAGAACTATTCATAGTCATGAGGAGACACCCATATATGTTAGTCAAAGAAATTCGAAATAGAATACGAAAAGAGAAGTGTCATAAGAAAAGCATCCCTAGAAAGTGAAAATTTCAAAAGTTTATGAATGGCATGGCATGTACCTATGTAAACTAGTGCATTATGGTGGTTTCCGCTTCCTATATGCTTAAACCCTATATCCGTATGCACGATTCACCTATAAAAAATAAGTAATGCAAGCCATATCAATACGGTATTAAATCCGCATGGGTTTAATTCTTTTTTCGATCTGATCAGATTTAGATTTCCCAAAACACATTCAACAGCTCGGGTCTTCGCTGAAGGAACTCTGAGGACCTGGAAATTGGGTAATTGGGATTCAATTCGAACTGGCCCTACGAGATTGAAATTTTCACTTCGGAGCCTGGATAAACGAAAAAAATAAAATAAAGATTAATAATAAACGTTTTTTCAACCTTAGACAAAAAAATGCGGAGTAGTATACATACAATAATTAGTACAGGTACTTTTCGTTTCCTGTGAGTCACTATCGGTGGAAAGTAAAAATAGCCCAAAATCTGTGTTCAATTGGGTCAATTGAATGGAATTGGTAGCAATTGGTAGCAATTGGATGGGATCTATAAAACCGAAAATACAAAATTACAATTGTATACGATCAATTTCACAATGACATTCAAGCTTGAACAGTGTTAGACGTGAAAGTGAAACAAAATATCCAAGAAGAATAAAAAATACCAAAAGGAAAGGAAACAGCAGAAAGAAGAGAAAGAATCCAAATGAAAAATTCCAGCTTCGGGATCAATTGATATTGTTGTCTATATATGTACATATATATATATTTTATTCTAAATGGTAACCCCGAAAAAGTGAAGTACAACTGACACTGCCTGATATGTAAGGAATAGCTTATTATCTCACCTGCAGATGAACAAAAAATACACAGTACACACGATTTATCTCTATTTGAAATTTCCAAACCTTCTCTTGTATTATTTTCTTTTCTTTTTTATTTTCTTTATTTCTTAAAATATCCATTTGTTTTCATTTTAGTTTAACAAAAGGGGGCCATCTTTAGTACAATGTACTACTTGAGCGTATTTGATTACTCACCTTCTAACCAAATCTTATATAAGCGCATGCCGCATGCAGCCCAATTTTGCAATGATTTTCTTTTTTTTAAACAGATTTGAAAAATTAGCGAGCACTTTTTCTCTCTCTTAAGCACTAAATTGAAAAATGGTGCATAGCGATGTTCCAGAACAGACAATAAACATAGCGGGAATTGATGCGGAACTCAATTCAGAATGTAAATCAATTGCATAAGAAAGGGAATCTAAAAGTTAAATCTTAAATTGGGGTACAGATTGAATGCCAATAACAAAAGAGACGTACCTCTAGGTCATTGCTATTTCAAGTAACTTGAGCTTCAATGCCTTGCATAATGGAAGTCAAATTGGCTTTCTCTTTTTATCTGTGTCCCTTTCTTTTTTCTTTGTATCGGAATGTAGCAGATACTAGTTAAGGTCATCTAATCGGCAGCCGAAACATAAAACTTACATAATTAAAGATTAAGTTAACTAGACAATCGAATGGCAAAACCTAACTACGACGCGACAATTAAGAATCGAGTGGCAATTTTGACATCATGTAGTTCACCCACAATAGGAATTAAAAATAAAAGGTACTACATGAAAAAGAAATCAAAAAAAGTTTAGTCTTCAACTGGCGTTCTTCTCAGCCTAAACTAAGCCTCTGTGTAGCACCACCGCTCCCGGGTCTAGGATTGTGGACATTAGGATACTGGGATTTAGATGTTGCTGCGAGTGCTCCACGCTTCAGTGGGCTGTATCAATAGGAGTAGAATGCGGGATGCATAAGATCTGGGAGGACTATGATAAGGAATAGTAATTCGCTACACTGCCACGTCTCTCTTTCTTTCTTTCTTTGTGTGTGTGCATGTATGTGTGAACCAGTGAGTCAATGTGTATGTGTAAGATCATCTTTTTCTACAAGTGGAACATCAGGACGTACAGGTACGATGCAATGGTCGACGTCCGGACGGCTGTATCTAATCAAATGGTTTTGAACATATCTCTCAATATGCAATCCTGAATTCTATACAAGATTGTGAAAAACTTCTGCAACATGCATCTTCTTATCCATATACATAAAAAATGCTCATGTGGTGTGGGTTAGTAAATAAGTTTAACCTTAACCCAATTAGCTAGAAGGCATTGGAGAGCTAGAAGAGTTGCCTAGAGATACACTGGCGCAATAAATAAAAAACGCCGTGTGGTAATCGCTTTTGACATGATCTTCTCTTTCATGTGCACAGTACACGTTCGTAGCCCTGAATGCTCATGCTCGTATTAACAGAATAATTTTTTGATCACGAACTGTACTCTTTTTTTAGAACATATTATTAAGCAGAACTTGTTGTTCGACTAATTGGGTTGTGGCCGTGATCCCAATATGAGATGAAAGTATAAACCAGGAAAAGTGTTCATAATGCTAGAGAGAGAGAGAGATAGAAGGAACAATGTTGCAAAAAAAAAGAAAGTGAAAGAAAGTCATTGCCACCTTTCATATGTATTCATGAACCATAGTGCTTGATATTTTTTAGGCAAAAAGCTACCTTTCATTCAATGTATGAGCCTCAGAACGCTATCTTCATTAAAAGGTATGAGCCTCCAATTCGACAGACATGAAAATATATTCAGGAATATCCGACAGGTCGGAATAATTACCCGAGTCTAATGAACCTACTCACTCAATTTTTCACTCACCACCCACCAGTTTATTATCTATGAGGACATAAGCTTAATTCCTGAAATAGGGTTTCTTTTACCCCGTCAACTTAATACGGAAATAAACTCCGAACAAATTGCTCTTCTCTGTAGGCTACCTTACTGGATCTAATTTTTTTCACCATTCCTTCTATTCTGTACGCCAGTGTCTATTCTTAGGCTACAGAAGCGATGCAAAGTTGGGGTTGCATTTTAGTGGCAAAAATAAGGCCCAAGCACAACTAGCTTTTGCTACCTAGAATAGAGTTCTACATGCTAATCGTATGATTTTATTTTATTTTTTAGGTCACAGTACTGCGGTTGCCCCAGGTACAACCTTCAAAAGACGTTTTATTTTTAAAAGGGGAACTCTATTTTGATGATGTTAAGAACAAAGTGGCACTGCTCCTATGTAATGTCGTATATTTAAGAAGTGGTTTGGAGAATGTCACGAGGGGGAGGGGAAAAAACTATTGATATTCAGATATCGTGCATGGCGTGTGTGCAGGCATCGATTGGATTTGAATACACAGGTGAAGTGTGTGTGCAGGAATCTATTGAATTTGAAGACATGGGTGATGAGTGTGTGCAGGAGTGTCTCGTGATCAGAAAATTTCTTGATAGTTTGGTGATCGGTGAAGCAAGCGGATACATAAGACAACTAACAAAGTAAAGACCCTCACCAACTGTGAATATTATAGTGCGGATACAGTGTGGATACAGTGTGGATATATTTGTGATAATTCATCATGTCTGTAGAGTCCAGTTACGTAAATGTTGTAGACAAAAAATTGGACGTTCCCTTTATTGGTTCGCTCGACGTAATGATCTCAGCACCCAAAGAGCGTCCGTCAGCAGATGCTCGAAATAAGACACCCATTACTGTGCATATCTCGAATAATGGGTCTCTGAATCCTATTGGGTGTTATATTTACTCAATTCCAGGGGTACGTAGCGAGAAATCAATCTCTTCGTGGTTGCAATACGACGGGCCATTCCCTTTCTGTTTGGCTTCGGTCAAGCTCCATATCTCGGTCAATATGCAGGACACACAGAAGGACCCCCACTGAAGTGAAAAAGCTCTGGTCCATATCCCCTCTATTTTACTGTCTATCTACTAACCTCCAGAGATCTGGAGAGATCTATAGCACTATCCTAAACAATTCTACGGAGTCTCTTTTGGATTTAACGAAGAAAGTTTCCACCCTTATCTCCAAGAGGTACAGCTCTCCATCGTACGTTAACATCAACGGGAGCTTTGGAATTGAAGAATTCACACCCATAATAGGGTCTCTAATTAAAGAAATAGAGGATGTTTATGCCTCGCACTAGCCTATACACTATGGATATAATGCTAATACACGAAATAAACAAGGCTGGAATCAGATAAACCACCCCATCTGCAACACTATCCATGTAGCGTATGCAGGACTTGGTATGCAGGACCCCATCATCTCATCTCGGTGATTTTTTTTTTCTTTTAAATTTGTTTGATTTTTCAGTCTCTAACTACTTTTAATACTCCATATTCAGAAGGTTAAAACATATCTCTATATATAGGCAGTATGGAAGCTGGTAGACCGCAAAGTAAGCTGCAGAGATCGAGAAAGGGGAAGAGAGCATGGAGGAAAAACGTTGATATTGAAGACGTTGAAGCTGGGCTTGATCAAAAGCACGAACACGAAAGAGTTTTCGGAAAAGACTTCGAAGATAACGATTTCATATTGGATACTGAAGGAGATTCGAAATTGATCAAGAAACCGCAGTCCAAGAAATTGAAGAGTCAGGAAATTCTTGACAAAAGATCAAAATTCCCAGCCTTAGATGTTGAAAGAAGCAATAAGAAGAAAGTACAAGGTGTTTCCAAGAAGGAGATCGGCAGGTTGATGAAGCTTTCCGGTCGTCATCAGGGCACCACCGCCTCACAAGCTAGATTGCTTGAAGACGGACTCGTTAACACTAACATAGATGACCTTTGGGCGCCTGTAACGGAAGACAACACTCCAGAAGAGTTCAAGAAATCTTCGTACACTGAATGGACCACACCTAAGAATCAGCCTAAGACCTTAAAGGAAACTCCTATAAGCATTAAGCAGACCAAGGCCGTCATAAATTCCGGAAAATCGTATAACCCATCCTTTGAGTCTTGGAAGGCATTGTTGAACGAAGAATTTGTAAAGGAAAGCAGCAACGAAGAGAAGCGTCAATTGCTAAAGGAACATCAAGAAAGAATCAAGCACTTGATAGCCACCATGAACGACAATGAGGAACTTGACAGCACAGACGATGAGGCGGAGAAGAGCGCAGTTGAAGTAGATGAAGACGATGAAAATATCAAATTATCCATCAACAAGCCTACTCAAGTAAGGATCAAGACCAAGACTAAGAGAAACAGAGAGCGTAAGCACAAGGAAAGAGAAGAGTTACAATTGAAGTTGAAGGAATTGAAGACCCAAATCCACGAATTGGAAAAGTTGGAAGTTTACGAAGAAGAGGTTACCCAGAAACTCTCCAACACCAAGAAGAAAGTTGCCAAGGCTCCAAAGAAATTGTTCAAGTACAACAACTTGGATGACCAATTGGAAATTAAGCTTTCCGATGAAATCTCTGACTCACTTAGAAAGTTGAAGCCTGAAGGTAACTTGCTTTACGATGAAATGAAGAAATTGCAGAATAGTGGGAAGGTTGAGGCCAGAATCCCGGTATCTAAGAGAAGAAAGTACACTCCCAAGATTACTGAGAAATGGACATACAAGGATTTTAAATAAACCACATTTACTTCTCGGCTATCGAGTTTTTGTTGCATTTAAAGGGGTCCTTATGGCTCTGTTTCATATAATACATTCATATTAAGATACTTGTTGTGTCGTGTTGATGTATTTTTGACTGACATGTAGATGTTCTTCGTTCATAGCACCACTGTAGACGTAGTTACTCTCCAGGGAGCACATCCAATTTAGTACAGTTACTCCCCAAGCCTTTAGTACAGCTACTTGTTAAGGAGCACACCCTTTAGTACAGCTACTTGTTCAGGAGTTGTCATTGAGTTGTCAACGAGTATCATGATCATACTGTGCTGCTTACACATACACCCTTCCATGCTTACATGTGTACCTTTTTGTTCTTGTATTGCCACTAGCCTATGTGCTCGTAAGCTCTTCTTTCCCTTTCTGCTACAGACATACCGATGAGATACACCACTCCTACATCTCTTTCGTTCTAGCTTTCTTTTATTTTTTTTTATATATTTGTATACTGATGTACTGTTTGCATGTCGCCGTGTGACGCATGCACTATGTGTGACTTTATATGTGTGCTTGTTCGCTTTACTGTGACTAGTTGTGATAGTCGGTGTGGGTGAGATTTTGATCCTGCAGATTCTAAGACAAGTCCCAAACACCAGAGACATAACCCTTGTATAATCTTTCTCTGAGAAGGAAAAATTGGTTTCTGTTTGCAGTCCAGTATTGCTCGAGTTGTGGCTGTTGAGTCTTGAAGTGTTCTGGAGCAACGGCTTCACTGGTTTGTCCTCTTTTGACCCCAGTCAAGAAAAAGTCTCTCTTCATCATGGTTTCATCAAACTCGTCCAAGTCAAATCTGTCATTCTTCCAACCATTATCCCAATATCTAACGAAACCAACACCATGGCCGGCAAGGCCGAAAAAGGCCGCCATGATGGTATAAGGGATCAACCCTTCGAACGGAATAGCCATGTTACTTAAGTTGTATTCGTACGGTCTAGTAGTGGTTAAAGTGATGTATTTTTTTCTCTGTGCTTTTTTCTGTACGCATAATTTCGAAATAAAGTTTCCTGATTGGGCGGGAGAGTGGTCACGTGATGAAGTGAAAAAGTGCTGCTGGGGTAGCCTTGAAGTGGTGGAGGGCTCTATACTTATGGTGAAAGTCCACTTGCTGGGAGTGGCAATTAAGAGGAGATTACGGTGAAGTGCTACACGGTGCTATACTTACGGCAAAGAGTGGACTGTTCGATTGGTACCTAAGAGAAATGGTTAGAACACTGTACTTCAGGCCATATATAAGGGGCTTGTTTGCTTGCTTCACCCAAGGAGGCAAGCTACTCTGTATGTCTCAGAGCATCTTTAACAACTTCACTTATGGTCTGCTGGTATTAACTCTCTCTCTCTCTCTCTCTCTCTCTCTCTCTCTCTCTCTCTCTCCTCAATTCAGTCACCTGTTTGGCTTCCATTTCCTATTCTTCCCATAACCTCTTTACAAATCTATCCATCTTCACATTTACCTTCAGCTGAGCTATGCTCCAGGGATGTGACAACATCTGATCTGGCCCTGGCCTGTCCTGTGGCTTCTTCTTCAAGCAGTACTTTATGAAACTCTTGAAGGCCGCTGACCAATGTATGCCCTCCTCTGGCACATCTCTCAATTCTGGTTCGTACTCTAAAATCAAACTCAATAATTCAATGGGCCCCATTGTGCTCAATTCCTCCTCTCCTTGTGTATTAAATGGGAATTTGCAAGTGGCTACTTCCAACAATGTCAAACCAAGCGACCAAACATCTGATGTAACAGTGTATGGCTTTCCCATGATTCTCTCGGGCGCCATATAATATTGAGTACCAACAAACGTTGTCGCCAACGAGTTGACTACTTCTCCACTGACTCCGAAGTCACACAACTTGACATGGCCTTCAGAGTCCAACAATATGTTTTGAGGCTTAATGTCTCTATGAATTATTTTTTGTTGATGTAAATAATCTAGCCCCTTTAATACGGACTCAGATATCTTTCCTAAAACCTTTTCGTTTATTCTGTTGGCAGGGTCCAATTCAATGACTCTGTTGTAAATGGAATCCAACGACCTCCCGCCCATGAACTCCATAGCTATCCCTATCATCAGTTGTTTCTCCATAAGAAACGTACCGTAATACTTGACAATATATCTACTGTCGCACGATCGGTTATATTGCAATTCTCTTATTATCTGTTTTTGTATTTCCGGGTTGGGATCAGCATTTATCAACTTCAAGGCAAAGATTTTACTACATCCCTTAAGCTTACACTTGGAAACACTACCACCGTTCCCCTCTCCTAGTTTGTTTAACTCCACTATCTGGTTTGACCTGGCAACTTGTTGCCAGTCTTCTGCTTTCAAGTCTTCCAAATTTTCATACTGTAATTCATGGTTTTGGACAAGCGTGGAGGGTGAGGGCGAGCGAGACCGTGACCTCACGTTGGATAAGGGTACACGGATATGAGAGTCATGCTGAGGATCAGCGCTGAGATGGGATGAAGTAGATATTTGAAGAGACGGCTTTGAATGGGTAGTTGATCCACTGTTAATGGTTGTGGCTGTGGTTGGAGTATCCAGTGGATCATCTAAGTGGTTGTTGTTGCTGTTCATACTCGAGTTCAAAGGATTCGGTAATATATTTCCTTTAGAAGTCATCTTTGCCTCGCTGGACTCACTAGTTGTGGAATCAAGACTCTGTAAGGAAGTCAAGCTGTGGTTTGTGGTCAACGGTGGAGTCTCGATGGGGGTGCTCATTGATTTGTCAGACGAAAAGGAATGAGAGCCATTAATCTTCAGGAAGTCGATAGGAGGTGGTTTCCTACGGGGTGGCTTTTTCGACGTGGCAGACAAATGGCTGCCCGTGTCGCTGTATATACTATTGGTGTTGTTGTTATTGTTATTATTATTATTAATGTTGTGGTTGTTGTGGATGCCCTTGCCCTGTGATGATGGTGTTGTGATTGCTAATTGATCCATGCCCAACGAGTCGGGGTTCTGCAACGATACTGGCAGTGGTATCAAAAGTAAGGGCGGGATTTTCGAGTTGCGGTTGACTGTCGGAGGGACATTGAACATGGGTATGTTGGTCATGAGTCGTGAATATAATAAAAGAAAATAAATAGCCAGTAAATATGTTAAAGTATGTTGTAAGTTGAAAAAGAAAATATGTAAAATTTTTTGAATTGAATAGGATGTCCTGCGCACACGCCTAATATGTAGCCATATACGAGAATTAAAGTAATATACTAGTATCAAATATATGAAACGGGTCTAAAAAAGAAGTGGTGTATTTCTTTATTTTCGTGTGCTTGTGGTCTCTCTCTGTTCTCACCGTTTCCAGCTTACCGTAATTGATTACTTAACTTTATTTTGCAGGGTTGTTTTTTTTCTTGCGAGCATTTGTTACATCCTTCGTATAAGTAGGTAGCATAGATAGTCACGAAAAAATCATGCACATAGAAACAGAGGAGGAAGGGATGGGTGAAGGGAATGGGAGGTGGGAAGATGGGAGAGGTGTCACGTGTAGTGAGTTGAGATCGGCAGAGCTTGGTAGAGGTTCGTAGAGGTTGTTTGGGGTTGCTTGGGCTTGTTTAAGACAATGGCACTGCAGGTGCTCTTTCTACTGTGCTCAGACTAGATTCAGGGCTAGGTGAGTTGGTGGTCTCGATGTTGCAGCAATTCGGCGCTCGCAGCATGCAAGAGGCTCGGACCATGTGGAAGAGAGCGTTTCTATTTTTTTTATTTTTCTTATTGTTCTTCTCGTTCTTCTTCTTTGCGTTTCTTTTCTTATCTTTTTGTCGTTCTGAGTTTCTGGTGCTGTGTTTTCATCGAGTGTAGCTGGTTGGCCATGGTCATGTACACCAGCTTCTTCTCACTCAGTTCATACAGTTTCTCATCTGGCCCGAGGTGCCTCTGGAATCGAGAACTAGTCAAAAATGCGATGCAACTTGAGCGTGAAAAAAATATTTTCTAGGCTTCAAGGCAGCGACCAAATTGCAACACACTTGCAATCAGCCCTGGCTGGGATATAGCAAAAAAAAATATTAAATGAAAAAATAAAGAATTAAATAGAAATCAGCATTTAACATTTGGCATTTAACATTGTACAGGTAAGATAGGCTTTCTGTGTAAAAGTCTCCACATTTCTGCAGCCTCTGTTTCTTTTTCTTTTTCTTGCCTTTTCACGTTGTCTCTATCTTTAGCCTCTTCCTTTCCACCGCATTCCTTTCTCTGAGCGATTATTTGAAATCGTGCAATTGGCGCTGCAGTCAGCGCTGCAGCTGGCGCTGCAGTCAGCGCTGCAGCTGGCGCTGTATCTGATGCACCTAGCGCCCTTCTACGCTATTTTCCCCTTACCGGAAAAAGTGTCACTGTGAAAGTTAACACTACAAGAAATTTGCCATGCCTTTTGCTTTTAGACTTTACTCAGTATTTTACTTACCATGCTGTAGAAGAGACAAGCATAAGAATCAGATTAAACTTTTTCCTATCTTCTCAATGTCTCAAAATGCCGTACATACCGTAAGTATGAGGTAAACCCCTACAGAACCAAGACTTTCTGTACCGTCTTGCATGGCCCGATTGGTCTGGCCCTGTATAAAATTCTTTTTATCTCTTTCCTAAGCCTACGTGGTGCAAACACTTTGACACAATTCTATGTAAGATTTAATTTTTATTTTTTTGATTATATAATCAGTTGCCTATTTCTTCTTCTTGGGTGCAGCCTTTTTCTTACTCTTCACCTCCTTGATCAATTTATCCTTCTTCGCATCAATTTTATCGTTATCGACTTCTTCGTCGTCTTGTTCATCCTTACCAGTGGTGTCGTCTTCAATGACATCTTCATAATCAACCTTTTGCTTTCCTCCTCCTGAAACTCTGCCCGTGACACTATTCCCCGTCTTGTAAATTGCAGTTGGATGTGAAGTTCCATTATATTTCCTGGTGAATGATGATTTCGTTTTCGTGGAAATCTTCTTCAAGTAATTATCACTCTTCGATGGTCCAACCCCAAAATCAACAATAGAATCCCAATCTTCCTTAGTAAGATAGTAGTAGTCCATAATGTCAATTACACTTTCAATTCCTTCATCTTGATACTTCAATATAGGTTCGGTCAATTTCTCAATAAAGAGTGGAATGTAATCCAATCTAAAGGATTTCTTATCGCTAAATGTTCTCAATCTCGTATGGTATTGCAATTCCTGCAATAACCTTTCGTATTTCATTGCCTTGGAATTTTGTCCCAACCACCCTGCAAAATTAATCCTTTGATTGACAGTTCCTGCAATTTCCATAGATGGTTTCACAGAAGACATCACGGCATGGAATGGTAATAAACTCCACTGTTGCTCACTTGATCTGATTAAGGAATTAATGTGATCAGATTGTGAGATATCATCTGCAGCTTGGGCAACTCTCTCTAAGTGTTCCATTGAAGTACCGACATTAGTAGGTCTGGTGTATAAGTAGTTCTCTTGGATCATCAAAGGCGTGAAGTCGATATCATTGAAATATAAATTAATTTTGTCATTCAATGTATGCTTGGCATTGGGGCTATAAATCTGACCGTTTAAAAATTTCAGGGTGATATCAAATGGTTTTAAAATAGTTTCCTTCTTCCAGGTGGAAGACAAGTCTTTTGTCTGCTCACTTCCAATCACCTTTTGCGTCTTGGAAACAGTTGATAATAAATTAATCATTTGTCTAATATCATTATTCGTAGCCCCAACTAATTGTCCGATAACGGTGGGGTCTAATTTGACTTTTTCTCTCAAAGCAATAGTCATCAATCTTGATTTGACTTCGTTTTCTGATGGTCTTCTGAATGGTAAGTCGAAAGTAACTCTATCAAAGATTCTCATCTTAGGTAAGGATTTGTCGTTACAAATCAAAATCATTGGCATTTTAGTAATTCTACAGAACGCCAGTAACGCACCAGCACCACCATGATCACCTGAAGACATACCATCGACTTCATCCATAATAAGACAGAACTTCTTGTCATTTTGACCTTGAGCTTCATCATCTCTGTGCTTAAAGAAACCAACCACTGACGTGTTGTTTAAAACTGACTTAATATTACTATTCAACAAAGATTTTGATCTCACATCAGATGCATTTTTCTCTAGCACATCGAATCCTAAGCTATTGGCAATTAAATGAGCTGCAGAGGTCTTTCCGATCCCTGGGGGGCCGCTTATCAATGCTGCCCTAAATATCCCTGACCCATCTTTTCCTGGATTTTGGAAATCACTCTTAGCGTTGTCAAACCAATCGTTGAGCCAATTTTTCAACTTTAGAATCTGTCCCTTATTACCACATAATTGAGATAAGTCTTTTGGTGCATATTTAACTGTCCATAACTTTTCACTCTCCGGTATGATTCTTTGTGGTTCTTCTGGTAGACGTTGCAGTCCATTACTTGTGGATGAAGATGCAGCTGCCTTAGCTGCCGTTTCTGCCTTTTTCTTTTTTAACTCTTGTTCTTTCCTTTTAGTTTCCTTTTCCTCTTCGGCTGCTTCCTTTTCTGCTTGCTCAATTACTCTTCTTTCTTCTTCTTCTCGCTTTTCTTTAGCTTTAAGTGCTGCTTCACCATCACCTCCTTCAGCAGGCATGCTAGTCAATAGTTTTACAAACCCATCTTCATCGATGGCCTTTATTTTCAATTTCTTAATCTTGGCTACTTTAGATGGACCAGCTTCATCTCCAATGACGACTAGACTGGTCTTTCCCAGTATCGACTTGGTAACCTTGGCACCATACTTTTTAGCTAAGTTCTCAGATGCATCACGATCGAGGGTTGGAAGTACACCGGTAAACACAATCGTAAGCCCAGATAAACAATTTGGTTGAGCTTCAGGTATCTCTGGGGCATCTCCGGAAGATCCAGGAGCTGCTGCTGCTTTCTTGAAGAAATTGAATCCTTTCTTGGCTTCTTCCGGATCTTGTTCTGGCAAGACGGCGTCTGGGATCAAAGCCAAAACATCCTCAGCAGATTTTCCTCCGGTACTAGCTGATGGAGCAGCAGCTTCCTTCTTTGGAGTAGATTTTGGTGCAGCCTTTTTGGGTGTTGCTTTAGGAGTAGGCGTAGCTTCCTTCTTAACTGGTGCGCTTCTCTTCTTCTTCGGCTTCTCTACAATAGGCTCTTCTTCTTCCTCTTCTTCTTCGTCTTGTTCGTCTTTTACAAGGTCGTCGGCATCTTCTTCCTCATCTTCTTTCAAATCTAAATCGATGTCGTCATCTTCATTAGCAAGGAAATCATCATCTTCATCCTCATCAACTTCAATGGGATCGGGTTTAAAGTCATCCTCGCTTTCCAAATCGGTATCGGAGTCTACACTGTACACCTTTGGAGTGGCCTTGGCCGCCCTGGGCGTGGATTTATTTTTGAAGTACAGGCTCTTCACCTCATCTGTCTTTCTTTTCTTCGGTGAAGGTTTGGTTTCTTCATCAATTGGGTGCTTCGGGGTGGAGCTGGCCCGTCCTCCCTTCGATGCGGGTTTAGCCTTCTCTACAACCTAAAAAGAATGTTAGTAGGTGAATTATTACCCCAGTTTTCTTGGTATTTCTACAGATTTTTCGATTGTTTCAATTGGCTATATTACGTACCTTGGATTTGCCTAGCAAGTCCTTTATATTGACCATTGTTGGGGGTAATTGATGTGCAATCAGTGGACTACAAACAATCAACACTAACAAACTTCACTAGCAATATCGAAAATTTAAACGCGCTTTTTTTTTTCACTATTTTCCATGGCGCTAGGCACAGATGATCGGTATACTTTGAATACTAGGTGGCATAGTGCAGTGTTATAGTGTAGTTTTTAACGATTGTTGCGGTGTAGAGGCTTCTGGTTGTTGGTGAGAGTGTAATTTACATCTTTTGGTGTGTTTTTACTAAATGGTTCTAACTTTTATTAGGGGGTTTCTGGTTGTCTATATGCTACTGTATTTTGTATGGAAATTCTCTTTTATGCCTACTCCAGCTTTCGAATTTGTATCTCTCTTCACTTTCACCCTACTTTGTTCCAGATGACTCTTTTTCCAAGAAATCTGTCCAGAGACTCACAAAACTCTCTCTAATGGGAATTTTGTCTCCTTGTGCACCCGCTTGCCCTGCTGCGGTACCAGAGCCCTGTATTACGTGTCCGCCCTGGCTCAACCCTGCAGCAACCTTCTTGCTCTCGTCCCATGCCAATAATGCACTTATCAACTGTAAAGCCTCATACTTCTTAGGATCTCCCCTGGGGAATTGCAAGAAGCTAACCACCACATTGGATATAAGCTCCTTGTCTATGGTATTATTAGGGGAGCCCAGCTGCTGCTTGAGCATGGTTAATGACTTGGTTAGGTGCTCATTGAGTATAACGGCTTCGTGACGCAATTTTCCGATAAGCAATTGTTTGTTGTTTATGTCGTACTCCAACGTGGGTATCTTTTCTAAGTCTGTCTTCATGGACAATACTTCGGTATCTTTACCTTCCAATTTCGACTTCAAGTCGGAAATCTCGGTGACCAACGCCTGTCTTTCTGATTTGATTGTTTCAATTTCGGCATCTCTTTCTTTGAGCTGCTGGGTTAATTTACGTTCGCTAGCGGTAAATTCGCTCCGTTTCAAGTTTGCTTCATCTTGCAAACTAGCAATTTGGTCGTCTTTCAACTTCAATTTGGATTGCAACTCCTCCAAGGTGACGATCTGGTTCTTCACTTCCATATTAGTTTCGTCGTTGACTAGCTTCAACTCTTGAAATTCTAATTTCAATTCTCCAATCTTCTTGGTTAACCTTGAGTTTGCATTTTCCAAGTTATATTTATCGTCCAGCAAAGTTTCTTCTTTCAACTGGAGCTCTCTTCTAAGCTGGGTTAAAGAGGTAGACAATTTATCACATTCATAATTCAACGACGTTGATTGTTCTGTCAACTTTGCGTTGGATTCTTTCAATTTCGTGTTTTCATTTACTAGCGTCTGGTTCGATGCTTCGACGCTGGTCAATTTTTCTTTAACTTGTTCCAATTCTGTTTCAGATTCTTTCATTTTGGCAAACACAGATCTCATGGACGAGAGCTTGGACAAAAGATTATCGTATGACGACTTGAACTCGTCACGTTCTTTGATTGTATCAGAAAGAAGTTTTTGGAGGTCAGAATCACTAGAGGAATGTGAACCATTCGCCGTGCCATTGGTTTCCTCTTTCATTTCTGCCAGATCTGCATTTTGTACACTGTCTACGTCGTCCTCTTCTTCTTCATTCTGCTGCTCATCTTGTTCTTCATGTTCAATTTCCTGATTTTCGTCCTTTTCGCTTGCTTCTATTCGAGGAGTGTTGTCAACGGTGCTCTTAGACTTTTTCTTATTCTTAGCCATGGTTTAAATAGTGTTCTTATGCCAGAATAACACCGCTTCTTCAACACCAGTGCAACGATTATACGTGTAGCCGTGAAAACGAGGAAGGTGTACGTACTGCATGTAGGAGTTAGATTCGACGTACTGCACATTGGTGGTTGCACTGGAACACGCTTGAAACACCCACCACACGGCTAGGGTAGCGGAAGATACATGTTTGCACAGAAAATAGGGTGATACATGGGCCTGAATGAAGTAAAAGCGGCACTAGCAAGCGGCCAGAACAGTAATACCCAGCGCAACGATTATACGTGTAGTTGTGAAAACGAGGAAGGTGTATGTACTGCATGTAAGAGCTGGATCCATGTACTGCACATTGGTGGTTGCACTGGAACACTCTTGAAACACCCACCACACGGTTAGGGTGACGGAAGATACATGTTTACACAGAAAATAGGGTGACAACTGGGGCTGAATAAATTTAGAACGGTACTAGCAGACAGCTAGAACACGAATGTCCAACAAAAAGGTTCATTTTGTGACCGTTTACCCGGCTTGGAAGCCTTGGGACATTCCTACAAGTCTACAGTCATTTTCTCAATTAACATTAAAGCGTTTTATTAGAAATAGAAAATGCTGAATGTGAAGAAGAAATGTTTTAAAACAACATCACAATCTGGCACATTGCAGCACTTCTCCGTTCTTAAAATAAAAATTATACATATTGAACAGTAAGTAGAAGAAAAATCACCTCTCCCTCTTGTTTCATCTGATCAGCTTTTATTTTCAGTCCCTCCCCTTTGTTGGTTTACTTCTTTCACACACACATCTACCTCTCACATTTTGTTTTTACTTTATAATAATATATATTTAGTTATTTATTTAGTGGGAGTTGTTTAGATGTTAGATGGGTACAACATGATTCTGACAGAAGCACCGAAAGTCTTAGTTGGCAAGTTCTTCTTGAAGTTGGCTCTGACTAAACCGTTGTTACCGTGGGTTCTGGTAACCTTACCCCAGATAACTCTGATCTTAGAACCTCTGACTTCCTTGGAAGCACGGTAGACGTAAGCAATTCTCTTACCTAAGTAGAACTTAGCATCTTGTGGAGCAGCAACACCTTCGATTTGAATCAAAGAAACGTTAGGGTTGTTAACGCTCTTAGAACGTTGGTATGAAATGTGCTTACCTTTAACGTATACTAGAGAGTTTGTTAGTAACTAGAAATGAAATGAAATGAAAAAAAAAAAAATTGGAAAAATTGGTCGTTGTCCAGTGACAAAACTAGTGTCAACCAAAGTGACAAAATCATGTCGTCTAGGACAAAAAACCCCATCTGGTGCATGAAAGTGCAGAGCCTCTATAGAGTTATACTGGTGGTGATGAAGGCGATGAAGGTGGTGATTTGCTTTGGTGCAAGTGAGGTCAATGAGTTTAACTGATGGGTTGCTCATAGTAGACCTACTGGAACCTACTATACCACCACGGTACGTTTTCGTTCTATTCTTTCTATTGCCCTGGCTAGCCAAATTACTTTCATCTCTTCGTAGATAACACCTCTCGTGCTACTTGAATCCAGGTCAATTTTCACTCGTGCTGGCACTGCTTGAATTTTCTCATCCCACTACTGGCTTGTCTCAGACATCGAGAACTACCTCCAACAACTTCATCGCCACACCATCTTTCCTGTTCCAAATAATACCTCTATGATGCTCTTCTTTCATCTGTCACCGTTCTATCATCGTTTATTACATACATCTGTGTGATTCAGCCATTTTAACTTAATGTGTCTAATGTATGGATTAATCGAAAAGTTTCAATTTCTTCTTTTAAATTTCGAAATTTTTTTTAGTCACCTACCTCAACCCTCAGTAGTATACAGTGCGGTTGGAGCAGCGCGGATACAGGAAAAAACAGGAAAAATTTGATTCTTGCGCAGTGGTCCATCGCGGGTGTGTGGGTGTAAGCTGGCGATTGCATTACACAAAAAATTGAGAACTGGGAGGACGGCGGAAAAGATGCGGATGCATCATGTGATAAGCCCTGGACTGGGGCACGTGGAAGCCCTAGTGCGATTTGGGATGTGCTGCTGCATGCGAGCCGATTGCTGCTGGAGATGGACTGGGGTGGGACTGACAGGACTGGTGGGACTGATAGATAGCAAGGTCAGGGATGTTGCTTCTTAAGATCGGCTTCTGTGGTGCTGATTCGATGTGCTTGGCTACTTGGCTACTTGGCTACTTGGCTACTTGATTTGCCTTAAGCGGCATGTTGTACCCATCTGTTATCATCTGCTGTGCACAGTGTAGCATTGTGTAGCACAGTGTGGCACCGAGTCGCACTGCTTGGTGAATGGCTGCGAAAAGGAAAAGCTTAGGGCCTAGTGAAGTAGAGCGTTAGTATTGCACTATCTTACTTTAAGCACGATCCTGGTATTGGCGTGGTCCTGGTATTTCCACGAACTTAGTCTCTGCACTAGCTTGGTTGAGATCGTGATCTTCGTGCTCTTTTATTGCCAGTACGCCATGCTCTTTCCTGTCTGTTCATCTACATTATGCTCAAACCTTGCTAAAGCTCAATTCATCCTCTTCATTCATAGCAAAACTACACCCTTTTACTTCTACCTGAATTCGTACATTAATGTATACTGATAAGATCTTTAATCATCTGCTTAGCAACACTACACCCTTTTACTTCTACCTGAATTCGTACATTAATGTATACTGATAAGATCTTTAATCATCTGCTTAGCAGCACTACACCCTTTTACTTCTATCTAAACCCGTATATTTTTGTATAACTGATAAGATCTTTAATCATCTGCTTAGCAACACTACACCCTTTTACTTCTATCTAAACCCGTATATTTTTGTATAACTGATAAGATCTTTAATCATCTGCTTAGCAA